TATTTTAAAAATATATACATTCAAATAAAAAAAAACTACATATACTCAATTAAAAATAAAATAAAATGTTTATGTTTATTTGATAGACATGTCATCCCCGACTTCTCATTTCAATTGTTATGTTAATATGAACTAATAGAAATACTTGATTCAAATAAAATTTAAAAGTTTATACAGTAAAATATAAAAATAGAAATTGAAACGCTCCGAGAAAAATTAGTAGGCCAAATATGCAATAATCTTTTTGTCATAAAATCCGACACAACTATGACCATCCCAATTACCTTAAAACAAAGTGTGCCATTTTGTCGTAACGGTTTGGCATGTGGCACTCTGTCATGTATGTACCATCAACATCATATATATATTTTTTGTTGTAACGGTTTGGCATGTGGCACTCTGTCATATATGTACCATCAACATCATATATATATGATGTTGATGGTACATACACGACAGAGTGCCACATGCCAAACGTTACGACAAAATGGCACACTTTGTTTTTATATATATATATATATATATATATGGTTTGTTATATGGCACTCTGTCGTGTATGTACCATCAACATCATATATATATCTTCAAAACAATTAAGATCAAACCCTATTCCATACGTGTGCAATTTTGTCCACATGATAAAACAATTTAAGGGACATGTTATCATGACTATCCATCATGTATGCCACATTCTACTAGTGATGGAAGTATAGACCTTGAAGGTCATCGAATAAAATATATTTATTTTAATTTAATAATCTATACTATATTGTATTTAACTAAAATCTATAAGATTAAAGATGAAAGAAAAAACTTCATATAGTTTCATAATTTTTAGCTGAAATTTTGTTTTAGTTTATTTTTCTTTATGTTTATTATACATTTTGTAGTTAAAAAACACGATACTTATTGTTTAAAATTGATATATTTAATTTGTTGTTTCTTATAAAAATTCTCATCAAATTATTTTTTATTCTTATTTTTTTTATGTAATTTTATTTGTTAATAAATATGATTTAATTTCTTTATGTATAGTGTTTTTGAATAAGATTTGAAATAAATAAATAAATAATCAATTAAAAAAATAAAATTCACATGTTTTATATATATATGTATGTATGTATGTATGTATATCAAAATTGTTCTTAAAATTATTTTTATTATAGTCTACTAACTTTAATGTATTCCATACAATTTATTTTTTAATATTTTTTATTTATACTGCATATTCTAACTCATCAAATATGGTCATGATATAAATAAATAAAATGAATCAATTAAGATCATTGATTTTCTTGAAAATTAACTATGTATCTACACATATAACACAAACCATTATTGTCAATTTTTTTAATATTCTAAAATTAATCTCATAAATTTTAATCAAAATTTGTATTTAAAATTTATTCTTTTTTATATTTTTTATATATAAATTTTGTAGTTAAAAACAATACGATTTGTTCTTACTTATGTATTCATTTTTAAATAAAACCTATAATAATCTAAATATAAAAATTTAATATAAAATTTAAAAAACATAATATTTTTTCATAAGATTACATTAAAGAAATAAAAATAATCAATATAAAAATTAGTATAAAAATTATGTTGATGAGAAGATTAAATTTTTAAAAATATGTTCTTTTGATAAAAATGAAATACAATGTCAAATTTGCATATGAATGTCTAAAAAAATAATAATAACAAAAAATGTCACTGTATAGTAAAATTATGAATAGTGCACACAAGCTTGAGTGAACGTTGTTGCGAATAGTAATAAACCCAAATATTTTATTTTTTTTATATAATAAATCTGGTTTTGAATATCCATTTTCTTTCCATTATTTATTTAGTGAGAAGTTTAGATATTTATTATTCTATCCATTATATATTAGATAAAAAATTTAAATATTTATATTCAACTTATATATATATATATTTCAGGTTGGGTTTAGATCGGTTTTGACCATATATATATCATATCTATTATCCAATAAGTAAGAATTTTAATATCTATAACTGATCTAAAATAATAATTATCTATTAAAAAAAAACTCTATTCATTTGAGTTAGTTTAAAAGGTATATATCAGAATCGCATTAAATTACCGTGCTTACATCCTACTATCAACTGTCTTAATTTTTAGGTTCTTTCTTCTAGCTAGTTAATCAAGTAACTTGTATTAAAATTTAAAATAAAAATTATGAAGTGATAGGATCGTAGATTTTTTTTTGGCAAGGAAAGCACAAAAGTTCAACAAAAGAGAGATGGCTTAACAATTAACTAAATAAACTAAAATAAAACGTTGGTTTACTTGTTTCAAACACTATTCACACGCTCACAATTCACTATTCATTGGTTTTTTACACTTTGATCCTTGATCTTTACTAATTAATCTTTCGATCCATATCTTCATTTGCTCATCTATTTTGGTCTCCGGATGAGAAAAAAGGAAGGTGGGAAGAGAGAGACGGGAGGAGAGAGAAAATCGTCGATCAAGCTTATTTATGCCGCTTTGGTCGACGAAAATCCACTAGATTTGTATATTTTTGAGAGATGAGTTTGTCCATGGTTGTTTCAAGCCATTAAATCATTAGAGGAGGTAGATCGGAGCTAAAAAAGGAAACAAAGTTATGATTTGATTGTGTAATTTGTTTTTATTTTTCTATGCATAAAATGATTTTTAAGGTTTTAGATATGTTTATTGGCTTTATTTCAATTATTTAGAGGTGTTTAGGAAAAAAAATGATGTCGGAATTCAATTTCTAAGGGTCCGAAACTTGAACCTCAACTTTTCGACGAAGATTCCGACGACCTCGATAGCTGAAAATTGTAGCCCTTAGTTTATTATTATTATTTACAGCAGCCCAGGCTCGACTCACAAGCCCGAAGCGCGGGCCTAGCTGGTTTTTTTTTCTTTTTTTTCCCCATCAGTTTCGACTTAGGAAATTGTTATTTATTTTAGTCCCTTCATTCATTTTTTTTCAATTTTGGTCATTCAACTTTTCTGATCTTTGATTCTTATCCCAATCAAAAATATTAAAATTTTATTATATGTGATTTTAATCTTTATAATCAAATTTTTTTAAAATTTTAGTAAAAATTTATTTTTTTCTATTTTTTAATATGTTTTTATTTTAGTTATGAAAATCTTCTCATATTTAATTTTTATCCTTACTATGCTAAAACTAAATAAAATTTACTATCCTAAGTTTTTTTTTTTACTGAAATTTTCTTTCTATTCTAATTTCTGTTTTGTTATTTTTTCTATCTTTTCGTCATTAAATTTAGTCAAAAAAAAAAAAATTTAGTCTTTGTTTTGTAATTGTTTTTTATTTTGATAATTAATTTTTTTCCTACAAGGAACTATTTTTTACTTTTAATAAAACTTTTTGTTATATTTTAGTTTTTGTTTTATGATCTTTCATTTATTTTGATCATTAAAATTTCATTATATTTAATTATTAATCATTTTACATTAAAATTAAATACATTTTAACTATCTTAAGTTTTTTTTTTTTTTAGTGAAAATTTTTTTGTTTTGATTCTTATGTGATTAATTTTTTTTTATTTTAGTCATTAAAATTCTATAATGTTTACTTTTGTTCTCGCCTTATGGATAATGAAATTTTTTTAGTTTTATTATTTATAAGTATTTTTTATATGCTTTTAGTGAAAGTTTTTATTTATTTATTTTTATCCTTTTATAATCTTTACTTTGTTTTAATCATTTAATTTTTATCATGTGTAATTTTATCTTTATTTTCTTTGTCAAGTTCTCGATTTGACGAGCTTTTTTATCTTTTTGTTTTGAGTGGTCTCTTTGTCTCATTAATAAATTACGGATAAATAATGTATGATAAAAATTAATCATCAAAAATTCAAAAAACTACCACATTATTATTTTAATTATCAGCTATTAATAAAATATAGGTTTATATAAAAAATATCTAATTAGCAATATTATATTACTCAACTTTATAGATTTTTCATTAACTAACCCTATCACAAATTATGAAATATATGTTTTAGTTTTTTTTTTAATTATTTTCGCATGATATTGTCAAATAATGATTTGTAAATGTTAAATTTTATATTAATGAATACATAAGAATGATATATAATTTATCACTCTATAGTAAAATCACAAAAAAAGTACAAATTGATAGCAAATAATTCACGGGACCTCAAAATTATTCTTAAATCAATGATTAGAAACAACTACAAACAAAGCTAAAAGTCAATAGATTAGAAGAGAATATTTAAAAAAAATAATAAATGAATCAATTTTAGGTTTATAGATGCAAAAGAAAAAGGGCAGCACTTGACTTGCTGTGTTGATCTCTTTCTGAGCAAGACTTATAGACTTCGCAATTTCCATGAGTAAATTATAAATAAGTCTCTTTTGTTTCAATAAAAGAATTAATTAGTTTTTTTTAAATAATTAATTAGTTTTTATATTTTTAATTTTTCTTGTAATTTAATTATTTTTCAATTTATTTTAATTTTTTTAAAAGTAAAAAATATGGAAGGATTGATTAAAAAATAATATTTTTTTGAAATACAATAATATTAAATTAAGTATGGTCAACACTGATAAGAGACTAAATAATTATTTTTTTTGAAAAAATTAATTAATAAAAAATAGAGACTAATTTATAATTTACTCTAATTTCCATAGGCAATTAAATCCAAAGGAAAAAAAGTCTCCAAATCCTCCAGAGTATGTAGATATGGGTTTAAGTATTAATCTGGGCTGGGCTCATTCTACCACTGTATATCCCTTCTTCTAAGATTATAATGGATATTAGGCCCATTTTCATAAGCAGTTTCAGCCCATTAGACTACTAAGAAACTTTTCATCTACAAGCAGTTTCAGCCCATTTGATAAATAATAATAATAATAATAATAATAAGGTTTTTGCTTAGAAAAAAAGCCCAACTTTTTTCAGCCTGGTCTCCTAATTCTTTCTCGACTTGCCCATCTCCAGTGGCTTGATTTAGGCTCTGTAGATGTCTGTCTCCCTTCAAATTTGAGAATTATACTTTTAGAAAAGCTTGTAGCCAGTGATGTGGTCTCTTGTGATAAGAGATTATGGATTTAAATTCTAATAATTGTTCATCTGACATAAATTAAGATAATTAATTGCAAACTTGAATTTGGTGCGTAGGTAGAGACAAAGACAAAGCTAAACTGACAATTAATATCTTTGAGAATTCATGCTTTCATCACTTGTAAACATCAATCCTGTTGAGTGTGCGTAAATGTAAGTAAGCTATAGGTAGTGTGGTCACAAAGCTAAGAAAGAACTGAAAAGAACAAGAGACATGAAGCTCTCTTTGGAGTGTATGTGCCACGTGCATGACCACACTCTTCACCCCCACTTCTGATCTGGACACGTGGCATGATCTACTTTGTTTGTGTCGTGATACTTCACGTGAAACCCCATCAGCCAATTCCCACTTCTTTGGCCGGGGGGACCTTTAGCCTCTAAGCTGATTCATTCATTCATCAAAACAAAAGGATAGACACTATTCGTATTTGATTGAGCAAAGGGACCCTTGTGTCCGTTTCTAGCTCTAGTACTTATGATTACTTGGTTCCTTCTTCTTTGAAGAGAAAATGATTTCATAGGAACATTAGTATTAACTTATAACTCCGACTAATATTTTTCTATTCAGCATAAAAAAAAATAATTTGTAATTCAATAATAATGATTTTTTATAATAAGAGATCATAGATTCTAATTCTAATAGATTAATTTTGTAAAGAATTTTAAACATGTGAATTAAAAAAAAAATTTACTGAGCATTTTGTTATTCTAGAGAACGAATATATTTGAATTAGTTGAAATACAAACTCTTTGATTTATAACTTATAATGATGTTTTTCTATTGAAGGATTTGCTCTTTCAGAGAAGGACGATATGAATGTCAATTGAATTACATATGCATTGATTTACAACTTGTACTAATTAATGTTTTTCTATGAAAATTTTTAAAATTTAGTAAGAAAAGAAAGAAAACTTAAAATGTTTATGAAAGAAAAAAGTTGGGAATTGTACGTTACGACTTCTGTTGGTGACATATAATTAATGAGATATTATTAGTTAAGTGATGTATAAAACTTCAAAAAAATAAAAAATGTATATATAAAAAGATATTTTCAGATTAACTTTCGTATCAATCATGATTAAATTCCTTATTTTTGGATTAAATTAGAGTTGAATCACGTCTAGCCTCTGGTATTAGAAAGTTAGGAGTGCATGAATACCTGGATTTAAATTTTTATATATGCATACCTCCAAAATGGTCCAAAAGGACGGCAACACACTCATAATTATATATTACATTAATTTAACATATTATTAAAGAAACATTATTGCATTTACCATTATGAATTTATAATTAATTTCTCATTATACGCATTCATAATTTTTCTTCTTTTGTTAAATGAAATTTTCTATTCAATGAAAAGAAACAAGTAGGAATTTATCCTATTATAAAACATGAATTCATAAAAAATACATGAAACAGATTAAGATAACATCCATTTAATAGAAATATACTTAAATATTGAACTAAGCATTACTTCAGTTAGAAGCTTAGAGTTGTGTAACTTGCAACGAATAGTTTGACAAATCTATCTAATCACATCATTTTGAAAAAAAAATATTTTTATCATAAATTCTATGGTTTTATTGTTTCCACAAACCATAAATGGTTGAACTCCATGTGAATCTAGTAATAATAGATTGAGAATTTTTTTTTTATAGCAAATGCTTTATTGTCCACTGTAATTCTATACTCCAGCTATTAATTTCTCTATGAAATCCACATTTAAGAAGAATAGCATTCCAAAAAATAAATCAGTCTTAGAGGAGGAATATTCAAAAAATAAATGGTGCTAATTCTCATCAACATTGTCACACAATAGATAACCAATATCGATATTTCTTTCCATTTGAATATGTCTATCTTTAGTAGATAAGCGATTTAAAATTACAAGTCGAGAGATAAAACTATATCTTGAGATGTCAAATGATCCCAAACAAGTTTATGTCACACCACTATAGTATCTTTGTTTCTGGCCAGCTCCCGAAAGCTCCATTTGGTGTAGCTTTTCATATGATATCATCAAAATTGACATTAGGCACAGACATCCCACATATAACAGATTGCACTTTTATCATAACTTCTGATTTAGCATTAGACTAAAACAACTCTCCATCCTACATTACAACCTCTAACGAAGTATCAATAGGAATAATAGATTCATATATAAGTCTTGGGCCAAAGATTTTGATGAGAATCTTATCTGGAAGCCAAAGATCCCACTATAGTTTTATTGTTTTGCCATTACCAATAATATGATGAATTTGTTCTCAAATTAAATCTTTGAGTTTAAGAAGTTTCTTCCAATACCAAGCACAATCACTAGTGCATTTTACACACTCGTAATTATATATTACATTAATTTAACATATTATTAAAGAAACATTATTGCATTTACCATTATGGATTTATATATAATTAATTTTTTTCATTATGAAAACTTGAAACTCCCAAAATATTAGGAAGCCAAAATAATTCCTATATATGCATATATAAACCCTTTTAGTCTTATATTAAGAGTTTAATTTTCTTTTCCCATAGTATAATTTGGTGTAAGTTTTCTAAAAACTTTCACTCCTTTCATTTATTTTTTTGGCTCATTCTTAAGCCTTATCTATCCTTTTTCTTTGTTTTTTCCCCTTTTATGTTGCCATGATTCAATTGAATGGGGTCGTAAGCAAAAAGTTTTAGACAAAGCCAGCATCAATCTCCCTTCTCTTTCATAAACCTTGTAGCTTAGCTAGCAACCAATAGAAATATGCCACTCGTATTGCTACTGTCTCTTATATAGAAACAGCCACCAATTCGATTCATTGGGTTGACATGTCCCAAAATATTGGGGCAGATTCCTTTTTATTTTTCCAAGATTTTATTTTATTATTATTATTTTAAAAAAAATCTAATTAGCAATGGCAGGATAGACAATATATATATATATGACATTTTGTTCCTATGAAACAAAAGCCAACTCATGAGCTTAATTATCAGAAAAACAAAGCATTACAAATTTACAAGAGAAAACCCAAACACTAGGATTTAAATTTATTTTAGTACATATCAAGCCAGGGAACAACCTGAACCTAGCTCGAATCATTCCTACACACTTAAAAAAAAAAAAACACACCAAATACAAAAAACAAACAACGTCCTAGATGGGGGAAATAAACCTGGCAAAGCACACCCTATATAATTAATACAAAGAGAAGGCTAGACAGAACTAGGTGAAGAAAGCTCTAGCTAGCTAGCTAGCTAGCTAGATATATATAGAGAGCTTACATATCTCTAACATGGAACATGTTAGGGTTCTTAACGACAATATCATACATGTTGACAGAGTTGAACTTGGAGAAGTCTCTAGGAAGAGTGATAAGATCAATGGAAGAGTGTTTGTGGAATTGGAAGAATTCAGGATCACCACCATAGTACCTCTCCCATCCTAACTCTTTCAAAATTTCTTCAAGGCAAGCGTATGAAGATACCACTTGGTCTGATGGCAAGTGCACCAATACCTTTCTCCTTCCATTAGATTCCGCTGCCAGGCGAATTACACCATTGCTATCGAAAACCCAAACTCCTGACATTTTCGGAAAAAATGATATTAGTCTTTTTGTTGTGTAGTGCTTGGTTGTGGTTAGGGTTTTAGCTAAGAAGAAAGTAGTAGCTTGGTAGAATGGGTTGGTGAGTGAAGGAGGGAATAGGAGGGGGTATTTATTTGTGTCATGAGGCAGAAAAAAACAAGAGGAAAATACTCTGGGAGTGGGGTTTAAAGTAGGATACATGATGGGCATGTTTGGCTTTGGTATAGAATCTATATTTAATGGGTCCTATGGTATTAAATATTAGGGTACAGGGATGCTCCATAGGTGTGATTTAGGGCACATGTACCATCCGTGGGGTTGGTTTAGGAGAATCTATATAGGTTGTGTAAGCTTTGGTGTTGCTTTAGAACAGAGAGAATCTCTTGGGACACTATTAATTTTCAAGAGGAAGTACTACTTTGCAAAAATTTTATCATTTTTTTTTCCAAAGTCAATCTGCAAAAGATGTTTGCACCCACTTACTTACATCACGAGATGTCCACGTGAAGAGAGTGTGAGAGATTGGGAGATGAGGAGGTAAAAATTTTATGTTTGTGGGTTAGGCAACGTCTGAAAGTGGCATTAGAATTTGGGAGCTTCTTGCTGTTGGTTACTCATCATTGGAGAAAGATGGGAAAGCTTAAAGGTGGTTTTAGTATTTTTGTTGTCAATTCTCTATTTGTCATTCTATTATTCAAAGAAACAAAGTCTGGTTGGCTATAGCCAGCAGATCAGATCTAGTGGCTGTCATCAGCCACCAGAAGAATTCAATAAAATACGTGGACAATATTCCTATTGTAGGACTCGATTAGCTTGAATTTCTTGATGTGTCAATGTCCATATCATTAATGTTTCGCTTTCGATATCACTTATAATTTGTCCATGTAGTTTAATTAGTCCCTTAGCAGCTAGCAAATTAAAGTAATTAAATATATAGTTCTTTGATCGATGTTCATAACCCAGCTCAATTTTAGTTGTTTTATAATTGGTTCTCCAAAAGTGCCTTCTTGTCTAATCAAATTAATTTTATCATCTTACCTATTCCTCTTTTATTTTCTTTAATTTTCAAAAAGGAAAAAGAAGAATAACGTAAATTAGAAAAGTTCTAATCTAATAGTAAGTTATAAATGAATTTAAAATATATATGAATATTATAAATGAATTTAAACATATAAGTATTAAATGTATAGTTTCTGAAACAATGAATAATTAATTAATTTTTTAAACTATAAGAACTAAGTTATGATTAACTCATTTGTGACATATATACCTACTCAATTGAATCATAACAGTAAAATAAGAAATCAAACTAATTTAGTGGTAAAAATGATATAAAACGAATTTGAATACAAAATTGATAATATCTTAACATATAGTTTGATGGTATATTTAATATTTACCTAGCTAGAGGAAAAAATCTAGTAGTTAGATTAGTATAATCTATGGATAGATCTCACATGTAACCATTGATTTAATTAAAGCTTAATACTATTAGAAATCCATTAAGTGGTAATGTCAAAGGAGATTTACTGTATCAAAACCAAATCCACATCTCTAATTATTCCGTAGAAAACCAAGAGCTTGTTGTAGCTAAAAAAATCATGAATATTTTACTTCTTAAAATCTTGATCGAAATTTCAATTTATTAACCGAACTTAATTTCTTAACCATCATGTCAATCTCTTCGAATTTAGTACTATGAACTCGAAGCCATGTGATAATTCCATATGCGATTGGTCATTACTGCTCCTTATGTGGATACCTTTTGCAGACAAACTATCTCCGAAATCACAAATATGTTGGGCATGACAATGGCAAAAGTTTCTCATGACAGTAACTGCACTCACCAAAACTTTTATTCTCCTTTGATTGTTACCTTCAGATTTTTTACATTGTCCTTACAAGATATTGTCTGTTCATTAATTAACAGGATTGGACTTGTTTGAAAAGACTCTTCCTAGGATAATATATTCTGAGCATCAACATTAGTTTCATTAATTATTATCAAAAGACTATCTTACCTAAAAACTTAAAATGTTAGGTGAAGTTTATATTATTCTTTAACACACTCCCTCAAATGAAAGTTTTTTGAACTTAAAACTTACATATATTCACACTACCTTATACTTAATTAATTAGAAAGAAAAATGAGGATGACGGGATTTGAACGATCGTTTGGTTATCAAGTTTTTGATATTATATCAAAGACCATCTCACCTAAAAAAACTTAAACTTTTAGATGATGCCCTAAGATATAATTTATATTAATTATTACATATAATGAGTTTTATCAGAGTTTTCTCCCACTTTTTTGCAATATCATAGTCAATTCATTAACCCTAAACTGCTACTCTAAAGGACCACCACACATCACATAGGTTTTCAAGAACATTATCATGCAAGTTAAGTTCATCTCTGCTCATAAAAACATGTATGCTATACTGTATGCATTTCCTATGTTGCCCACATGAGAGTCACATGGGCTCAAAATGGTCCATGAACATGACTGTTTAGCCTCAGACAATCTAGTCAAAATCTATGTAACGTGGGAAGTCGTCAATGTTGGATATATCCACCCATTGTTATTACTGCTTCGCAGATATTTCTTTCAAAGAATATTCAGTGTTCTATCTAGTTTAGGTTCACGTTTCCATCCACAAGATGCTTATAAGTTTTATTTTATATACATATATATGCTTATACATTTTTTTTTCTGTAGTTATGTGATAGTCTAATGCTAAATTTTTACCTCTTAGAAAAGAAATAAAAAAGGGGTCGATTCAAGTCCCCAATTTCTTTCTTATAAAATCAGTGATCAAACGACATGTTTATGATGTTATCCCTTTTATGCATCACAAAATTGCCACCAATGTAGGTAGCTGAAATTTTAGAGCAAGCTAATAATTTTTATTATATTTATCTATTTATTGATGAAATCAACGATTAAATTAAAGAAAAGAGCCAGTAGGAAACTAGTAAATAAAAAAGATTACAACCAAACTAAGAAGGTATTAAACCTATAGAGACTAGAGTTAACCAAAGAATTTGCTATAAAATTTCTTTCTCTAAGAACACGCATGAGTGAAAAAAAATATTGATTTTGAACACGAATTCATGGATCATATTAAAGGTGACATTAAAGAACTCTGAAAGCAAGCTAATAATTAACATAACCCAAAAAAGAAAAATGTAAGCATGGATCAATATACTAATTATATATACATATATATATATATATATATATATGAAAGTTGAAATTAGATTAAGTAGAAGATAGCGAGTATGTAGCTGACTAAATTACAGAGTTTTGACATACAAGAATAGAATTATAAAAACTAAAACAACAATTGATACTATAATCAAGGTATAAGATCATTATTTTTATGAAGACATACAACTATTGACTTAAAAATTTATCACTATATTTTCTTCCCAAAAAATATAATTAAAAGAGATAGAACTCAAAGATTTATAATCAAAATATCAATACATTTAAAGAAACTTTGAAATAGCCAAAACCTATCACAAACTTCTATACTCATATAAACAATAGCCTTAGTTGAATCATTTAATTACCCTATGGATCAATATACTAATTATTCGCATGATCAGTCACTACTTATCAAAAGAAGGAAAAAGAGGAGGACAAACAATGCAATCCTGAATTATGTTTTGAGCCAGCCTGGGGTAGTGTGGTCCTCGTGATTCTCCTCAACTCAATCCTTCTACAATCTTAAAGTTGAACAGTGATTCCAATGACCCATTGTGAAGTTATTGAAATTTTGTGCATGCCTTTAACAATCCAAACCCTCAAGAAGAAGCTCTGCCTTTGCTGCTCTTGTTCCTCTTTAGCCATACCACAAAGTCCTAATGACACAGACCCATCAAGCTTATATTTATTATGATTTGGTAAAACCCTAAGTGTTGCCCACATCCTTCAACATTTTTTTTTATCACATCCTATCATGCATTACTTTATATGTGTGTGTGTGGATTTGGATAATTATGTCAGCTTGAGAAGAAAAGGGAAGAAGCTTGTGATTCCCTTTTTTCATTAAAATTTGGATAAACATCCAACATGTACCACATATGACTTTATAGTTCTACAGGCTTCCAAGCACAGCTGTTATACTTGAAACAAGCATTTCAAGAACCAAAAGAGAGAATGAGAGAATCATGCATGCTACTATAATTCCCAGTACTTGTCCCCTATTCCATATTGCTTTCTTTTGGCCAGATGGACATGCATGAACCGTGAAAAATATAGTGTTTATGATCAATGATCGACATGCAGGACCAATTTTTAAACTGTACATTGAATTTGTGAAATAGCTTTTCAACTCAAATTTAGATATCTATCCGATCTATTCTGGTTCGGCTATCTTAGTTATTCAAACTATTCACCTTTTACCGATATATATGACATTTAATTGGTAAGCGTAAATATACTCACTTGTTTTTATATAATATTGCAAATTTTTCATATATTTTTAAATTTTTAATTATATTCTATTTATTTTTAAAAGTGTTTGAAATATTCAATAAATTCTTTCTAGCTATTAATTTTTCCAGCTAAATGAATTTTTTTTTAATAAAAATGTCCCTGATTGGAAAAAAAAAGCTAAAGAATTAAAAAATAGAACATATAGGTCATGTGACTTAAGTGTTTTTGTTATTATTTATTATTTATATTTATTTTGATAAAGGATATTTCGGTTAAAAAAATTATAATCGGAATGACTGATTGAATATTTTAAAATTTTTCGAAAACAGATGAAATATAATTAAAAATCTAAAAACGAGATAAAAAACTATGAGTATTATATAAAAATATATAGATATATTCATCATTGATAAAAATATAAAAGAAATATATATGTGAGAAGATGTTCTTAATGCGGAAAGAGAAAAAAAATCTTCACTGGTTTGGATGTGAATAATTTACTTAAAGGAGAAGGAACTTATTTCAAACGAAAAATGACCTAATTAAAAATACTCTAAATAAAAGATATATACAAGCAAAAATAAGCTGATAGGAGATAAGGAACAAGGAATAATATATAAAGGAGGGTTTCTCAGTTGGCAGCAAGACACATCATTTTCCGATATCCAATTAGGATCCCAATCATTTATTTGGCTGCTTATGCATTTGCTAGAATTTTGGATGACGACAAAATCAGATCGTCAAGATTTTCCTGCTATTTCTTTTTCATCTTCTCATATTTTTCAACCTAGCTCCTTTTAATCCTTATTTTGTAGCTACAAAGAGGATTTGGTTGGCTTGGCAGGACATTTTCACCACTTCCATGAGCCTTATCAATAGGCTTTGCTTTTATCCAGTTTTTCCTTTGAGAATCAAAACAAAGAAAGATACAGAGTATATATATATATATATATTCATGTTGATCATCAAAACCTAATAATTAGATCGAAAGCTGTAATGTTTAATTTTCAAACAAATTGTTTCCAACGGGATATTGTTCGATAATCAGTGAATATATTGTTTAATGTCAATGTGATTTTTTCACTTTTGAAAAATTGAAGGCACTGGTACCGAAGCTCTTTTAAAAAAAGAATGTTGTCCCTAGATCATCTTATTTACTTCTTATAGTACAATTTATGAGAATCTAATCATTTTATATTATAGTTTGCGCTCTATATATAATATATATATATATATATATATATATATATATATATATTCTCATAGGTTAGAATTCTTCCAAACATAAAGAATTTGGGGATTAGTGGTAACTAATGAAGATATATAGCTATGAGTAAAGCTTAAAAAAATTACCTTTAACTCATCGTGTTATGAATTTGATTCTCATCTTTAGAAAATTTATTCCTCTCATTTGCATGACATTAGACATAAACTACTAGTGGCCTTATAAAATTGTTCCAAACATATAGAATTAATTTGGATTAGTGGTAACGAATGAAGATGTATAGTTATGAGTGGAACCGTAAAAAAAAATTATCTTTAACTCATCGGATTATGAATTTGATGCTCATCTTTAGAAAACTTATCTCTCTCATTTGCATGACATTAGACATGAACTACTCGGTGGCTTTAAAAAATTGTTCCAAACATACAAAATTAATTTGGATTAGTGGTAACGAATGAAGATATATAGTTATGAGTGGAACCGTAAAAAATAAAAAATAAAAAATTTTAACTCATCGGATTATGAATTTGATTCTCATCTTTAGAAAACTTATCTCTTATTTACATGACATTAGACATAAACTACCGATAACCTTAAAAAATTCAATTCTTAAAATTAGACGTGATGTGATCTCGATACCGATCTATCTTAGAAAATATTTAATGTTAGTTGATGTATAACTTGTTCCAATAAGTTTTTCTTAACTAATCTTTATCATTTTTTTCCCCTTATTATAAAAGTTTTAGGTTTGAATCTTGTCCTTATGGTTATTAAAAATATTTATGAAGATGTGATTTGTGTGCTTGGCCTCCCTTATAAAATGATTTAGGTTTGAATCTCGTCCTTGAGATTTGTGTGCTTGGCGGCTATGATCTCACCACGAAGAATGTTGTTCATTTTCCATCGAGAGCAAAAGGGGGATAGTTTGGGGTCCCTCGAAAGGATATGTACCTAATTACATACTATTATTTAGTCCTAACATAAAAGTTTTATAAGAAAATCAGATTGATTGGTCCTTGGAGGTATATGCACCCGACCACCCATGTAATTATTATTGACTTAATGACTTGATTAATTAATTAAACAAAGCAATTAATCTTATGTAAGACAATACGTATGGACCCTTACTATGCTTTTTCTTTCTCTCTCTCTCTCTCTCTTTTTTTTTTTTTTTTGGTGTACTTATTAATTACTTATGCAGAGAAACAATTAAAGAATTCTAGAGAAGAACAACAATCCATAAATTAAAAGGAGACAGCATATGTACTCATTAACATTTTGGTCACTTATTATCAAATTAGTCACGTAAAGCAAGATTAAGGGAATAGTACCAAAGTTAAAGGCTATTTGATAAGGTATACAACTTGAATTAGTAGGAAGTACCTTAAAGAAATCTAGCTCAAGGGAATATTGGAAAAGTTTAAAAGATAGAGAACCAAAATTACATTGGGTTAGATTAATTAATTTTAACTACTTTGTTAAATATTGTTAACTATCTTATTTGGTACATGTCATATTCCCATTCATTGAAGAAGAATAAATACGGTGTGCAATGAGAGGGGTATCAATTCTAACTTGATTTTATTAAATTAATATATCTTTGAAATGATTTTATTTTTTTAATGATTAAATGCGAGAACGATCGTGAGCTACACGTATCAAAAAGTCATAAAAGTTCATGAAAGTATCTCTATTAAAAATCTGATTATAAATAATAGTTATTCACATCATTTTTTAACATCCATCATTCAATGATTATAAAGTAATATTTTAACAACTTTATTAACTTTAATCATACCTTTTGAATTGATTTTATTTTTTAATAATTAAATTTAGAAACGATGGTGAACCACACGCATCGAAAAGTCATTAAAGTTTATGAAAGTATCTCTACTAAAAATTCTTAGTATAAATATCATTCATTCACATCACCGCTTAACATTCACTCAATGATTATAAAGTAAATAATATCGTCTATTTGTATCGGATTCGATATCTTTTTCTCTTTTAATATAAAATTTACTTGTTCTAGATAGTATACATTGATACAATGGAATATGATCTCTTACATCAAACCTTAATTAATCTACTTTGGTGTAAGTTTTCAAATGATGGGAAACATGTGAATTTTAAATAAGGATGAAATTAAGATTTGCTTAAGTAGATTGCAAGAAAAAATTCTAGTAATGCTAGCCCATGACAACAATAAATGGCATGTACTTATGGTTCATAGGTTTGACGTCCCTACCCAATTCTCCAAGCCCAGCATTTGGTATGACCAAAAAATAATTACCCCATGAGTCCATAACCCAATTAGTTTCAAATTGGGCTTGAATTTTGCCACCTTTCATGTTTGATTCAATAATTTGCTTCTCTTTTGTTCAACTCATGACATCTCCTTAATTAGGAAGGGTTGACAGCCAAGTTTACTGTCGTTGCTATTACTGGCCTAGGATTTTACGACATTGTCAAAATGCAAAAAAGTTATCCCTTCTCATGATAATTGTAGATAGCATCTCCAAACAAAGCAAAATGTCTGTCATTGGTAATTTAGTAGGCAAATTTGGTAAGAGAATAGGACTAGATTTCTGAGGGGATGAAGGGTTGGATTGATTAGATGGGAAGTTAGCTAATTACAGTGCATTCTTGACAATCCACATGGATTAATAACACTCGAATAGAAAGTTCAAAGTTGTTGCCATCCCCCTAAATTTAGTCCATGAAAGCATTCCACAGAAACAGTAACTATCTACACTAATTTAGCCTCCAAAAAAGATAAAGCTAAGCTCAACCAAACCCAACATGACCATGCAAATTCAAAACCTCACATCCTGACCTGTAGATTGAGAAATTCATTCTCAGCCAGTAATAGGCCAGCCAGTCATTTCAGGTCAAGATCTCGACATGCATATAAAGGTCTCTGCATTATTAGATTTGATAACAGCACAAGAGAAGTAATCATAAAGAAGGCTTTGGCAGCATCTTTTTGGCAAAGATGGATTCCAAGGCCTCCCCTCTCCTTTTCATTGCACTCTTGTGCTTGCTCTCCTCAACTTCCACAGCCTTCAACATCACCAAGATCCTTGCACAATACCCTGAATTTGCTAACTTTAACGATCTCCTCAGCCAAAGCGGGCTCGCCCAGGAAATGAACAGCCGCCAAACCATCACCGTTCTTGCTCTCGATAACGGCTCAATTGATGGGCTCTCTGGCAGACCCTTGGAGATTGCAAAGAGGATCTTGAGTGCACATGTAATCCTTGATTACTATGATCAACTGAAGCTTTCAAAACTTCAAAAGGCCAGCACTATCGTTACCACCTTGTACCAAGCTAGTGGCATTGCAGATGATCAACAAGGTTTCTTGAACATTAGCAGAACTGCTGAGGGTATCAAATTCGGTTCAGCAATGAAAGGCGCTCCTCTCGTTGCATCACTTGTGAAATCCGTCTACACACAGCCTTACAACATTTCGGTGCTCCAAGTCACCGAACCTATCGAGACTCCAGGGATTGAGAACATTGCTCCTCCACCACCACCCGGTGCTGCTGCCGCTCCTCCCAAGAAGGCACCTGCTCCAGCTCCAACCAGCAAAACACCTGCTGCACCTCCAACTGCCAAAACCCCAGCCAAATCTCCTTCCAAGGCTCCTGCACCAACCAAGGAGGAACCATCTACACCAACTGAAGCACCAACCGAGGGGCCAGCAGCTGCTGATGCAGATGTACCTGCAAGCTCCCCAGTGGCTGCTGATGCAGATGCACCCGCAAGCTCCTCGGTGGCTGATGAAACACCTGCTGCAGCACCTGCAAAAGCTGCTTCTTCACGTATGCATGTTGGTGGTGCTGCAGTGGTGATAGGATTGATGGCCTGCATCATGGGTTTTTAAAAGGCAAGCAATAGAAAAAGGCAGGAAAAAAATACCCAAAAATAGAGAAAATTGGAACTGGAATGTACCCCCTCTAATCACTTTGATTTTGAAATGAAGCGAAGCCTAAATGGGGGCAAATATATTTTGTTTAGTCTGATATTTACCTATAGATTGCAAATTAAAAATTTCCCACCATACTTTTTATAAATGCCTGGATTTTTCATCAAGCATAATCCCAGTTTTATTCTTTTCACCTTTTTCATGATAATTTGGCAGTTCTGTATTATTGCAACCAAAATTTGACTGCAATTTGACAGAAATGACAAAAGATCTGGACATTACTTGAATATTTAAATGGAAAATAAGAAAATTAAATCCATAAAAGACATTGCAAAATCAAGCTTAAACATCGAAACCATGAAGGATAATAGGTTAATAATGGCATTGCAACTTCCCTTAATTCACTGGCCTGTGTTAAAACAAGAAAGAACTACAATAACATGAATTCGCTCATAAGCATACGAGCTTGTCAGGAAAATCCAAAATGGCTGTAAGGCTCCTAACCAGAATCAGAACAGAACTGGAAAGTGCAAAATCAACAGCTATGATTAGTACTAAGGTTTCGACCATTGAACCAGACTAACTTGGTTAACTTTCAATTAAACCCCCAAAAAGAGACTCTTTATGCTCCAGCCAAATTCATCCAGATGCACTGGTTGAGCTTTTGACCCTGACAATTATATCTGAGATGACTTGGTCCATGTCAAGTGCCTTCAACGGTGGAAACGGTCTTTTCATGTTCTGCAATAGTTGAAAGGAGAAGCAAAAATGAGACAGCTACCAGCAGAGGATATTGGCAATGTTTAGTGAATTATGTCAGATAAATTTTTGAAATAAACGCAGGAAGCAATTCTAACAGATCTTGCAAACTAAACATTATGTAAATGCCTCTGGATGTGGAAACAAATCCCAACAGCTAACATGTCTGTAAATTATGTGCAATTTCACCAATGACTCCCTGACTAAATAAACTTATCAAATATAATAGCATTATAATAATGCAAAATTTTACCCCTGATCAGTGACAGAAGAATGGCTATTGCATGCGGATTTTGATGATCTAACCATTACTGGCTCTTTTTAGGGCTCTAAGAAAATGGCGCATTAGATCTAGACTTGTTTAGGGTACAGAGATCCAGGTTTTCATGAAAGTTAGTTTATGACCTTGGACATCAAGCAAAAAAGCAATTTATTATTCAAGCTATCTCCACCTATTTGAAAAATGAAGTAGCAAGTTTTTACAAGAAATCATTGAGTGCAAGTGCTGATCTTTATGCACTGTAAGCATGATAAATTGTGCCCATCCTAAAGGTTTCTAGAGGCCGAGACAAAATCAAAGTAATGAAATAAATCAGCTATACTGCACAAATGGATGAATTAAATAGGCTATCATAGATAAATAAGGTGTGAATTTTACCAGAAGACTGATGAACATCACCCCGCCTTCCTCCCGTATTTCAAAGCATCCCCTTCTAGGCTGTTGAAAATTGGAGAAAAAAAATCAGGAAATACAAAATATGAATGAAAAAGAGAAGTTAAAACACAATAGGCCAGTAACATATCAGATAGTCCTTTGGCAAAAGCAGACTTGTTGTCCCTAATCTTTTTGTTATCAAAGACTTTATTAGTTGACATCAGCAACAATTACTTATTTAAGACTGGGAAATGCATGAAACTTTGATCATGACAAGTAAACAATGATTAACATCTTTGCATATGCATGCATCAAGTTCTTGGGTTTAATATCATAAAACATAACAACATCAGTCTCCATCAATATTTTTTTTTGTGTCCGCACATGTATGTGTATATTTTGTAAGTACAGAATCGGATAGAGTTTGGATTCACAAGAAACAAAGTTGAAATGTCTTAGACATGCAATAAACAGCATAAATATCCAAGATAACAGTATTGGGAGATATCACCACATTGTCAATTCATAAATGAATCAAGGTAACACATAACCAAAGCTTGTAAATCTCTGAATTTACTGCAATTTCAAATAATACATAGTAACTAGCCAAAATATGACAAGGATTGAAATCAGATCCTTTATGTTATGCAATAAGTAAAAGCCCTCAATATAAGAAACCACACCAACTAACCATAAATCTGCCTTTTCACCCACAGAAGGGAGTGCTGAGTACAAGAGCACTATACCAGATGCTCATCCAAGCACTCAAAGCATTAGATTGTTGAAAAGGCCATAATACAACAAATTTCTAAAACTGGACATAAATCTGCTTCTTTATCCATAAGAACACACATCAATTACAGCAGCAAAAAGTTAAGTAATTGAGCTACGTGCGAAACACCTTGGATTATTGAAAAGCTCCTGCCGCAAAAATTTAAGACTAGGTGCATTCTGCCTTTTCCCTCAGTGAAAGAGGTTGAGGTTGGGGTGAACATCAGGTATTGAAAAGGTCATTGAGCCTAATGGCTCTGGCAAACGAACTAGAAGCTCAATAGTAGACCCAACTAACAGCTGTGTATAGAGGTTAATAACATTCAGCAAAAGTACCTTCTCAGGATTGAGTAACACAGAGATACCAGGAAAAGCACTCAACAAACCATCTTTCACCTGCATAGCTCGTGTCTTGAATGCATTGCACTGTTTGCTGCAAGAATCAACATATGATTAGGAAATGCATCATACAATAGAAGACACTTTTTATTTAGCACAAAGAACTTAACTACAGAACCAACAATTGTGCAATAATCCCTCAAATCATATCAACACTTAGATGCCATATAGAACAGAACTTTCACATGGAAGCATACCGCATCAAGTAGATGTTTTCATATTGGTATTTTTAAATGCAAGATTAGAAAACCAAATATTGCTGAAAAAAATCATCACTCTATGCTTTGAAGTTCAATCCATTCCCCCACAAACCAAATATGAATAAGCAAATGTTGGATACCCTGTCTTGTTTTATCTCTATCAAGTTCCCTCAACCTTCTTCAAAATCCATTGTCACTGAAGTGAAAATACTCAACTGAAAAGCTTAAAATAACCAAAACAGGTTCTAATAGAATAAAAGATTGACAGGTCCAATAACCTCATGCCGGGATATAAATCTCATCCAAGTTTAAAAAACAGAGCAGGTTTCAACTCCCCTTCCTCAACACCAAAGGAACAGATCCCAACCAAAAAAGACCTTATACAATACAAAACAATGCTTCTATATTTGATACCAAGCAGTCAAGCACAGCAAGTACCAGAAACTAAAACCTTATAAGTGGTACTTATCCATTTTCCTAAAAAGCAACCAGATGCGTTGGGGAAAAAACAACAGCAATTCCAATCAATTGCCTGACATGGGAAACTTACTTTTTAATCCTTCCCTTTCAGCCAATCGATGGGCAGCCAAACAGGATGTACTAAATAAAAACGATAATCATGTTTCCTATTTAGCAAAACCCCCAAAAATAAAATTAAAAAAAAAAAAATCGATCTAAGACATCAAAATCACCAACACACAAGTTCCTAATCTAATTTCGTTTATTCAAAATAAACCCACCCCCAAGTTCTTGAAAACCACTCCATCCCCAAACGAAATTATGCCTCTATTTTCTTGGGAATCAAGCACAATCAGAGAGACAGAGAGAGAGAGTCCAAATTGATTAAAGTAAAATACCCAATCACTAATTCAACTAACCTTATAAACAAAAATCTCTAATCCTCTAAGACTAACAGCCTACTTTACTCATGTAAATCAGTAACAAACACACAGCAAAAAACAAAGAGAAAGTAAGAAAGAACCAACCAAGGGCTTGTTTCAACCCAATTTCCTGTACCTTCTTTCATTTTCTCAGCAAACAAACAGAAATCAAGTAGCTGAACCCTAGCTCCACTATTATTTCTCCCAAAGGCAAAAAAAGACTCAATTCTTTTTAAGGAAAAACAAACTAATAAAAATTAAACCGAAACAAAATAAAAGAATATTCACTTGATCTCCATTTTAGTTTTTTCCCTCTACTTGGTCGAAAACCAACAAGCCTTAAAAAAATTAATAAAAATAAAATAAAAACTCACCAATGTTCAATCACGATAGTCTTATTAGCTCCATCACCAGTAGAAGTTATCTTCCCCTTAACATCCTCTTCTTTCACTTCGTCCCCGTCCCCGTCCTCATCAGCCTCGTCTTTTTCTTCCTTCTCATCCTCGTTGTTAACCTCCACCTGAGCCTCCGTGGAAGTCGCGGTCGCAGTAGCAGTCGCTGTCTCAGCCGCAGTCTTCACCTTCTTCTCTTTCGTCTTACTCTCTTCTGCTTTTCCTTGCTTTCTCTTCTTCCCCGAATCGGTCGATAACTCAGTCAACCTCGCATTGAGTCGCTTAGCTGAGCTCCGAGTCAACCGAGTCGAAGTCCGGGTCGCTGGCTTCGGCAACGGCTTCGTTTTGGTCTCATCAGCCTTCTTTCTTGGCGCCATTGAAAAGAAGAAGAAGAAGAAGAAAATGAGAGTCCGTACAAATTCGCCCTACTTTCTTTCTCTTTCTCTTACTCCGTGTGTGAAAAAGGCATGCATTGGGTTGCGTGACCGTTTTTTTATTCTATTTTTTATTTTTTATTGTTGTTTTTGGTTTTTCATTTTCCCGCGCTTTTAATGAAGGCGGATTTTTAAGAGACGGTGTGTGATGGGGTTTCGTATGGTGTTCGATGTGATGGGGATTGAAAGGATAATATTTTGCCACGTGGAATAAAGGAACGGTAGGGTTCAAGACACGATATCTATCCATATGGGTCCTCTAGCCGTCCAAAAAATCCAATTTGCTTGGGATTTTGTCTTGTTGCGTGACGTGTGTGTTAGTTAATTAGGGTGTCGTTTATTTTAAAAATAATAAATACATAAATAGTTGGATGATGGAAATTATTGGGTAAAATTTATTTAAAACTTTTTTTAAAAAATAGAATCATCTCAGATTATTTTTTGTTATTATTTTTAATGTTAAAATATAAACAAATACGATTTTTTATTTTAAAAGATTCTGGAATTTTTTAAGAATTTGATTAGATTTTTCTTAAAATATATGTAAAACTTAAAGATTAAAATATCAAAAATTAATTTTTTAAAGAAAGAAGGATGATTATTGAAAAAATCATATGGTAGACAAAATTAAAAAAAAAAGTTTAAAATAGTATTTTCCTTGCGTGGATAAAGGATAGTGGAAGAGAAACAAAATCTGCTTGCGTGGCAGATTATAAACCAATAAAGAATCACCACGTGGGGCTTCAATCACCAAAATTCTTAGCCATTCAACAAATGTAGAAAAAAATGTAGCGAACGTAACAAGCATCAAGACTCAGGCTCTCTACCTCTCTCTCCATCTCCATGGCTGCTCTTTCTTCTTTAGCTTTGTTATCTTCGTTTAGAGGCCCTGAATCATGCAAGACAAAATCCCGAATTCCCCACTCGAAAATTCCCAGTAACGGTTCGTTTTCATTTCAGTGTAGAAAGAGCAGAATCCCACAAATTTTGTGTTCTGTTTCGGTCTCTGACCCTCAAGTTCGAGCTGGACGACCTTATGATTTGGTTGCTTCTATTCTTTCCAAGGTATGATACGATTTAAGATTTTTTCTATGTATATATCAATTGCTCTGTTTGTTGAGTTAAAATGGTGAATTTCTGTTTTCTTTGTTTAGTTCTTTTTAGCACTTCCGGTTCTGTTAAGTATTAGTAAATTGTAAAAGTAATGATTCCTCAATTCAACGATTTTGGTGGAATAAACAGTGATATGATTCGTGCTAGGTGTTGATTAGGCGAGACCAACAAGAGGGTTCCATTTGATCATATGGGTGGCAGAAAATTCGTGCTTCTTGATTAATATCAACCATTTGATGGATGTGGGGAATCATAAGTTGGCTCTATGCCTCTACTCCATCAATAATTGATAATATTCAAGAAACTAATTCGAGTTTAAGGTAAATAACATTACTGAGGATGAATCTAGATGTTGATGCCGGTGAAATTAATGAATTTGAATAAAAACAATAAAAAGATTAGTTGAAGTCAAATCCAATGGTCAACCGGCATTGTCGTTTTAAAGATACAAGCAGTATAGGTTACCTGTTTTCAATGCTATAACTATTGATAGTAGCTATATTAATGGTTTGGGATGATTTTCTGGTTTGTGGTCACTGAAATTGAGTCATATTTTCAACTAGGTATCAGGAACGGACAGGGGTGTTTCGCTAACTAAAGAACAACAAGAAGAAGTAGCAGAAGTTGCGCAAGAATTGCAGAAATATTGTGTTGCCGAACCAGTGAAATGCCCTCTTATATTTGGAGGTAAATTCAAAGATGCTAATTGGAAATGTAAAATGTTTATTTTTGTTTATGTTGGGTTTAGTTTAAACAATCACGTGTTTTTTATTAGAGTGGGATGTGGTGTATTGCTCGAATCCAACTTCACCTGGAGGTGGCTTCAGGAGTGCATTCGGTCGCCTTGTTTTTAAAACAAAGGAAATGATTCAGGCTGTTGAAGCTCCTGATACTGTGAGAAACAAGGTGTCATTTTCTGCTTTGGGTTTCCTTGATGGAGAGGTCTCCTTGAAAGGTAAGCCTAACTGCATTTTATTCTGTGAATGGAACATCAAAATGTCCTTAGTTGGCTTTCAAAAACTGAGTCGAAAGCTATCATTTGGCATTGAGCAGCAACGAAACACATTGACGCTTCTAATCGATTCTAAAAATTTCAAGCCGAGACTGTTTTATGATGAAACTCACCTGTTCTGCGCCATTGATTTACCTTCGAATACTTTGGTCCTGTTGCCCTTTCATCCTCGTTTAGAAATTAGGATTTGTAAGATGATTATAAAGTCAATAGGTTGATTATCAGTACTGTGTTAGGATATGATTTAAGTGAATCTTTCTAGCTACAGTGTGATTTACTCCCTGATTCAATGTTGGCATGAACTGTTACTTCTTGTCTACATCCTGACGAAACATTAGATTCAACCTTTGTGCATATTGCAGGTAAGTTGAAAGCTTTAGATGATAGTTGGATTCAAGTTATATTTGAGGCACCTCAACTAAAGGTTGGATCACTGGAGTTCCAGTACGGTGGAGAAAGCGAGGTTAGGTTGCAGATCACTTATATCGATGAGAAGATCAGGTTGGGAAAGGGCTCAAGAGGTTCTTTGTTCGTTTTTCAAAGACGCAAATAGAGTCAATGAAATGTTCATGTGCAGATTCTTTTTCCTTGTCATGGGATGTTCTGTCTGTAAATTTGATGGAATGGAAACTGCTAACAGTATATATGTGAGAAATCACCAAACTTCAGTATTGAATGAACCGCTCCAACATAATTCCAATGATATTTGCTGGCTATATTGGCAAACCTTGTTCAAACTATAGCATTTTCAAAATATTCATGAAAAATGCAGCTGAAAGTCAAGTTCATTGCAGTGACGGAAAGCAGGAGAAAAAAAAAAAAAAAGGCAGAACAAAAGAAAGAAAAAGGAAAATGACAAAGCTTTCGATTTGAGTTATTATTTATATGGTAAAGTTACAAAGCTTTCCTCTACACATAATTAAACATGTAAAATACAAAGTGCAACAGAAAGTAAAATATAAAAACAATAAACACCACTGTAATTTAATTTAAGGATGCATATCTCCTTCGATTTGAGCTGGAAATCTTGGAGTCCATGTCCTGCTGCACTTAAGGAGATAAATTTGCTGGTAATTAATCAGCCATACCATTATCATTAGACCACAGTAATGATTATATAAGAGTAATACTGCAAGTTACCTGCAGCTCCATTGTTGTCAATATTCTTGTTAGTGTGAAAAATCCATGCCCTTTCCATTCTCTGTGAAGATAGCTGCAAAACAAAGTCTAGTATATCAGTGGCTGTTATCTAAACCGTGTTGGAGTTTTTAATGAAAAAATAAAAACAGGCCATAGAGATCCTCAGAACAAACCTTTTGGGTACTATATTGGCTTAACCGTATATATAGTACCTTATTCTTCTTGCTCTGACTCCTCATAGGCTGCAACTTATAGAAAAAAAGAGCACATCAAAATAAATTGAAGTAGAGTTTCCTAAATTTTTAAGAGCAATAATAAAGCATAATGTTTTCAATTCAAAGATTAAGTTAGTAAAACGAGAAATTACCTGTGGATATGTTAGTGGATAACTATGTTGGGAGTATGAGAGATGTTGGGCCAGCCCTTTCCTGTTCTCTCTTGGAAATGTTTTGCTAGAATGGGGCTCCTTATGATTTGCAGTTCCTCCAGAGTTGTTGACTGATAGAGGTAATCTGGAAGTGCTTTCAATTTTGGGCAATCGAAAATACCCAAGGAACGAAGACATGGCATTATTGACATGTTTGTTTTATCTTCATTTCCTCTTGTCCAGCTCCCATCATCCCACTCTTCCCAATTTCCCATCCCCACAAAATAAAGGCTTTTCAACTGGGGAATGCAATAATATTTGATGGTGATGCCATTTCGCCTTTACTCTCCTTTCTAGTTTTAGCATTGTCACGATCATCAATTTGCAATCCCAACAATTCATGGCCCACCTTTATCACCTCATCCATGTAAGATACGTCTAAAAATTCAAGAGATGGCAACTTCCCAAAAGGAGGCAAATTCTCAATCTTGTGGCAACTCCTATGTTTAACCTTCTTTAGTTTGGTTAAAGACATAATACAACTAGGGAACTCTCTGATTCCTTGGTAATAACGTATACACAAATTTTCTAAGATTGGAGGTGGTTCCAAGGCTTCAAGGACTTCATCATCTCTAATCGTTATCCTATTCCTACTCGTCGTCCGCGAAAATTCTAAAGTTAAATCAACGAGGTGTTCTTTACTTTTAAGTTACGCTTTCTTTGCGTCTTCCGGATCCGTCACATTTCCCAACCATCCTATCCTAAGATACCCTTGAAGGTGGTTCAAGTTTTTCAAATCCCCAAGATTAGACACTTCACCACCATCCTCACTACTACTCACATAAAACGCATCTAATTCTCGAAGAGAACTTAACCCTTCTAATCCTCTCATCGTTAAGCCATCCCTATTATAAACACCGAGATATCTTAATTTGACCGGTTTTCCTATGTTATCGGGCGGTTTCTTAAGCATATTATACAAGACATCTAATGTTTGCATATTGTACAATTCACACATTGCTTCGGGTAACTTCTTGAATCTATTCCAAGAGAAGTTAACATGCCTCGAGTGTATCAACTTTCCTATGTTGGATGGAACTTCTTCTATACCACACGAGTGGCAAGGACAATGTTCTTAGACAACTCAAATGATTGATTAAGTTAGGCGAGTACGCGATAGTCAATGTAGAACCATCAACAACCGGGGTGCGAAGCTTATTGAAACTATGAATGGTAGGGGAAATGAGGTTTCGGAATGAAACACTATCATTAAGTGTCGTGCTTCTCTAGAAAAAGAGTCTATCTTGGACTCTACAGCACCATTGACCTCTACACTAAAACATTCATTCTTTGTCAATGATTGTGCAAAATCATGCACAATATCATGCATCTTACATCCGAAAACGCTACCATCAACTCTTTTCTCAAAATCTTGGAAGAAAGAGCGTGCGACTAAATTTTCGAAGCACTCATGACCCATTACTTCCATCTCTTTATTTTCTTATTCCCGAAGATAACCCCGGGCCATCCACGAGCTTGATCAAAGCATCTCTCTCTATTGTGTAGTCTTTGGGAAAGAGCGCACAATAGGAGAAACAACGTCTCATTTTAAAGGGCAAGTCATAGTAGGTCAACCATAAAGGAGCTAAAAGATTGCTTTCAGCTTCTTTTATCTCCCAAACACTACTATTCAAGACACTTTCCCACTCTCCTCTACTTCTTTGAAGCGCAGAAGACTTCCTAGACTCTTTGCGAGCAAGAGGCAAGCCTTTACACCTACTCGCAACATTCCTCCTCGGAGAGCGGTTTTAGTTCTAATATGTCGGTGGGTGTGGAGCCCATGCTACTCGCCACATTCTTATTACGAGTAGTCACTAAAACTCTACTTCTAGGCAAACCACATTTGAGGGAGCTTTTCGGTTGCTCCCACTTTGTGGAATCCTCATTCCACACATCATCTAGGACAAGCAGGAATTTCTTATCCCTAATAGATTGTTGTATTTGTTGGAGTAAAGTCTACAATTGATTTAAATTTGGGGCGGAATTCTCGAGAACTTCAAGGATTGCCTTGGCAATTCTTATCTCATCAAAGGGATTCGATACACGGACCCATATTCTCTTGTGGAAATGGGTCTCCACCTTACTATCATTATAAACTAGTTTAGCTAGGGTTGTCTTTCCTATCCCCCCATCCCTACTAAAGAGATTGTACGGAGGGTTGGACCTTGACTCGCTCTCACTCAACAATATGTCCATTACACTCGTTTTTATCCATTTCTCTACCATTAACTTCGATACATCTATAACGAAGCGGTTTGTCGATGTTCAAATTGTTTAATTCTCGCTTCACATTTATTAAAGTTGAACCTATCTTTCTCTATCACAATTCTATCTATTCTTTCATTCGGATCTTTAATCTTGCGAGCAATGCGACAACGCAAAACGACTTTACTAAAACGAAAGCAAGAGAAGATCCCGAAACAACATACCTTCCATGTTGTCTTGTGAGGATGCTCATTTACCTTCATTTGTGATTTCATAATTGCGAGTGCCCCACTCATCCAAAACGTCATCCATGTCGTAAGATACGTCTTTGAGTTGATCTAACCAACGTTTGATGGAGGCCTCCTTCAATTGTCTTTCCTCTCGCATCCGTAAGAATAGCTTGGATGTCTAGGAAATTGCTTTTAAGGTTTTGAACCTCATCCTTGATGCCCACGACGAGACTCACTTCTTTTTCCACGGCGGGAATAATGATTGAGCTCGAATTGCTCCAAGACTATGGAAAGAAGAGCATCGACCATATTCGAAGTAAGGAGTAATTGAGAAGAGAGTAAAATGAAAAAAAAAACGAGGATTGTTTGTGGGTATGGGATGTGTAGGCGGTAATTGATTGGTTGGGAAAAGAAGGGAAATCCAAAAGCATGCAAAAGGCTCTTATGCTTTGATGTGATTGCATCTATATATATCTTGCGTTGGAAATGACCACGGAATCTCTTAATTTGATGTCCCAAAGCAAAGTGCTTTGCTTCGAAGATGGTTTTTGGGATACCTGTCTTCCTTCAAGAAATGCCCTATATCCTTTCCTTTTGAGTTCGGACAACTTATTTCTCCGAAATATTCCAATATTTATAAGAGCAAGCTGATCGTAAGATTCTTTTCCACCCCGGATTCATTAAAATTGCTTAATGGTAGGTATCAAGAGCAATGACGAGCTTAAGCAAGAATATCCTGACGAGCTTTGCTTTGATGATAGTTTTTTGGATACCTGTCTTTCCCCAAAAAATACCCTATATTCTTGCCTTCGTGTTCGATGACTTAGCGGCTAAGGATGAGATTCTATAATGTTTTATTTTAATTTGGATGGATATGCTTTTACGACGATAGAGTCATTAAGCTACGTAATAGTCTATGCTTTCATCGGAGGCGATAAAGTGATGAATTCGATGATTTTATTTTTGTTTATTATCAAGACGGCGATATAAGTCGGTGCTTGTTTAAAGCAAATAACTTTGTCACGGGACAATTGAATCTTTATTTTTTGTAGGAACCCCACGACAATTGAATTTCTCTATCTTTATAGAAAAAATAAATGGTTACCTTGGGATCACATGATGTTCTCGGGAATTCACATTAGTAAACTTGGATCCTTTTTGTAAGAATCTTGGTATCCACGCCAGCGGTGAAAAATTTTACGAGGATCATAATCAAGTGTTATTTTGATATAGAGATACTTAAGCAAATTTAAAGGCAATCTTGTCGTCGTCAATGATCCCACTAATCCAAATAAAGAACTCCATCTAAGCACAACTCGATATTGAACAAATTTTTTTATTGTCTTGAACTCTATCATCCAAAAGGAGAAATTAAGGTGATGAAAGATCAAATGCATGTAAACGATTTCACTAGCTAGACATTCAATTTTCCTGTCAAGACGGACAAGATCGTCACAATTCCTTCGAGTCCATCAACACACTGTGCTCGAAAAGCTGGGAAAGAAAACAAGAATGTTAAAACACATACAGCAACAAGGACATTAATTGAAAAGAATTTGCTCTTGATTGAGTTTCATACTAGGTTTTACGTGGATGTCCGATGTCCGATGTCCGTTTAATGTTATTCCACACACGTGAGTCTTCACAAAGTTGCGGCACCATGGATATTGCAATGGGCTTCCACCTCAAATCCTTAATCCGGCAACTCGTCAAGCGGATGCTATCTTTAAGTTTCAAGCCTGTAAAGGCCTAAAATAAAACAAAAGTTGAACTTTGGACAAGTTTAGCTCGGCCCATCTCATAAGTAAAGGCCTAAAAAAACACTCGATACCGAGCTTTAACCTTGCAAGTTTAGCTCGGCCCATCTCATAAGTGAAGGCCTAAAAAAAAACACTTTGATACCGAGCTTTAACCTTGCAAGTTTAGCTCGGCCCATCTCATAAGTGAAGGCCTAAAAAAACACTTTGATACCGAGCTTTAACCTTGCAAGTTTAGCTCGGCCCATCTCGTAAGTTTTAGACAAAATCTTATTACAAACACGGACAATTCCATATTTAGACCACACTTGCCCTCTCGTCTCTATTTTATTTGGTAGATGTAAAGAGATTAATTATAAATTAGTCCCTTTTTTTCCTAAGAAATGAATTAATTAATTCTTCTTGTTTAAAAAAACTATTCACTTAGCCTCTATGTTTTGAAATTTATTTATAATTTAGTCCTTTTTGTTCCTTTTAAATTTATTTTTATTTTTTATTTTAAGAAATAGAAAAAAAGGAAAAAAATATGGAAAGATCATGAGAAAACAAGAAGTTTTGTGGAATCAAAATAATATTAAATTATACATGATTAACATTGATTAAAAATTTAAATTATAATTTTTTAAATGAGAGAAACTAATTAATTTGTTTCTTGAAACTAGAGAGACTAATTTAGAATCTAATCGATGTAAAGGGTGATTTGCATGTTTCGATATTAGTTGGGTCACCTTTAAATGCTTTTATGTTACTAACATTATTATTCAATATTTTAAAATAATTTATTTATTCGAGTGTAGATGACTTATTCAGAATTTATATATATAAAGTTAATTTTGATGTACGAAAACTGAGATAAGAATTTAAACTTCACCAATTGAAGAAACAAAAAGTAGTTAGGTCTAAAAGTTAAAATAGATTCAAGGTAATTAATTAAAATTGGTGGGATATCTCACACGTGATCAATTCTCCAAAATGGTACTGACTCGGCACTTGTTGAAATTTGTTTTATCATCGTGGATAGAGATGGGAATTTATTTCCTAGATGAGTTTCCTTTCAGAGTGTTATCAGTTTTAGGCCATGCCATGTTAATTGAGTTTTCTTTTGATTAAAGAAAATAATAATGGAGTATGCTCGGATTAATTTTTATATCAATTCATACTAAGTTTCAAGTTAAGTAATTTTTCAATAATAACAATCGAACATATGACTTGATAAGTCAAATACATTCTTATTAACACCCCACTTACAACTCAGGAGAAATGAAATTCATGTAGTTAAACGAAAAAAAAAAAAAAAGAAACCTATGTACTTGATTGAAAAAAAAAAAGAATAAATTTGTTATTTGTTATTCTATAAATAATTGACATATTATCAGCTAACAAAAAAATTATTATTTTTTTTTAATTTTGATATATTTAAATTAAAAAAATTAAAATTCATATATTTAATAGAGAAAAAGTTAAAAATTATTATATTTATTGCATAATTATCTTTAATCTTTTCTATATAAATTTGTGGATTTACTCATGACAATTGTTAAACAAAGGAGATTAGTACACTTAGGAGTTTAGTATTTTTTTACAGTGGTGTAGCGGCCCTCTTTATGTGGCGTAGGAATTGAAGTGATTTATTAATTTAATTTAACTTCTAAGAATCTTGAAGCTCCCAAAACTTAAAGAGTAAATTATAAATTATTTCTTATAGTCTCCAGAAAGTAACTGGTGGGGTAAATCAATACAATGCATGCATTTCATTCATGATTATGGTAATTAATTTTTCTTTTTTACTTTCTTTGTTCCAAAAAAATTGTTTCTTTTGATTTTTCATATAATTAAGAAAACTATTAATTATTATGTTATATCAGTATTTTTTATTTATCCTTTTCGAAAATACTTTATCTAGAATTGTATTTGAACAAACTTTTTTGGTAAATAAACTTTAATTAGAGTTATTTTAATGAAATACGTCACTTAAAGTTTTTATATGACAAATATTTTGGGACAGCACTAAAAATAGCACTTCATGATTGATTAATGTTCTTTTATGAACAAATTCGACTATATTCTATAAATCTAAATTATTAACTTCAAATTAAATGAATATAATTTATGGCAATGCTAACAATTCGAATCATTATTAGTTTTTTTTTTTTTTTAATCTAATTCAGTTAATTGAATTTAAAACCAAAGGCTAGATTGAGATGAGTTAATTATAAATTAGTCATTTTAGTTTTGAGAAATGCTAATTAGTCTTCTTTATTTAAAAATTAATTATTTGATTATTTGATCAATATTGATAATTCTTAATTTAATATTATTTTATCCTACACTCACAATATCTTACCATCACTCTAACCAAAATTGATAAAATGACTAAATTATTAATAAAATTAAAACACAAGAGAGCTAAATGGTTAGTTTTTGAAATAAAAAGGACTAATTAATTTGTTTATGGAAACAAGAGAGACTAATTTATAATTTAGACAAAGTTTAAAAAAATAATTAAACAAATCAATAATTAAGTACGAGGCAGGGGATAGTTGGCACAGAGAAAGACAGAGGAGAGGACGCAAGATTCCCATGGGGCACGTGCGGTTGTGGTTTTAGCCGAAAGGGCAAAGCAAACTGAAAGCAGTCAAACAAGAGAGCTCCGAGGAAGGGAAGCCAAAGGCTTACGTGTGCGTGGTCTTCTATAGTGGGCCCCACTTTTGAGATAAGTTGTCAAAAGTTGAGCTGCCACTTTATGTGGGCCCTTTCCCCCACGGGACTTCCACTTACTAATCTTTAAATAATAATACCTACTGAATAAATTATTATAAGTCAGACATAAAATATTTGTAAAAATATTCAGAAATTTTTTATTACTGTGGGGTGAATTTGAATAAATTATTATAAGTAGACGTAAAGAAGATGCGCATCTCTTTTCAATTTCAGAATCAATTACTCGGCTTTTAATTTTAAATTATTTTTTATTTAAAATTATATTATTTTATTCTAATTTTTATTGATTTTAGGATGTAATTGTAATTTTTTAACTTTAAAAACTTATAAATAAATTTTTTAAAATTTATTTCTTTTCTCTAAATATTAACGAATAAATAATTAAAAAATATAAAAGAACAAAATTTTGTAAAGAAAAATAAAATATCTATAAATTTTAGTATTTTTTAATCGATAGAAAAGTTAAAACAATCAAGTACGCACAAGTTAGATATATATTTTACTGTTAAAATTAATAAAAATCTATAATTAAAATGATGAAAAACCGTTAAAAGAAAAAAACTCAATTTGAAGATAAAAAATAATTTGAAAAATTCCAACTTGAAATTAGACGGTATAATACAGATTCGTCTTCTTCTGCTTTTTTGTTGTTTCCTTTCTTACACTTTTTTAACAATACATACCAAATTATTTTTACAATATCTTACACTTTGCATTTGAAACTCATAAATTTGTATATTTTTTTTCATTATTTTTACTATAAAATTTAATTCAAAATACGATATAATTTTTATGGATCCACAATTACTCATTATCTTGTAAACTGATACAAAAAACTTTTTTTTTCTTTTGTTTTTTTTAATATTTATAATTAATAGGATATTTTCAAATTATTTTTCATATTAATCGACTGTTTTCGTCACTTTTTTAATTAAGTTAGAAATGGATCAGATTTAATTTTAAATCGATTTTAAAAATCAATTTTTTTGAGAGCACACCAATAATATATGTTCATTATGACAAAAAGTAGATAAAGAGTTTTTAAAGAGTGAAAATTGAATCTCTAAACTAATAAACCAGATGTGTTTTTCTTACCACTCTACTTACCATCTTCAATATATACCAAACACATTTATCGTTTTATCCTTTAAATCTTGCTCATTTAACATTTCCTTTTAAAAAATTTTGTGTTTTCCCTCATTTTTTTAAAAATCAATGACATAACGCCATAAGATGATGATGATGATAATGGACCTAAAATTCAATTATTACCAGAGTGGATAGTGGAAGAGAAATAAAATCTGATTTTATTTAGCTTTGTTTTCTTCGTTTAGAGGCCCTGAATCATGCAAAACAAAATCCCGAATTCCCCACTCGAAAATTCCCAGTAACTTTTCATTTTCATTTCATTGTAGAAAGAGCAGAATCCCACGAATTTTGTGTTCTGTTTCGGTCTCAGACCCTCAAATTCGAACTGGACGACCTGATGATTTGGTTGCTTCTATTCTTTCCAAGGTATGATAAGATTTAAGATTGTTTCTATGTATTTATCAATTGCTCTGTTTGTTGAGTTAAAATAGTGAATTTCTGTTTTCTTTGTTTAGTTCTTTTTAGGACTTCTGATTCTGTTAATTATTAGTAAATTGTAAAAGTAATGATTCCTCAATCCTCAACCAACGATTTTGGTGGAATAAACAATGACATGATTCGTGCTAGGTGTTGATTAGGCGAGACCAATAAGAGGGTTCCATTTGATCAAATGGGTGGCAGAAAATTCGTGCTTAAATGGATGTGGGGAACCATAAGTTGGCTCTATGCCTCTACTCCATCAATAATTGATAATATTCAAGAAACTAATTCGAGTTTAAGGTGAATGACATTACTTAGGGTGAATCTAGATGTTGCTGCCGGTTAAACTAATGAATTTGAATAAAAAAAATGAAAAGATTAGTCGAAGTCAAATCCAATGGTCAACCGGCATTGACGTTTTCAATGCTCTAACTATCAATGGTTTGGGATGATTTTCTGGTTTGTGGTCACTGAAATTGAGTCGTATTTTCAACTAGGTATCAGGAACGGACAGGGGGTTTCGCTAACTAAAGAACAACAAGAAGAAGTAGCAGAAGTTGCGCAAGAATTGCAGAAATATTGTGTTGCCGAACCAGTGAAATGCCCTCTTATATTTGGAGGTAAATTCAAAGATGCTAATTGGAAATGTAAAATGTTCATTTTTGTTCATGTTGGGTTTTGTTTAACCAACCACGTGTTTTTTATTATAGTGGGATGTGGTGTATTGCTCGAATCCAACTTCACCTGGAGGTGGCTTCAGGATTGCATTCGGTCGTCTTGTTTTTAAAACAAAGGAAATGATTCAGGCTGTTGAAGCTCCTGATACTGTGAGAAATAAGGTGTCATTTTCTGCTTTGGGGTTCCTTGACGAAGAGGTCTCCTTGAAAGGTAAGTCTATCTGCATTTTATTCTGTGAATGGAACATCAAAATGTCCTTAGTTGGCTTTCGAAAACTGAGTCGAAAGCTATCATTTGGCACTGTCCAGCTACAAAACATATACATATTGACACTTCAAATCGATTCTAAAATTTTTAAGCCGAGACTGTTTTATGATGACACTCACCTGTTCTGCACCATTGATTTACCTTAGAATACTTTGGTTCTGTTGCCCTTTCATCCTCGTTTAGAAATTAGGATTTGTAAGGTGATTATAAAGTCAATAGGTTGATTATCATTACTGCATTAGGATACGATTTAAGTGAATCTTTCTACCTACACTATGATTTACGGCTCGAGTGTCTTTCCTTGCTTCAACGTCGGTATGAACTGTTACTTCTTGTCTACATCCTGACGAAACATTAGATTCAGCCTTTTTGCATATTGCAGGTAAGTTGAAAGCTTTAGATGATAATTGGATTCAAGTTATATTTGAGGCACCTCAACTAAAGGTTGGACCACTGGAGTTCCAGTACAGTGGAGAAAGCGAGGTTAAGTTGCAGATCACTTATATCGATGAGAAGATCAGGTTGGGAAAGGGCTCAAGAGGTTCTTTGTTCGTTTTTCAAAGACGCAAATAGAATCAATGAAATGTTCATGTGTAGATTCACTTTCCTTATCATGGGATGTTCTGTCTGTAAATTTGATGGAATGGAAACTGCTAACAGTATATATGTGAGAAATCACCAAATTTCAGTATTGAATGAACCGCTCCAACATAATTCCGATGATATTTGCTGGCTATGTTGGCAAACCTTGTTCAAACTATAGCATTTTCAAAATATTCATGAAAAATGTAGCTGAAAGTCAAGTTCATTGCAGTGACGGAAAGCAGGAGAAAAAAAAAAAAAAAAAAAAGCAGAACAAAAGAAAGAAAAAGGAAAATGACACAATATTTACGTGGAAAACCCTCTCGTAATGAGGGAAAAAAACCACGGGACAATCACGAATGAGTTATTATTTATATGGTAAAGTTACAAAGCTTTCCTCTGCATATAATTAAACTATAGGATACAGAACATGTAAAATACAAAGTGCAACAGAAAGTAAAATATAAAAACAATAAACACCACTGTAATTTAATTTAAGGATGCATATCTCCTTCGATTTGAGCTGGAAATCTTGGAGTCCATGTCCTGCTGCACTTAAGGAGATAAATTTGCTGGTAATTAATCAGCCATACCATTATCATTAGACCACAGTAATGATTATATAAGAGTAATACTGCAAGTTACCTGCAGCTCCATTGTTGTCAATATTCTTGTTAGTGTGAAAAATCCATGCCCTTTCCATTCTTTGTGAAGATAGCTGCAAAACAAAGTCTAGTATATCAGTGGCTGTTATCTAAACCGTGTTGGAGTTTTTAATGAAAAAATAAAAACAGGCCATAGAGATCCTCAGAACAAACCTTTTGGGTACTATATTGGCTTAACCGTATATATAGTACCTTATTCTTCTTGCTCTGACTCCTCATAGGCTGCAACTTATAGAAAAAAAGAGCACATCAAAATAAATTGAAGTAGAGTTTCCTAAATTTTTAAGAGCAATAATAAAGCATAATGTTTTCAATTCAAAGATTAAGTTAGTAAAACGAGAAATTACCTGTGGATATGTTAGTTGATAATTCTGATGTTGGGAGTATGAGAGATGTTGGGCCAGCCCTTTCCTGTTCTCTCTTGGAAATGTTTTGCTAGAATGGGGCTAGAATTGATTTGCAGTTCCTCCAGAGTTGTTGACTGATAGAGGTAATCTGGAAGTGCTTTCAATTTTGGGCAATCGAAAATACCCAAGGAACGAAGACATGGCATTATTGACATGTTTGTTTTATCTTCATTTCCTCTTGTCCAGCTCCCATCATCCCACTCTTCCCAATTTTCCATCCCCCCAAAATAAAGGCGTTTCAACTTGGGGAATGCAATAATATTTGATGGTGATACCATTTCTCCTTTACTCTCCTTTCTAGTTTTAGCATTGTCACGATCATCAATTTGCAATCCCAACAATTCATGGCCCACCTTTATCACCTCATCCATGAAAAATACGTTTAAAAATTCAAGAGATGGCAACTTCCCAAAAGGAGGCAAATTCTCAATCTTGTGGCAACTCCAGAGTGTAACCACCTTTAGTTTGGTTAAAGACATAATACAACTAGGGAACTCTCTGATTCCTTGGTAATGCTCTATACGCAAAGTTTCTAAGATTGGAGGTGGCTCCAAGGCTTCAAGGACTTCATCATCTCTAATCGTTATCCTATTGCTACTTGTCGTCCGTGAAAATTCTAAGGTTAAATCAACGAGGTGTTCTTTACTTTTAAGTTCCGCTTTCTTTCCGTCTTCCGGATCCGTCACGTTTCTCAACCATCCTATCTCAAGAGACCTTTGAATGTGGTTCAAGTTTTTTAAATCCTCAAGATTAGACACTTCACCACCATCCTCACTACCACTCACATAAAACGCATCTAATTCCCGAAGAGAACTTAACCCTTCTAATCCTCTCATCGTTAAGCCATCCTTATTATAAACACCGAGATGTCTTAATTTGACCAGCTTTTCCTATGTTATCCGTCGGTTTCTTAAGCATATTCAACGAGACATCTAAAGTTTGCATATTGTACAATTCACACATTGCTTCGGGTAACTCTTTGATTTTATTCTCGGAGAAGTTAACATGCCTCGAGTGTATCAACTTTCCTATGTTGGATGGAACTTCTTCTATACCATACGATGGCAAGGACAATGTTCTTAGGCAACTCAAATGATTGATTAAGTTAGGTAGGGGTAAGGGTATGAGTAAACCAAACGATGAATCAATATCAACAACCGAGGTGCGAAGCTTATTGAAACTATGAATGGTAGGGGAACCGAGGTTTCGGAATTTAACACTATCATTAAGTGTCGTGCTTCTCTAGAAAAAGAGCCTATCTTGGACTCCGTAGCACCATTGACCTCTACACTAAAACATTCATTCTTTGTCAAAGATTGTGCAAAATCATGCACAAAATCATGCATCTTACATTCGATAATACTACTATCATCATCTTTCTCAAAATCTTGAAAGAAAGAGCGTGCGGCTAAATTTTCGAAGCACTCATGACCCATTACTTCCATCTCTTTATTTTCCGATTCCCGAAGATAACCCCGGGCCATCCACGAGTTTGATCAAATCATCTCTCTCTATTGAGTAGTCTTTGGGAAAGACCGCACAATAGGAGAAACATCGCCTCATTTCGGAGGGCAAGTCATAGTAGCTCAACCATAAAGGAGCTAAAAGATTGCTTTCAGCCTTCTTCTATCTCCCAAACACTACTATTCAAGACACTTTCCCACTCTCCTCTACTTCTTTTAAGCGCAAAAGACTTCCTAGACTCTTTGGAGCAAGAGGCAAGCCTTTACACTTAGCTGCAATGTTTCTACCAATACCTTCTAAATCATCATGCTCTCTATTGGTCTTTCCAAAAAATGCAAATTGGCTAAATAGTGACCAACATTCCTCCTCGGAGAGCGAGTCTTAGTTCTAATATGTCGGTGGGTGTGGAGCCTATGCTACTCGCCACATTCTTATTACGAGTGGTCACTAAAATTCTACTTCCAGGCAAACCACATTTGAGGGAGCTTTTCGGTTGCTCCCACTTTGTGGAATCCTCATTCCACACATCATCTAGGACAAGCGGGAATTTCTTATCCCTAATGGATTGTTGTATATGTTGGAGTAAAGTCTCGCAATTGATCTAAATTTGGGGCGAATTCTCGAGAACTTCAAGGATTGCCTTGGCAATTCTTATCTCATCAAAGGGATTCGATACACGTACCCATATTCTCTTGTGGAAATGGGTCACCACCTTACTATCATTATAAACTAGTTTAGCTAGGGTTGTCTTTCCTATCCCCCCATCCCTACTAAAGAGATTATACGGAGGGTTGGATCTTGACTACTCTCACTCAACAACATTTTCATTACCCCGTTTTTCTCCATTTCTCTACCTTTAACTTCGATACATCTATAACGAAGCGGTTTGTTGATGTTCAAATTGTTTAATTCTCGCTTCACATTTATTAAATTTGAACGTATCTTTCTCTATCACAATTCTATCTATTCTTTCATTCGGATCTTTAATCTTGCGAGCAATGCGACAACGCAAAACGACTTTACTAAAACGAAAGCAAGAGAAAATCCCGAAACAACATACCTTCCATGTTGTCTTGTGAGGATGCTCATTTACCTTCATTTGTGATTTCATAATTGCAGTGCCCCACTCATCCAAAACGCCATCCATGTCGTAAGATACATCTTTGAGCTTATCTAACCAACGTTTGATGGAGGCCTCCTTCAATTGTCTTTCCTCTCGCATCCGTAAGAACGACTTGGATGTCTAGGAAATTGGTTTTAAGGTTTTGAACTTCATTCTTGACACCCACGACGAGACTCACTTCTTTTTCCACGGCAGGAATAATGATTGAGCTCGACTGCTCCAAGACTATGGAAAGAAGAGCATCGACCATATTCGAAGTAAGGAGTAATTGAGAAGAGAGTAAAATGAAAAAAAAAAAACAGGATTGTTTGTGGGTATGGGATGTGTAGGCGGTAATTGATTGGTTGGAAAAAGAAGGGAAATCCAAAAGCATGCAAAAGGCTCTTATGCTTTGATGATGCTTTGATGTGATTGCATCTATATATATATACTGCGTTGGAAATGGCTACGGAATCTCTTAATTTGATGTCCCAAAGCGAAGTGCTTTGCTTTGATGATGGTTTTTTTGGATACCTATCTTCCTTCAAGAAATGCCCTATATTCTTTCCTTTTGAGTTCGGACAACTTATTTCTCCGAATTATTCCAATATTTACAAGAGCAAGCTGATCGTGAGATTCTTTTCCACCCCGGATTCATTAAAATTGCTTAATGGCGAGTATCAAGAACAATGACGAGCTTAAGCAAGAATATCCCGACGAGTTTTGCTTTGATGATAGTTTTTTGGATACTGTCTTTCCCCAAAAAATACCCTATATTCTTGCCTTCGTGTTCGATGACTTATCGGCTAAGGATGAGATTCTATAATGTTTTATTTTAATTTGGATGGATATGCTTTTACGAGCATAGAGTCATTAAGCTCGCGTAATAGTCTATGCTTTCATCGAGGCGATAAAGTGATGAATTCTAATTATTTTATTTTTGTTTGCTTGATTTTGTTTATTATCAAGACAACGATGTAAGTCGGTGCTTGTTTAAAGCAAATAACTTTGTCAAAGGACAATTGAATCTTTATTTTTTATAGGAACCCCACAACAATTGAATTTCTCTATCTTTATAGAAAAACTAAATGGTTACCTTGGGATCGCATGATGTTCTCGGGAATTCACATTAGTAAACTTGGATCCTTTTCGTAAAAATCTTGGTATCCACGCCGACGAGTGAAAAATTTTACGAGGATCATAATCGGGTTTTATTTTGATGTACGGATACTTTAGCAAATTTAAAGGCAATCTTGTCGTCGTCAATGATCCCACTAATCCAAATAAAGAACTCCATCTAAGCACAACCGATATTGAATAAATTTTTTTATTGTCTTGAACTCTATCATGCAAAAGGATAAATTAAGGTGATGAAAGATCAAATGCATGTAAACGATTTCACTAGCTAGACATTCAATTTTCCTGTCAAGACGGACAAGATCGTCATAATTGAAAAGAATTTGCTCTTGATCGAGTTTCATACTAGGTTTTACGTGGATGTCCGATGTCCGATGTCCGTTTAATGTTATTCCACACACAGGAGTCTTCACAAAGTCGCGGCACCATGGATATTGCAATGGGCTTTCACCTCAAATCCTTAATCCAGGCAATCGTCAAGCGGATACTATCTTTAAGTTTCAAGCCCGTAAAGGCCTAAAATAAAACAAAAGTTGAACTTTGGACAAGTCTAGCTCGGCCCATCTCATAAGTAAAGGCCTAAAAAAACACTTTGATACCGAGCTTTAACCTTGCAAGTTTAGCTCGGCCCATCTCATAAATGAAGGCCTAAAAAAAACACTTTGATACCAGACTTTAACCTTGCAAGTTTAGCTCGGCCCATCTCATAAGTTTTAGACAAAATCTTATTACAAACACGGACAATTCCATATTTAGACCACACTGGCCTCTCGTCTCTATTTTATTTGGTAGATGTAAAGAGATTAATTATAAATTAGTCCCTTTTTTTCCCGACAAATGAATTAATTAATTCTTCTTGTTTAAAAAAACTATTCACTTAGTCTCTATGTTTTGAAATTTATTTGTAATTTAGTCCTTTTTGTTCCTTTTTAATTTATTTTTATTTTTTATTTTAAGAAATAGAAAAAAATGAAAAAAAATATGGAAAGATTATGAGAAAATAAGAAGTTTTGTGGAATCAAAATAATATTATATTATGCATGATTAACATTAATTAAAAAATTAAATTATAATTTTTTAAATGAGAGAAACTAATTAATTTGTTTCTTGAAACTAGAGAGACTAATTTAGAATCTAATTAATTAACACCGATTAACACCGATTTGCATGTTTCGGTATTAGTTGGGTCACCTTTATGTGGCGTAGGAATTAAAATTAACTATTTTTTTTATTTTGATGTATTTAAACGAAAAAATTAAAATTCATATGTTTAATAGATAAAAAGTTAAAAATTGTTATATTTATTGCGTAATTATCTTTAATTTTTTCTATATAAATTTGTGGATTTACTCATGACAATGGTTAAATACAGGAGATTAGTACACTTAAGAGTTTAGTATCTTTTTACAGTGGTGTAGCGGCCCTCTTCATGTGGCGTAGGAATTGAAGTCATTTATTAATTTAATTTAACTTCTAAGAATCTTGAACTTCGGGTATTATTTGAAGAAAAAATGGTTTGGATGACTAACTGAGAGGTTTTTAGTGGGAACAGAGAACCACAAGGAGTCCATCAGAACCTTCCCAAAACTTAAAGAGTAAATTATAAACTATTTCTTATAGTTTCCAGAAAGTAATTGGTGGGGTAAATCAATACAATACATGCATTTCACTCATGATTCTGGTAATTAATTTTTCTTTTTTACTTTCTTTGTTCCAAAAAATTGTTTCTTTTGATTTTTCATATAAATTAAGAAAACTATTAATTATTATGTTATATTAGTATTTTATTTATTTATCATTTTCAAAAATACTTTATCTAGAATTGTATTTGAACAAACTTTTTTGGTAAATAAACTTTAATTAGAGTTATTTTAATGAGATATGTCACTTAAAGTTTTTATATGACAGATATTTTGGGATAGATTTAAATAGAAAGATGGACATGGACGATACTGAAAATAGCATGATCATGATTGATTAATGTTCTTTTATGAATAGATCCAACTATATTCTATAAATCTAGATTATTAACTTCAAATTAAATGAATATAATTTATTGCAGTGCTAACAATTTGAATAATTATTAGTTTATTTTTTTTCATCTAATTCAGATCATTCAATTTAAAACCAACGGCTAGGTTGAGATGAGTTAATTATAAATTAGTCATTTTAGTTTTGAGAAATGTTAGTTAGTCTTCTTTATTTAAAAAATAATTATTTAATCATTTGATCAGTATTGATAATTCTTAATCTAATATTATTTTAATCTAAATTATGTTTTTTCTCGTCATTCTTTTCATAATATCTTTTTTTTCCTTTGCTATTATTTTAATCTAAACTATGTTTTTAAAATACGAAGAACTAATTAATTTGTTCCTCAAAATTAAAGGAGCTGATTTATAATTTACTTTCCGAATTTTGATTCATTAATTTTGAAAAAAAAAAACTACAAAAACCTCTATACATTACTTAAAAAATATGGTGTCAAATCTCTACTTGCCAATTCTTCCACTGTTGCCATTGCCACATTAAATTCACAGTCATTAACTTTTTTTTTTAAGACTTAACTGTCCTTTTTTTTTCTTTGTAACTAAAGTAATTAATTTATTACAATCTAAAATCCTAAACTGATAAGGCCATTTTAAGTATCTTAAAAAGAAAATATTAATAAGATTGTAAGTTTATTTTAAATAAATTATAAATTAGTTTCTTTCGTCTTAAAAACTAATAATTTAATTAAGTTTTTTTTTTTTTGTCAAATCTATCAAATTAACACCAAAAACTTAAGATATTATTTAACATATATACTCATCTATAGAGAAATATAGATTTGTTTTGGTATTCGAGTAGGAAGAAAAAAAAGAGATAAGTGTGAGTGAGACAAATAATACAAAAAGAAAACAATTAAAAAAAAAATACTACACTAAGAATATCTCATCACCAAAATTAAAACACAAAAGGGCTAAATCGTTAATTTTGAAAATAAAAAGGATTAATTAATTTGTTTATCAAAACAAGAGATTAATTTATAATTTAGAGAAAGTTTTAAATAATTAATTAAACAAATCAATAATTAAGTACGAGGCAGAGGATAGGTAGCACAGAGAAAGAGAGGGGGGACGCAAGATTCGCACGGGGCACAAACTCAAAGCAGTCAAACAAGAGACCGCCGAGAAAGGGCAGCCAAAGGCGTACGTGTGCGTGGTCTTCTATAGTGGGCCCCACCTTTTTAGATAGGCGGTCAAAAGTTGAGCTGCTGCCACTTTATGTGGGCCCTCCTCCCCCACGGGACTTCCACTTACTAATCTTTAACTAATAATACCTATTCAATAAATTATTATAAGTCAGACATAAAATATTTGTAAAAATATTCAGAAATTTTTTATTACTGTGGGGTGAATTTGACTGTAGAGTTACTGTTCAATGTTATCTTTTAAAAAGGATGCACATATCTTTTGAATTTTGAGTTATTTCAGAATCAATTAATCGACTTTTAATTTTAAATTATATTATTTTTTACAATTATACTATTTTTATTGATTTTAGGATGTAATTGTAATTTCTTAACTGTTAAAAAATTATAAATATATTTTTTTTAAATTTATTTCTTTTCTCTAAATATTAACGACTAAATAATTTAAAAACACATAAAATAAAAAAATTGTAAAGAAAAACAAAATATCTATATATTTTAGTATTTTTTTACTGATAGTTAAAATTAATAAAAATCTATATTTTTATAATTAAAATCAATGAAAAACTATTAAAAAAAAACTCAATTTGAAGATAAAAATAATTTGAAAAATTCCAAGTTGAAATTAGGATGTAAAAATACCGATCCTTAACATACATGAAAATTATGGACTGTTTACCCATTTTGTTTAATCCTTTCGATGATTTCACCTTTTTTGTCTGAGCAGGATGAGGAATTTATTTCAGTCTCCGCTTTGGTATCAGAGTAGAAAGATTATATTATATGTTGATGATGGGAAAGACTGTTACTGTTTTGACCACAGCCTCTTTATTGCCTTCTCTCTTTTTCTCTTTTCCTTTGCCACACGTTTCGTCTTGTCCCGTGGATTTGACGGGTCTTCTTCTGCTTTTTTGTTTTTTCCTTTCATGAATTGGAATTGGAATTAGATTTAGATTCAGATTTAGCTCTTCTTGTTGGCTAGTGGGTAGTGTTTTCTTTTCAAAAGGGTATCCCAAAATGCCGATGTATCAGCCAAATAGCCATGGAAATGTAAAGATAGACGTGGGTTCTGGTGGGCAAGTTTTAGATCTAAAAACCGCCATTAAAGATGGTTTCGTTTGTGCTGGTGTGACGGAGAAATTGGATCTGAAGAAGATGATTCAGGAGCTTGAATCAATAGAAGTGCCATCCGTGTTTATCTGTCCAATTTCACTGGACCCTATGCAACACCCAGTGACTCTCTGCACTGGACAGACTTACGAGAGATCCAGCATTCTCAGATGGTTGTCTTTGGGTCATTGCACTTGCCCCACAACAATGCAAGAGCTTTGGGATGATACGGTGACACCAAACAGGACTTTGCAGCAGCTGATTCATGGCTGGTTCTTGCAAAGGTACTTGGCTATGAGGAAGAGATCAGAGGACATGCAAGGGAGGGCTATTGAGCTTTTGGATTCTTTAAAGAAGGTTAAGGGTCAAGCTAGAGTGCAAATTTTGAAGGAGCTTAGGCATGTTGTGGTTGCTCATTCCACGACGAAGAATACAGTGATGGATGAAGGTGGAGTTGCCTTGCTTTCTTCTTTGTTGGGTCCTTTTACAACTCATGCTGTTGGGTCTGAGGCAATTGCTATTCTTGCGAATTTGGAGCTTGATTTGCCGTCCAAGGCAAATTTGAGGCAGCCTGCAAAGATTTCTTTAATTGTAGATATGTTGAACGATGGTTCCATTGAGACCAAGATTAATTGTACGAAACTGATCCAGATGTTGATAGAAACAAAGGATTTGGGATCGGAAAATGTGTCAAGTTTGAGTCTTTTGGCAGGTCTATTGAGGTTGGTGAAAGATAAGAGACACCCCAATGGGGTATTTGCTGGTCTCGGATTGCTAAATACACTTTGTTCAGATGAAACCGTCAGGAGCTCAGTTGTGAGCATCGGGGCAGTTCCTCCATTAGTGGAGCTATTGCCCAGTTTGAACAACCAGTGCCTGGAATTAGCGCTTCGCATATTGGAGGTCCTCTCAACTCTTCCAGATGGTAGGCTGGCTTTGAAGAATTGTGCCAACACAATTCCTAATGTGGTCAAGCTATTGATGAGCAAATCGGAGAGCTGTACTCAGCTTGCATTATCAATACTGTGGGCTGTTTGCAAGGTTGCGCTAGAAGAATGTGCAGCACTTGCTGTGGAGGCGGGTTTGGCAGCGAAGCTGCTTCTTGTAATACAGAGTGGCTGCAATCCTGTGTTGAAGCAGCGGTCAGTTGAGCTCTTGAAACTGTGTAGTCTAAATTACACGGCTACCATCTTTATTTCCAAGTGTCAGCTCACCAGAACGATACACTGAAATAAATTGGCAACTTGTTGATATATAACATCTCCTCTTTTACCTCGCAAGAGGCAAAGGAGCTCTTGGGATCAGGTGGAACACATGCCTCTCTCTCTCTCTCTCTCTCTCTCTCTCTCTCCCTATAGCCTGTGCATGTTAACGAGCTGCTCTTGTTTGCCAAACTGGACTAAGCTGGGTTGTGGATTTGTGATTGTTTCAACCCTCAACTGATGTGTATAATATGTCAAGCTTTAGTGAGATTCTGGGGGTTTGGAAAGCAAGGAAAGGATTTGGAGACTAGGAATTCATACAGAGATGTATTCTCTGTTTTTTCACCCTTAATTTTTAATGGTTCTGTGGGGTGGAAGTATATTTTTTGTTTCAGTTCTTAAAAATCTCTTACCTTGAGTCCCAAAACTGTATAGTTTGCAAAGTTTCTTCCTTTCGCTGTAAAATCATGCTCGTCGAGCACCCATTTGTATACATGCTTAAACTATTCAATCTTTCATTTTTGCTTGGAGCTTCTTTCAAATGTTGTTATAGAGAACAGGAGATGGTGAAATGTAATCCATGGCTGTTTGTTCTTAGAACATCGGAGCTTTCATGGTAATTCACACATTTTGGTTATGGCAGATCAGCAAGAGGAATCTAGAACTACTGTCGGCATGTCACGCCCTCTTTGGCTGCGAGAAAAGGAACATGAATAGACAAGTGGTGGAGCTTGTCGACCTGAAAAGGAGAGCAAAGAACGGATCTTTTAAGGAATTGGGCATGTCCCATCTTAAATGAGAGAATTGAAGTCATGAAAATACAGTCAAAAAGGTTTTTTGTGTGATATTAGGAGGCCTTCCATGGTTGCTTGCCCCTTCCCTCATGCATTTGCAAAGCAACCAATCGACGACCGAAAGTTTGTGCATGAAAGTATTTATGGATATTGAATTGCCCATTACAATAATTGCATAAAGCACCATAAAATTGAAGAAACTATATAAAATTTCGAAAATTTGACAAAATCCCTTCATTTTCTTAAACAAGATATTACAAAAAAAAATTTTGTATCCAGCTTGCATTTTGCTATACCATCCGAACCTTTTCTGAATTTTAAGTTATTCAAAAATTATTTTTTTAATTTTTTATTTTGAATTGCCTTTCTCTTTAATTAATAATTTGGAGAAAATTGAGTCATGCCAAAACAAACAAATGCCGATGGAAATGCATGCATCCAATTTGCATCATTCAACTTGGAAATTGGGATGGAGGGTAGGCAGACACATGAGTTATGACTGCCGATACAAGGGTGGGACCGTAATTTCCTTAAGTAAATAGAATAGCGAAATTTCCTAGACCTGCCCTACCCCAGAGAAGACTGAAGAAAATTATAAATTAGTCCTTCTATTTTTCACAATCAAACTAATTAGTTTTTTTTAATAAATTAATTATTTAATTCGTATTAATGATGTTTAATTGAATATTATTTTATTTCATTAACTTTTATATATATATACTATTCCAGTCTCTTTCACGGTTCACACTCCACAGTCTCCACTCCTTTCCATGCTGTTCTTCTCTCTATAGCTACATTCCCGTTTCTTCCTTTCTTTCTTTTTTCCTTCTTTCTTGTTGAATATGATGCGGTGAATTTGAGCTCTGAAGGTACTAGACTAGCTTTTTGTGTCCCTTCCCATTGATTAGTCTTTCATTCTTTCTTTTCTTTTTATGTGAACTTTGGTTGTTGTTGATTTTACTTTTTTTTGTTTTGAGCTTCAAGCTTTGGTGTTAGAGAAGAAGATGCGAAAATAAAGCATACAATGTGGAGAAGAAAATTTGTCTCCTTTGGTAGTCAGAGAGAGAGAGAGAAGGCTTTTGCCATTTCTATCTTCTTTCTTTCTCTTTTTCTTTCCCACACGTTTGTTTCTTGACTCGTGGATGTGATGGGTCTTAATGTTTTTATTCTTCTTTGCCTTCTCCTCCTTTGACATCTCAATCTCAGGGTTTTTTTGTTCAATCTCTTCTTGTTGAGTGGGTTAGTGGGTAGTGATTTCTTTGTTAAGAAACGGAATCCCAAAATGCCCATGTATCAACCAAATGGCTATAGGAATGTGAAGTTAGATGTGGGTGCTGGTGGGCAAGTTCTAGATCTAGAAACCGCCATTAAAGATGGAGTTTTGGGCGGAGGTGTTGGCGGCGGCGGCGGTGTTTTAGGTTGTGCTGGTGTGGCGGAGAAAAAAGTGGATCTGAAGAAGATGATTGAAGAGCTTGAATCAATAGAAGTGCCATCAGTGTTTATATGTCCAATTTCGTTGGACCCAATGCAAGACCCAGTCACTCTTTGCACTGGACAGACTTATGAGAGATCCAACATCCTCAAATGGTTCTCTCTGGGTCATTGCACTTGCCCCATTACAATGCAAGAGCTTTGGGATGATATGGTCACGCCAAACAGGACTATGCAGCAGCTGATTTATAGCTGGTTCTTGCACAAGTTCTTGGCTATGAGGAAGAGATCGGAGGATGTGCAAGGAAGGGCTATTGAGCTTCTGGAAAATCTGAAGAAAAAAGTTAAAGGTCAAGCTAGAGTGCAAACTTTGAAGGAAATTAGGCAGCTTGTGGCTGCACATTCTACAGCAAGGAAGGCTGTGCTGGATAATGGTGGGACTGCTTTGGTGTCTTCTTTACTGGGCCCCTTTACCACTCATGCCGTTGGGTCTGAGGTAGTTGGAATTCTAGTGAATCTGGATCTTGATTTTACATCCAAGTCGAATTTGAGGCAACCTGCCAAGATATCTTTAATGGTGGATATGTTGAATGAGGGTTCTATTGAGACCAAGATTAATTGTACCCGATTGTTAGAAATGTTGATGGAAGGGAGTGATTTTGAGCATGAAAACATGTCAAGCTTGAGTCTTTTAGTTGGTTTGTTGAGGTTGGTGAAGGATAAGAGACACCCAAATGGGCTATTGGCTGGACTTGGTTTGTTAAAGAGTATTTGTTCGCATGAGTCAGTTCGTGGCTCAGTTGTAAGCATTGGGACTATTCCTCCATTAGTGGAGCTATTGACAAGTTTGAATAGTGAGTGCTTGGAATTAGCACTTCATATTCTGGAGGTTCTTTCAAGTGTTCCCGAGGGAAGATTGGCTTTGAAGGATTGTGCCAACGCAATACCGAATTTGGTCAAGTTATTGATGAGGGTTTCAGAGTCTTGCACACGGCTTGCGTTGTCGATATTATGGGCTGTTTGCATGCTCGCACCAGAAGAATGTACTGCACTTGCTGTGAAGGCGGGTTTGGCAGCCAAACTACTACTTGTAATACAGAGTGGTTGCAATCCTGCATTGAAGCAGCAATCGGTTGAACTATTGAAATTGTGTAGTCTAAATTACACATCAACCATTGTCATTTCTGATTGTAAGCTTACGAGAATAATGCAGTGAAGAGCAGTGAGAATTTGCTGATATATACCATACCCCATCGGCTTCCCCTGCCACAGGATGGAAAGTGGCCTGCGCAAGCGGGTCAGATGATGCAAAATGGGGTTGCTTTAAGGTATTATTTTCTCTTGCTTGTATATATCAAAGATCATCGATACGCTGTATTGATTTTACAAGATAGAAGAAGCTTCATAATGTGGATTTAATCTAATTGCATATTGTTTAGTTGGTTATTAATCCACTGTTTATAACCTGACGGTTTGCCAAAAATTTTCTAATAATAACCAAAGAGGTTATCTTGTTGTTAAATTGGTTCTTCTTCTTTTGCCAAACTGCCAAAAATTTGGCGATTGTATCCGTAATCAGGAGAGTAATACTGTGGACTCTGTCTCTGTGGTGGAGCTTTTGCAGGGAACTAATGGATGCGGGGAGGGAACAACCCTTATAGATGAGCATTGCATCCTTCTCTTATAATTGAAGTTAATTTTCAATGTCCCACTGATCCTCGGATTTTCCACCCTTATTTTTTAAGGGTTCTGAGGAGAGGGAGCGTATTTTTCTTGACAGTTTAAATTTGTGTTTAACTGTGACTCTCAAACTTTGCAGAGTTTGTGAGCATTCTGCTTTCTGTGTAAGCTCATGGATCGTGGAAGTAAAAACCTGAACCATTATCTTTTATTGCAAGTTCTTACTTTTTCTAGATTGTAGCTGGTTTGAGCGTTGGAAAGCTTAACCTTTGACATAAAAATTTGATGTCAGTTTCTCTGTGCGATCAAATTTAAAGCCTGCGTTTGAGTTCTGTTCCAGAATAGCAATGGCAGAGGAGTCCATGGTAGATTGTTGACTGACTTGATGTTTCAAAAAGCTCTGGAACCAAGGTTTGATGCTGTATGAGCATGACGTGTTGATTTTTAACAGCGTAACCAGGCGCCAATTGACGAAAAGATGTGATGATGATGAAAATGTAACATAACAAAAAACAATATAAATTTTTTTAAAAAACATTTCAAGAATAGCAATAGCAGAGGAGTCTGTTAGTTTTTTAGGTTTTATTATTTTTATTTCTTTATCCTTATCAATTTATTTTCTATTTGTTATTTTAAGTGTTGTTATTACAATTGTAATGACTTCAAACAAGCACCTTATATATATATATATATATATATATATATAATGTAAAGGAGTAAGATAAGATGTTTAAGAAATTGACCGAAAGTCAAGTTTATTGGAGTGAAAAGAGAGAGCAGGAGGAGAAAAGAAAAAAGGCCGAACTAAAGAAAAGAGAAGGAAAATGACACGATATTTACGTGGAAAACCCTCTCACTGCGAGGGAAAAAACCACGGGACAATCACCGGAAAACCACTATTTAAATGGTTAGGTTACAATGTTATTCTCTACAAATAATTAAATTACAGGATACAGAACATGAATCTTCTCCAAGATTGGGGCACAAATAAAGCAGGCAGAGTGTTCTTGATGAAACTGCAAGCTTGCCGGTATTAAATGACGCCGGTTTGTTGAGATGGTAGGGAAGTGGCAGGCAGGTGAGATGAGGAGACGATATCAAACATGTCATTTTCCAGTCCACCACGCATCGTTTTCGGATTTCAAATGACTCTCTTGGTCGTGCAAAAGGAGGGAAAAAAATCAGCAGTAGGCCTTCCAAATTGCTTGAGACTAGCTACTTGATCCTTTCCATGGGATTGAGGCTCTGTTGCTTGTTGTTGTTGAATCCCTTTTTCTGTCCACTGCAACCAAGACCCAGTTGTAGAAGTTCAGTAGGATGACAATGACAGAGCAGTTTAGAAGAAGTGAACAAGACAGACTACGCTGGAAATGCTGGACTTTCACGTTAAAACAGAGTAGATTAAAACAGTTGCACCATACATTGGATGATTTCTCTCTAAAGACAGACATGATCATCTCTGTGAAACCGATCCATCCTGTCCCATCATTTGTAAGGAAACCCATCTTGGTAACTTCTTCAGCTTTATCAAACACCATCGCAGCCACTGTAAATTAAACCAATAAGATGTCAAAGATCCTCCTTTGAAAATGAAAAATGGTTTGAATAGTTGCCGTGTTTATTTTAATGGAAATAAAAAGGAGCAATAAACTTCAGTGATCTGAAACAAGCGGAATCAAATAATTACATTAGTAAAATCCATGTTGTTGATCATGAAATTCGACTCTTCATCACCAAATTGAGAAGTTCGACTAATGCGCTTCGTAGTAATCGGAACAACACACCGTGAATTACAACTCTGAACTAAGAGAAATAGTTCATCCATGTATTAGTGCATCATCAAGTTTCCAGTTTGATTATGGTTTAGTTTCTGACACACAAGATTTTCATTTTCTTAATCTCCATCAAACAGTAGGAGAAAGTTTTAAAGAAACATGTACCTTGTTTTTTTATTGCCTGTCAAATTATATATATATATATATATATATATATATATACAAGAAGAAACTATAACTTTTAGGATGGATTGGGTAATTTGTGAAGGCTTTCACGTTTAGCAGGAGAAAAAATGGGAATCAGCATGCGAAATTGGGTAATTGTAATCAATTGAAAAATGCCATGAATATTCCAAAACAAATAATAACAATAATAATAATTTGATCAGATGAGATTTGAGGATAATACACAGAAAAGAAACAGGTCAAACACCTTAAATTCTGAAGTGGTGTCTCAAATTTTCCTCTACATAGCAACCTCCTTTTGAATGTAATAGCCATCAACTTTAATAGTTGGAATGTGTTTGATGTTAGGCCAGTACTCCACTGCCTCCTTCTCTTCTCTCAATCTTCCACTCAACTCTTCACTGCATTTAGAGATATCTAATTCTTGCAAAAAGGGAAGGTTGGGTATCCCTTGAGATAGAGATTCAGATAGGGACCTTAATTCTTTGCAATTCCAGATACTTAATTCCAGAAGAGAATGCATCCCCTGATGAGGTAGATGCAGAGCCTTCAATCTTGGGCAAGCCCAAATTGAGAGCTGTTGAAGAGAAGAGAGATTTTGCAGTACATCTTCTGAGAGAGATTCCATGTCCTCAATATATAAAATATGTAGTTTCTTCAATTTGGAGAGAGGATGGACAAATGAAGAAGAAGAAGAAGAGACTGATGGTGTTGATTTCCAGCCTCTCATCTTCATTGTCTGCTGTAATGGTACTGAGCTGGTATCTAACAAATATAGCTGATCATCGAGAGTTGGAAACAATGGCATTGAAGACAGTTTAGGACAGTTGACTATTGTTAAGGAGGAAAGGCAAGGAAAATAGAGCCTCATCAACTCTTCTTCTGTTGTGGTTGTTGACTCATCACTATCATCATTAATCTCATCACTCTTCTTCCACCATCCCTTCAGCCTAGTACAGTCCTCGATACTAATTTTTTTTAGGGATGGGAAAAACGTGGACACTCCTCTTCCTGTAACCCCCTCGCTATCTATGTACTCCAGATTAGGTAAATTGACAATAATCAATTCTTCAAGAGAAGGGATTCCATCTAAGGGAGGGATATGCTTAACTGCGCTACAAGATTCTACATCAATCCTTACAAGATTTGGGAGACGTGAAACCCAACTTGACAACCTCGTACCTTCATAATTACCAACCGACAAAGATTGAAGATTCGAGTGTGGCCGAAGGCTTTGCAACATTTCATCATACAAATCAATATCTGAATCACTATCATTGTCTGAATCACTATCCCACCGTACGGTCAACGACTGAAGATATTGTTTCTCTATCAATTTAGCTCCCTCAAATTCTGATATACAAGAATTCCTCTCATATCCCTTAACTCTTATTTCTAGGCTCCCTCTCAATTCATTTAACCTACCCAACTCATCCAATCCACCAACCATCTTGGATTCAGGACTAGTTTTTGCAACCACAAAACATGACAACGTCTGGAGACAAGTTAATTTCCCAATCCCACAAGGCATATACTCCAAGAATGAACATGCATCATTTTCAAGATGCCTAAGATTAATCAGCTTATGAATATCTCCTGGTAGTGCTTTAAGGTCCAGACACCCATTAAGCTTGAGCACTTGCAAATTTATTAGATTGGTGATAGAATTAGGAAGCGCCTCCATCGCATTATGTGAAAGATCAAGATATTTAAGGAGCTTGAACTTTTCAATGAAAGGAGACACTTTCTTAATTACTAAACCATGCAAATCAAGCACACGTATGCACCTAAAGTCTTGACAAATTAACTCCCATATGCATTCTTCCTTATCCCAATTTCTAAGTGGCAATATAAGTGTACGTAAACGTTTTGCACTAGCCAAGGGAATTGGAATTTGTTGTGACAAATCCAATTCAATCCCAAATGACACATGTCTAGTCGAATCACTAATGCCTAATCCTTCCTGATCCACTATGGCGCTCTCAAATCCAGCCACTTTGGCTGCAAGATCATGCATAAAATCATGCATTTTGCACCTTGTTATGTTTCCAGATCCATCCATTGTCACCTCATGAAAGAAGGACCTCCACAATAAATTCTCATAACATCTAAGACCAGCAATTTCAAGAGACTCATTCGGATTCGAAGAGCTAATAAACCCTTGCGCAATCCAAAGTTGAACTAACAGCTTCACATCAATCCAATGACCTTTAGGAAACAAGCTACAGTATGCAAAACAATGCTTCATGTATGGTGGAAGGGGATCAAAGCTCAACTTAAGGGTCTGTATGATGTTATCGTCTTGGACCCTAAGTGGAAGTTCTTGTTTTATAAAGGACAACCACTGGGCTCTGTCTTTCAAAGACATCAACCTCGCAATTGACTTTATAACCAAAGGAACACCACAACACCTCTCTACAATCTCTCTTCTAATCTCTTCGTTGACTCTGTGACTTGACTCTTGTCTCTGAGGAAATGCTTTTTTTCCAAAAAGATCCCACGAGTCCTCATCTCCAAGGCCTTGTAAAGCATGTGGTGGTATTGTGCTTGTGAATTTGGCAATGATATGGGAGCGTGTAGTCATTACTATCTTACTCCCTCTTGCAGTGCGGGGTAACAGCTGCTTCAACCTATCCCATTTTTCACCATCATCTTGACCATCCCATATATCATCTATTACAAGCAAATACTTTCTATTATTAATTTTCTCCTCAAGCTCAATTTTCAGACTTTCTAACCGATCAGAATCTCTCCTACTACCTACAGCCTCTTTAAGAATCTTTGTGACATCAAACCCACCCGAGACACTCACCCAGAGTCTTAGTTCACCAAAATTCTCCATAACTTGCTTATCATTAAAAACACGTTGAGCCAGTGTGGTCTTCCCCAACCCACCTATCCCAACTATGGAGATGACCGAAACATTCTCATCATATTTGGGATCGAACAGAAAGCTTTTAATTGCCTCTATGTCGGTTTTTCTCCCAATAACAATTTCAGGCTCGAAGGGGGTAGCTAGCTCCCTAACCATGGTTAAGGAAGCGTTCTCCTCTTCACGAACCACAAAATTAAATTGTCTACTATCATCATCAATCGCATCTAGTCTCTTCCTGAGTGCTTTGACTCTGTGAGCCATAATCAAACCATACACAAATTGGTTTGATGCAGAGAAGAAAATACATACCTCCTTGCATAATCCACTCCCAGGCATCAACTGTTTCCTCAGGTCTTCTGTGGAAAAATCATCCAGCAAATCCTCAGCATCTAACACTGCTTCTCGAAGCTTGCCGAGCCAGATTCTGACTTGATTATTATGCTTACGTGCCCGCTCATCGGCGTCAATGAGCACACCCTTGATTGTGGTAATTGTGCCCCCAAGTCTGCGTAGCTCATGATCGAGCCCACACCATAGTGCAACCTCCTGAGCAGCTAGGGAAGCTACTTCGATTATTAATCCCTCCGCAAGATGGTACAGCATACCTTCAGCCATGGTTTTTTTCCCTCAGTGAGCGTAAGAGAGTGGAAGGAAGGAAGGAAGGAAAGACAGGAAAACAAAAGGAAGAAGTGTTTGAATGGTTGGTTGTTTTTGAAATGTTGAAGAAGGCTAGAGCTCTATTTGCAGGCAGGGGAGGAGAAAGTGAGTGGAAGAGGCGGCCTGCTATTCCAAAATTTTTAAATAATTTTTTATTACTAATATATTTCATATCTAATAAAGTAAATTAACTTTTGAATCATTTTATTTGTTAGCTTTGGCTCTGCCTCAACTTTTAGGTGAGAACCTCAACTCTCAACGTTGATTGGTGCTGAGTTGTTGTTAATTTGTGCAAATGGGAGCGCTTAAAGAAATGCAACTTGAATTAATTTGATTTATTGTGAAGTTTATATGTAATTAAAGAAGTGTTTCAATGGACATCATGAGATGAAATGCGGTCTATCAATAGAAAAATTATCTTGATTTGATAAAGATTAAAGTTCAATTTTTACTATTTGTGGATAATTATTTTTTAATCATATAAAGTTTAGACTGATTTGATCTAAAAAGAAACTTATTGATTGATTAAAAACTAAATATATTTTTGAGTTTACACGTAGATATTCTTATCAATTTAATAAATTTGAATGTAATTTTCTATTTTATTTTTATATATGTTTTTTTTTCTCAAAATAGGTTTATAAAATAAACATTCGTGATTGCTTTGAGAGTATTCTAAAAATTTTCATTAATGAATTGTATATTTTATATCCGTGAGTACGTAAGTAATAGTTTCATTATTTTATAAAATAATCATATTTTTTTCCTCAAAATAGGTTTATAATAATTGTATAGTTTATAAAATTATTTAAGACTAATTAAGTCATAGAAAATGTATTCTTTTTCTCAAACTTTTGTCTTATTTAAAAATTTTGATTACTTTTTTCATTGGGTTACCTAATAGTTAGAAAAAAAATATAAAATTGTTTTTTTTTTTTTGACACAATTGATCAATTTTATATTTCATGCCTCGCTAAGCACGCTAAGAAAAATTTATTATTCGAAAGAGAATATATCATTATTTTTTTTGGAACACGTAGAGAAAGACAATATAATTAGTAGTTTTTTTTTTTGTGCTATCTAGATAGATAGATTGATTGATTGCTCAAGTTGAACTGTGGTATTTCCGTGGGAAGTTTCGGTCGCCATGAAGGAAAAAAATTGGGAAGTTTCGGTCGCAAGAGCAAGCTAATCTCGAGGGAGAAATTTTATAATACATCGGGAGTAATTAGTGGTATATACAATAGTTACTCTATGAGCCTATTTTGAGGAGAGAGATAGACACACAAAAAATAATAAAATTATATCCATATCTACCAAAAGTGTTAAGAAGATTTCCACGTCCGTTTAAATTTTTTTATTTTTTCTCTTTTTTTGTGTCTATCTCTCTCTTCAAAATGGATCCATGAAGTAACTACTATACATGTCACTAATTACTCCTAAGTATATTATAAAATTACTCATCCCGAGATTTTATAGCCTAAAGTCATTAAATTGCTTAATGCAAGGTATAACATTTCTTTCTTTCTTTCTTTCTAAATGAATTTCTTTTTTCGAATTTGAACTTCAGCCATATTCTAGTGCATGCATCACAGAATCCCAACAACGAAAGACTAAGCTACACTATATCTAAATCTCTCCCCTAAACACTACAAGGAAGGGAAACAGAAAATTAGGGTTTTTAATTTAAATCAGAGAGCCGTTATTTTGTGCGAGGGAAAAAAAAGAAGAAATAAATGATCTTAACGCTAGAAGGAGGGCTTGAACCTCCGACCTTGTGGTTAACAGCCACACGCTCTAGCCAACTGAGCTATTCCAGCTTGTTGGTTTTCATTCTCATTTATTATTAGATTTAATATAAACATATTTTTACATCAACTACACCAACACATTTGAGCCCCATTCATGATCTTGATATACAAGAGACCCAATTCAAAACCCAAAACTTAAGGCTGATAACAAAGAAACGTACATAATTTGATGAGTTTTCATATTTAAATTTGCAATTGATGAAAAGAAATGTAAATACTAAGGTTAAGAATACCTTCATTATACAATGTTGTTTATTGAAAGGATTTTTCTTTCTTACAAGCCACTATAAGCATAACATCAATGGTTAATTCTTAATATGTGTAAACAAATTCAATTTTTCAAAAAAGTATGAATCGAATCCGTAATCTTTAATTTACTTGTTCCAGATAATATATTTTTGAATTAATTTACACATCAACCGAATTAAATATCCTCTTAAACAATCTTAAAAGTACGCTTTTTATATTGATGTGGTACAAACATTCAAGAAAATAAATTATCTTCATGAGCTCTAAACTTCGAACTCATAAACAGTTAAAAAAACAGAGTAAAACGTCCTTCACTCACTCTCCGGACAACCATTTGTGGTTAGGAGACATACCAATTGATTCATTCATTGATTGGAAGGGCCGGAAGGACAAAAACTGTAACACTGTCATGGGCCCATGAGAGATCCAAAAATAAAAATTGGACAAAGCCCATCAAAATCTTGTGGCCTCCATTGTAACAAATCAGAATGTTATCAAGTTCTAGGCTAGCAAATAGCCACGGCATAACAAAACTTTGTATTTCCACGTGTCAGCAACCCAGCTAGTTAGAGTTTAGTCAATGCCACCCTCTGTTTTCTTGCCTACAAACTCCAAAAGGTACAAAACCAAACGCATAACTTCATGGCCATTCTTGGTCACTCACTATCCTCTCTTCCCTTCAAAAAGCTCATACATCCTTCAAAACACGCTTCAACACTCACATCTCCAATTCTTATTAATCTCCATATCCGATTTCAAGCCATGAATTCTAGTTCAAACTCTTCTTCTTCTTCTTCTTCTTCTTCTTCTACAGGGTTGTGTCAGTTGGTTCCAGGACTTGACAGCAAAGAAAAGGACCGCATTTTGGATCAAACCTTTGAAAGATACACATCAAATATGGTAAAGAGGAATGGGAAAGGGACTGCCATTGTTTGGTTCAGGAATGATTTGAGAGTATTGGACAATGAGGTTTTGTTCAAGGCTTGGGTTAGTTCTGAAAATGTTTTGCCCGTTTATTGTGTGGATCCTAGAGTTTTTCAAGCTAGTACTTACTATTTTGGATTCCCTAAAACTGGAGGTAAATATACTTTGTCTCTTGTTGTTTCCTAGTACTTGTTTAAAGTGCTAAATACCCTTTGAATTTCTTTTGATTGAAGATTATCATGAGAAGGCCTTGATGAAGTGTTCCGTTCTTGTTGTTTTGGCTAGGCTTAAGGGGGCAGTTTATTATAGAGTGTTTGGTTGATTTGAAGAAGAATTTGATGAAAAGGGGTCTAAACTTGCTCATTAGACATGGTAAACCTGAGGAAATCATCCCTACTCTTGCTAAAGATTTTGCAGCGCACACAGTTAAGTTTTGATTTACTTGTCTCGTTGAAATGTGCATTAGTTTTTGGTTGATTTAATTTCGATGTATTCAAACAATAATACGTGTGGGGTGTTTCAATCTAATCTAGTCAGGTATATGCACAAAAAGAGACTTGTAGTGAAGAAGTAAACGTTGAAAGACTCGTCGGAAAGGCGCTACGGACAGTACAATTGCCACATTCTACCGGGAGATCTACCGGCCACAGTTCGGCCAACAGCCCTACACTGCAACTAGTTTGGGGTAGCACAATGCACCACATAAATGACCTACCATTCTCTACGGACAACGTACCTGATGTCTATACTCAGTTTCGTAAGGCATGAACATCCCTTGTTTGTTGCTTGATTGTATTGTTCATGATGTGTAGTTGGAATTGTCTATTGGAAGATTTGTCTTTTGACAGAAAATCAAAATCTGCAGTCTGTTGAAGCAAAATGTGCCATCCGAGGCTGTGCTAAAATCCCAAAGTCTCTAGGACCAGCTCCTCGCGTTGAGGATTGGGGGTGTGTTCCATCAATCGAGCGACTTGGACTACAATCGCAACAGGCAAGGTTTATGTTCCACATACATATGATTCACAGGAACTAGCTAAGAACCTTGCTATTAGAAGACGCATGATTCACTGCCTAACTAAAAATGAAGTATGTTTCGGTCCATTTCTTCTGTTGATACAGGTTAGCAAAGGAATGAGGTTTTTCGGAGGTGAAACAGCTGCGCTAAGCCGAGTGTATGAGTACTTCTGGAAAAAGGCAAGTGGAAATTGCTTGCTGTAGTTTGCTGTTAGTATGTCAAAATCCTCAGTTGAGACGAAGAAATGAAGGGTCTTTGTCAACTAATATGGTGAAGGAAAAGGGCTATAATGATATCAACTAGTATGATCATCTTGATTGTCTTATTGATGCGAACAGGATTTTCTAAAAATATACAAAGAGACAAGAAATGGGATGCTGGGACCTGATTACTCAACAAAATTCTCTCCGTGGCTGGCTTCAGGAAGCCTCTCTCCTCGGTTCATATACGAAGAGGTCGAAAACTTCTAATCCATTTCTCTTGTTGCAGTTTGAGATGTATAAGATATCATGACATTGTCGAAACTTCATATTAATGTATTGAAGGTGTTCTGGACTAATTTATTTAGGTGAAAAGATATGAAAAGGAAAGGCAAGCAAATGATTCCACTTACTGGTCAGTCTCTTTCTCTATCTCGTATGCTTTATTTTCATCACCAATGCCTCATTTTTCCACAAACTTCTAGTCTAGTGCAAAGTGACAACTATTCTGTTCTATTCTATTAGAGCTTTAATGTCTTTGCCTGAATACGAGTTTACTGTTTCAGGGTTCTGTTTGAATTGATTTGGAGGGATTACTTCAGGTTTATCTCAGTCAAATACGGAAATTCCATTTTCCAATTAGGTAAACATCCTCCTTCACTACCGTATTAACCTCTCGAACCGAAAACCTGTCTTCTCAAATACCATTTTATCGTGTATAGTTTGCCTTTGGTTTAGTTTTTAATCATGAATGTTTCATCAATTTTTGCTTTTAGGCGGCCCACGAAAAGTTGAGCATAGATGGAGTCAAGACCAGAGATTGTTTGATTCTTGGAGAAATGGCTGTACAGGGTATGTTGCTTGACTCAAGAATGTGTTTATATCTTCGACAAGATCATTTTACGTTTGTTTATGGAATTGCTTTATCCGAAAGGTATGGAACAAGAACAGAATCATAGTTAAGTACAACTTCTCCATCTTATAGCTGTAGTATTTGTAAATTTCTAGGTATCCTCTTATTGATGCCAATATGAAGGAATTATCAGCCACTGGGTTCATGTCAAACCGAGGACGACAAGTAAGCTCATAATTGCTTTTTTTCCCCTTTTTTGCTGGACATTCAAGCAGATATGACAACTAGTTTGCTACCATTACAGCTTCACTTGTATCGGTATATATATTGACAAGGGTCAGGATCATTTCTACAGATTGTATGTTCCTTTCTTGTTCGAGACATGGGCATCGATTGGCGCATGGGAGCTGAATGGTTTGAGACACTCCTCTTGGATTATGATCCTTGTTCGAATTATGGAAATTGGACCTATGGTGCAGGTGATGGATCTATCTTCATGTTTGAGTGTGATTTGTGAATGTGCCAGTGAAACATATTTCAACAGTTTTTTTTTATGTTCTGATGCTCTGTTCTTGCGTGAAGGAGTTGGAAATGACCCTAGAGAAGATCGTTATTTCAGCATTCCCAAGCAAGTAAGTGCACATAAGCATCTGATTCCTGTTATATTCATTTGTTCTAAGGTTTTTCATAAATTTTCAGGCACAAACATATGATCCTGAGGGTGAGTATGTAGCGTACTGGCTGCCGCAGCTGCAAGGACTTCCAAAAGAGAGGAGGAACTTTCCTGGAAAACTTTACGGGGAGCAAATTGTGCCTCTCAAATTTGGAAACCCTAATAGAAACCAGGGTCAAGACAGAGCCTCTGCGGCGAGAAAAACCAATTATGGAGGACAAGGGAGGCAGACAAAAGGATACATGAGATAGAGTAAAAGATTGAATTATCAAAAAGAAAAGGATTTGCACCTTAGAAAACAAAAAGCTAAACTAAACAAAGAGAAATTAAGTCAAATTCCATGAGCTTTCCCCTAATTTTTTCCTTGTTTCACTGATTTTTCATGTCTTGTGGGATTTTTGCATTTTCAATTTTCAGAATTGAATTTATTTTTTATAAATGAAAGCTATCATCTCTGTAATTTGCAACTGATTATGAGTAACATAATGCATGCCATAACATTAACAGACAACATGTTTGATTGATAATCTTAATTTGTAACATGGAACGTTAAGGAATGTTTTGTTACAATTTGAAGCACAAAAGGTAAAGTTTAACCATACTAAAAGCTCAAGAACTTGAAAAGAATTTACAGTGATAATAATAACAGGAAGAACACTTAAATTGCAGACAACTTTTCACTCTTACAATACGCTGTTGCTTCGCTTTCCAAACCGTAACTCTAAAACTAGCCAGTGACTGAAACACAAAGGAACTAATCCAATATGGGTAAAACTACAGTGCTTGCTGTCTCTGTAAACGGGATAACAACCCCATTTTTCTGGGAGGGATCCAAACTAAATTTACTATATAGGGTGGCAAAAAGCAAAACCGGGTTTCGTATTTCACACTGTCCAAACCCGGCGTTACAGCAATGGTATGTGGAAAATAATGGAAAGAATTGCATGTCTGTATAACATCTATTGCACCAGACAGCACAGCGGTATAAACTGCAGATCAGTGTGATTTTCTTTTTGAAGGAGCAGGATGATTCTTATGAACTCAAAACGTTCCCGTGAAGAAATTAAAACAGAACTTTGCTTCTATATGCCGTTGTGCTGAAAGTGTGCATGATCATATCTCAAAGAATATAGAACTACGAGCACTTACGTGTGGTATCCCCATCATTTTCTAATCATGGAATTCTTCTCTTTTTAGTAACAAGTCGAGATCTCAGCTGCAAAACAATTGAAATGATTAAGTCAAATGCAATATCTGAAAAATGAGTAATGAAAACACACAGAAGAACAAAGCCACTTGGGTATAAGGCAGAGGGAAGTATGACAACTATAAATTTCAGTAAATTTGTGACCAGGCGAACCAAAATTGGGGTAAAGATGACAACTCATAAAATACAGCACAGATAGCAGTGCGTCAAGAATTACATTCGTGTAAATTGCGGTTGTTGATAAAAATTAAAAAACAATGCACATACCTGCTCTACATACTTAAGTTGTTGTAGAACTTCATCGGTTTCCAACTCCTAGAAAAAATAAAAAAAGAAACCGTATTAGTACATGAAAATATGGTGCTTTTTGGGCAATGGGTATGAAGAATTAAACAATTTGAGAGAATCAATTACAAACTGATAACTTGATAAAAATATGATAGAGGTTATCAACTTTACGTATTAAAAAATGGCTTACATTAACATATAAAAAGCTAATGTCAGCTAACAAATGTTGCAGTTTGTGATTGTACGTAGAAAGAGAAAAACAGAAAGCGAATGCCACCTGAGGAACAGCACAATCTGAATGGGATGGGTCCCAAAGAACAGAGCAAGAACAATCCCAGTAATCAGTTTGGACTTCAGAAAATGGCGCCCTGTAATTTGAAAACTTCTTCAGTCTAGAGCTAACAGGGACAAAAACAAACAAAAAGTATCCAAAGAATAATTCATCAATCAAATAGACAACAGGAGTAGGATTCTGTGCGTGTCTGTGTATTATCCAGGATATAAGGGTAAAAATGTGACATTCTTGTTAGGAAAAGGAGATTTACGGACTATTTACCTAAAAGAAATGGTCATAAAAAATTATTGCAATCTTACAACTTCCAAATATTTTTAGTTATGCTGGTAAAATATTACAAATCGGGCATTGTAAAATTTTACCTGCGCCACTTCCCACATATGGTTCCCTCAGCACCTTCTCTGGCATCATCGTGTAGAACTTCTCGACATTGGAGCCAATTACTCATAGCCTTGGCATTTGAAGACTTGTCTTGAGGGCACTCCTGCAAAATTGAACACTTCCGCATGTCAAATCTGGCTTACTTCAATCACCCCACCCCTAATGCATGTGCACATATATGTATTGAACCTTAATTGGAAATGCATATTCATGAAAATTACTATCAGAAAATTCTCTAATCCTGCCTATTCTCTATTAATATCAAGAGAAAGATTTTAAAGATTATAATTTGGATCTCTTTTTAAGAATAACAAAACAACTGAAAACAATGCTCTGATGAGGCAGCAAGGAAAAGTATCAAGAAAATCCTTAGTTACTATTACTCTTCATGCTTTGCCCAAGAATAGAATTATTTCTGAAACTCTATAGCCTGTTCAGGGCTGACTTTCAGGCGCATTGCATCCCTAGGTAAACAATGCCAACACTTTCAGGTAAGTTAAAGAAAAAATGAGTGAGTTTCCAATGAATAGCACAGGCTTTGTTGAAGAGAACTTTGTTTTGGGAATGCACAAGGCCCAAAGCATTCCCCAAAGGACACTATGCCAGGTCCTGAAGCAGATAAAACCTTGCCTCCAATGTTTAAAGAAAACACTTACGTGTAAACAAACAGTCTGCGATGGATCTATTTCAAGTGGCTCACCGATGCAATCAGAATCCCTACAGAATAGTCACCAATATAAAATTAGAAAATGGTGTAGTTACATAATCCTCAACCCGTTCAACAAGATAACAAAGGAAATACTTGGCAAACACCAGTACAGCATGGCTATCAAATGGCATAATGTGGTTTAAGGTCACAAAATTAAAAAGAGGCCAGTATGAAGGTTGCAATCATTAAAATGAGCTCTTACTATTTTACAACTCATCTATGAGCAACACATCTAATTCACCGCATACGTGAAAGACTATTATTAAGAAAATGGCATCTTAGACGATTTTTTCCTTTTAATTTTGGCTTCCATAATCCTAGCTACATGTCAGTAAAAACACTACAGGCTCAAATGCTCCTATGTCGATCAAATTTTGGCTCCTATATTTGACAATGCAAAATCATCCAAATCATAGCCTAATCAGCATCATATTAGCCTATCAAAAGACAATTTGATATAAACCCTGACTACTGATCCTGTTAAATCATTTGCTAGTCATAATGATGCCTGTACATTTGACGATTTTATTTGAAAGTCACAGTGCATTGATAACATGCATTCAATCATGCATAAACAAAACAAAAGGTAAACTTCAATAAAACAGAACAATATAAATATAAAAAATCTTAGCAAACAAGAGATCAAAGTTGAGCACCACAGGTAAAACATACATGGAAAGCTGATCAGACCATTCAGGAACTGCTGCTTGATAAGATGTACCGATTCTCACACGAGATGTGTGTGCTTCAGGGTATTTCAACATGGAAGCAATTGGACTCAACTTATATTTTTCATTCCACCAACTGATGCTATGTGTTTTGAGAAAAGAAGTCTCTTGTGAAACATTGTGATTCAGTTTCGAACAAGATTGACAAAACCATAAGTCAGTGGGTAACATCTCCATGTTTAGATTGCAGCAAGATACATGAAATGCCTCTTCACAATGATCACAGAGTAACATATTAAGTGCAATCTCAAAATTCCCACATAGCTCACATGACTGAAAAAAATTTTCATTCTTAGTATTTACCAGAACTTCTGTGGGAGCATCATTACTCACAGGACAATCTCCTGCAAGCAACCCATGACTTCTGAGAACTGAAGTGCAGAGTTCTCTAATTGAGAGATCGTCACCTGACACCTCTATGTCAGAATCGGGGTGCTCTGCAATGTTGCTAATGTTAATCCTTGTGGTTACGGAACCCACTTGAGCAACAACAGAAGAAATAAGCTCTTTATGAGAACTTGTTGACTGCAATTCAGAATCAATAGGCTTGCAAAAGCCAAGTCCCTCAAAGTTTTCAATAGGGATGGTACGAACTCTAACGCCATCATCAATGTTATAGTCAATATTTATCACCCGAGGATCACCGTTCAAAGCATTGGTTGGTGCTTTATCAGTTTCTGGCTCAATTGAAGACATTATAGCAGACTTTTTTGGAGCTTCCTTCTCTTCCTCGCCACATCTGATCCAGGAATTTCATAACAATTGCCGGCAATCAATGGATTTGAAGCATCCTGTTGGAATTCACCCTGTCCTAAAGGACTTTTCCAGGCTTTTTCTGGCACCCACTCAGAGAATAGATCTTGTCTACTGTAATTTGAGGTAAAAGGTAGAGCTGCCTCGACTGAACTTGGGACCAAATCATGCAACAACATGTTCACCTGCTGAAGTATTCAAAATATCCTGATCATAGTATTCTTGCTCAAGCATTTATGGTACGCCACTAAACCCAACCCAAAAGCTTAAGCTATTAGATGGAGGCAAGGATTTTGTATTATTGTGCAAATTCGCTAGAAATAAAATAGAATGCACATAAAATTAACATGGTTTGTCAACTTAGCCACACAAAAGCTCCACTTATCAAATTAGTATCACAATCTTCAATAACCTCTCAAGAAAATATCTCGAATACTAACAAACCCAAAAGCTTTCACAACAAAACTACTACATCTCACAACAATAAAATTTCTAAATACAATAGATAAAAGCTCCGATTAAATGGATTTGGATCTTCTCATGTTACTTTACCTCCTATTTGATCGTGTTCATTAAATATAAACCATTAAATTCAAAATGAATGGACATGATTTAAAATATGTTAAAAACAACAATAGTTTAACTATCTATTTATTTTATTTGCTTTCTAGATCATTGAATTCAAAACTAATGGTGAGATATGGAACATAACAGTTCATGTTTCCATTATGAATATGAACCTAAGAGAATCTCAATCCAACAAAACTACCCAAGCAATACAACAAAATCCCTTAAAGCACCAGAGTATAACACTATCCATCCAGGATGTTGCTATAGCTTTGCAACAAGACTTCTTCTAGACTACACCTAAAAAGACACAATAAAAAAACTTTTCAAAATAAAGAATTCTTTCCAACTGAAAGACAATAAACTCCGAATTCCACAAGTAAGGTTAATCTTACCAATAGTTTTTTTTTTTTTTTCACTTCTCAAACAATTTCAACCATTGGATTTATGGAATTCTCTAGCAAGATCCACTTATTCAATCAATGCATGATATTTTTCAGGAAGTGAATTCAAGAAGAATGCTGACTGAGAAGAGGGTTACTTTAACTCTATCTTCACATTCTATTATTAAAGTTAAACTCAAGCCCTATTCCTTAAAAACAATAATGCTACACAAACAAACTTTTCACCCAAAATTATCATATAAACACATATGGTAGTTACTTTTTTTGTGGAAGGCAAATCATTAAAAATTCATGGGACCAACACTAAGATCACACATCAGTTTATATAGAAATTTATTATGAAACGTTTTTTTATAAATCATTTTCCTAAACAGGAATACCGGTACTACAAACAAAAATCTCATGAATACTCTAAATTCTATATATTAAACAATAATGCTAAAAATACTTTACTTACTATTTCAATACATGATATGTACTATATATTCCACTTATGTGAAAAATAACATGATTTGTTAAAACATAAAAAACCCTAAAAAGACAAACATACAACAAAGCTATAGAGAAAAGGCATAAAACATGTTATTCATTCATAAGGCTATCCTAAGTTTCTCAAAGCATGTCTATTTATAGATCAAATAAAACCCTAAATAACATAAAGTAGACTTCTTAAACTACCTTTAACCTATGTAGGCACTTATTTTTAATAATCAAAACTCTAAAAATACCTTAAAATGAGAAATTTTGTGGTACTCCAAGAGTAACCTATCAATATTTACTTCTTGGTGAAAGATAGACACAAAAGATGAGAAAGAAACATGAGAGAGAGTTAAAAAAAAATATTTCGAGAGTAGGTGGAAATATTCTTATCAATTTTGATGGATTCAAATGTAATTTTCTCTTTTGTCTTTGTGTTAGTCTCTCTCCTTTCATAATAGATCCATTAAGTGACTACAATATTTACTCTATAGATGAGGGATAAATACAAAGAGAAGGGAGAAACGATAGAGAATTAGGGAAAAAAAAAAGATTATTTGAAAATATATTTATCATTTTTTATTACTCTATATATGATTTTTTTTTCGTTCATCTTAATGATTGTCTCTCTTCAAAACAGATCCATGAATTAAATATTGTAACAAATTTCAAAACACTCATAGAATAACGAATAGTTACCTTATGAGCCCACTTTGAAGTGAGAAAAAAAAAGAGAAAAAAATTACATCTTTGACTTTTTAAAAACGATAAGGATATTTCTACCTAACCTTAATTATTATTAATAAGCAATTCAATATAAATAATTAGTTCACGCAAATTTGAGTTTTAAATTGCAAATAATCACAAATAAACTCAATAATTTATCTATTTTTAAATTTTAACTGTTCAAAACGTATAATCTTTATTAAAAAATTAAAGTGAGTTTCCTCATCCCTACTGCAAATTCATGTTGTAGGAAATATATTCTCCATGTTACCTAATTTCGAAGGATTTGCCAGTCCCCTCAAGGTGAGACCCACCGAGGTTAAAATTTTGCCTATGGGGTATGAGGTTGTTGTGGTGGGTGGATTGAAATCCTCACATATTTAGTCATGTTTTTTAAATCAAAACCATGAATAGGCATGATTTTAGCACATGACAAAAATGTCATGGAATTAATTAATTAATACTTCCTCGGTTCTAAAAAGGTTTTTTACTTCTTATTTATTTATCTATCTCAAAATACTTTTTGAAAATACTCTAATTAAAATCCTTTTCGTAAAAGATTGTTCAAATACAATTTTTTTTATAAAAAAAAGTATTTTAGGAAAATATGAACAAAAAAGACTCATATAATAATTAATAATCTTCTTAATCTGTATGTAAAAGAGGAGAATCTTTATAAGACAGCGAGAGTAATTGTTTCTCCCTCATCTAATCTACATCGTTGAATTTACGAAAAAAAAGAAAAAAAGAAAAAGAAAAAGAAAAGAGATTAGTAGCATAACCACGGGAACCCGAGAGGATCCAAATCTAATGACAGAGGTATTATCTCTGGCTAATAAAAAAACATTCAATTCATATATATACCATCACGACTAGTTTAAACAAAACATGACATCAAATATTTACTACAAATCTCAACGACAACAAAAGCCAACAACATTCTTAAACGCCCCATGAGCAATACTTTTGAACTATTTCTCGTATTTCCTAACACTAATAATCTTCCTTAACACTGCTTTAAATAAACTGTCTGTGTCTCATGGCCATAAGCAATGATTTTCAGTACTTTAAAACAACAACTGATTAAGCATGCATATAAAGAGAGAGATAAATGAAAAAAAAAGCAACAAAGCAAAAAAGAAATATGAGATTTTAGATTTACCAGGAACTGGAGGAGTGAAAAAACCGCTTCTTATTGAGAGAGAGAGAGAGAGAGAGAGAAAGGGAGAGGAGGGAGAGGGAGAGGGAGAGAGAGCAAGTTGGCTTTCGGCTTTGGCAGTTATGATAGCTTTTTAATTTTCTTAGAAAAAAAGGTGATCATTTCTAGTTTTGCCATTTGTTTTTTTTGAGAATTCGGGTGGTGGGGTGGCCAACAGCATGTGAACCGTCTAAATTTTTAAATTGGCCAAAAACCATATGAGGTCCTTCGAGTTTTACATTTGATCAAATTAAGCCTTTTATTTCAAAGAATTTTGATAGAGACATACACTCCGCAATAATCTTGTGTGGTTGTTCATAGTTGTATATGCAAATCATACGTTTTTAAGTTTTATAATTCTTTAATATGCACTGATTAGTGATGGTACAGAGTCGTGTTTGTCATTAACAAAGTTCTATTGTAATTTAGATGATTAAATCAAACCCTTATTTAATTAAAAGCGGTATGAGTTTTATTATTCAATTTTGCTATTGGTTACAAAGTCACATAAATGTATGACAAAATCAAAGTCAATTAAAGTCGGCATGTTTTTTAAAACATATATTTCGTAAATAAAAAAATATGCAAATAAAATGGTTAACAATAGACTCAAATATATGAAAAAAAACATATATTTTTTATTCAATAAAAAAAAAGTGATGGACAAGATATATTTATTTCAAATGAACTAAAACACATTTATTGCCTTATTGTTTGTTGAATTAGTTATAGAAAAATGCTGACAAGATTTTATAAGAAAAACGTTGTTCATAGCAATTTTTTGCATGAAAAAATATTTTTAAAAAATTTATTACGTTGTTGGTTGGGAAAGAGGATGGTTTTTTTTTTTAGGAAGGTTAAGAGAGAAGAAAGAAAATACTAGATATAAATGGATGACAAAATAAGAATTTGGTGATTATATTTTTAAAACAAGATTTCGAAATTAATTGTTGATTTTAATTTTACATAATTTTCACTATAATTAATTTTAATAACTCAAAACAAAAATTCTCCAATCATATAATTATAGATTCAACCAAATGTCTTTTTCCAACAGGATCAATTGATTCATCTACACCATACTTGACATTCACTCTTGGATGAATGTGACGTGTCATGACATAATTGGATAAAGAATTTCGAATTATCTATAACTAGAAATAAAGGACTTGATTTGATTCAATTGAAAGTAACAGGTCTTGTTTGGTTAGGCATGAAGAGGCTAGGACCCACACATGATTTTTCAGCCTATTAAAATTTGTGGGGTCCTGTGTTCGTGCCACCACACCGCTCTACAAGTGCCACGAAGTGTTTGGACATGTGGGATAACATGCACCTGAGCAGCATAGCAAAATTGCACTTTTGCGCTTAGCCAAATTTTCAAGTTCAAGGGCGCGCCATTCTTTGCCTCCACCACAAAGCCCTCTTTTCCCTCTCTCGCAATCTTCTTCTCTTTTCTTACAGCTATTTTTGGGTCCTGTACAGGCACAGTAAAGTGCTGAATTTCACAAAATAAATTCATTAAAAAGGTTTTTTGAAAAATTATTTACTGTAGATGTAATAATGTTCGTCACAATAATCATGACTCTTGTGAATTCTATTCATAGACATTCGACCTTGTATGTATATATGCTATTTTTTTATTTTAGTAAATAAAATAAATATACAAATCAATTTATTACTAAGTATTGACTCGATCAAGTTATTGGATCATTGATCCAATCAATAATTGTTACTCAGACCGCTAGATTGTTTGTATTATATTACTATTTATGAAGCATAAACAAAAAATAATAAAATAAATATATAATTTTTGTGGATGACTAGTTGGAGAGAGAAATTTTATAATATTTAAGTAATAATTAATATACGTATACAGTAATTACTCCAACGATCCACTTTTATGAGAAAAGTAGACACATAAAAAAATAATAATAATATCTGCAACCATCAAAAGTTATAAGAAGATTTTCATCTTTACTTAAATTTTTTTTCTCTCTTTTATTTTTTTTATTTCTTTCTATAGACTAATTTATATTAGTTACTCGATGAGTATTATAAAATTTAAATTTGCCTAGTTGGAGGTATCGAGGTCTAAAAAATTATATTTTTTTCTTTTTTGTTTTGTTTTTTGTTTTTTCAAAAAGGATCAATACTTCACCTAGCGGTCCAACCAGTTGGTTTGATTGGATATGAAAAAAATCTCACGACTATCGTGTTTTTAGCATCAACTTGGACTGATGAGTGTTTGAATTATTAAAATTTTCATTAAATCGATGAATCAATCTGAATTTAATAATATATCTAGAGGTATTTTCACGGCACTTGTGATAATTTTGAAAAGCTACAAATTGCAAATTTTTTTTTTAATTACGTGGGCTGCTAAACTGAATGCTTTAATTTATTTCCTTTAAAAAAGAATCTGAATTGCTTTGTTTGACCACTTTATCTTTGTTTTGGTTGGGTTTATTCAAAATTAGGCCGCTTTATTGTTTATTTGTCTATTTTAACAACAAACCATGGATAGAATAAATTAGAGAAAAGCAAAATTACCAAACGTAGGCAGACATAAAGCTGACTTTGCCTTTAAGTTATGTTTGGTATTGAAAAAAAAAAAAAAAAAGGGAAAAAAACGTTTTTAGAATTTAACATTCTTTTTTTAAAAAAAAAATTGAAATTTGATGTGATATTATAAATCTTACCAAACATAAAGATGGGTATGAAAAAAATTAATAAAATAACCTTTTCATTTTTTCCTTTTCCCCACCCACCAAATACATCCTAAACAACATAACAATAAATTTTATAATACTCTAAAGGTAATTAATGTAAATTATTTCAAAAAAAGATATAGACATAAAAATGAGAAAAAAATTAAACAAATGTAAAAATTTTTTTATCGTTTTTTATAATTCGAATGTGTTTTTTTTAAAAACGAACATATAAAATAATTATTATACATATATAATAATTAATGCTTAGATATTATAAAATTTATCGTAACACAACAGAGTTGGAATGGACGTACTCTTTATCTTTTACCAAAAAAACTGAAAAAATAAAATACCAATTCTAAAGGGTTTGTTGAGTTGATTAGCTAACGAGGAATTAATTCACCATGAGTATGTGAGTTTTGACTCTTTTATGTTTTCTTGAATTTCTCGTGAATTCTTAAGATTCAAACATGGATATAATACATCTCCAATCTGTCCAAAAAGATAATAAAGTCTTGTTACGTGTGAAGCAAGGCAAGGTCGCCTACAATTTTGTCAACAATGACATGTTATTTATGTCCTATCCTACATAATTAAATTAAATTAAATTAATTTGTCTTGTCTTTTTTCATATTTTTCATCATCATATTGATTTATAATATTTTTTTATTTGACGATAAAGATATGATCAAGCTAAATTTATATATTAATTAAAATTAGTTTTTTTTTTTTTTTAAGATACGTGGTTTCGAGATTTGGATTGAAAAATTGTGAAAAAAATGAGCAAACCTCCTTAATCACAAGTCAATCTTTATAATTATTACCGTACATATCTTATTACTAATACAATTTCATGGATATTCTTTCTGTTTGTCAAAAAGGATTAAAGAGAAGGATGATCGAGAGGGGAGGGATTGGGGATAGAAATAGAGGGTTTTTTTTTTTTTTTTGCTAAAGGATCTTACAAAAAAAAAATTGAATTTTTTATTTATAATTTTCAATCATTTCAATTTAGACAATTGACTCCCCTCTCTCTATGTGTAATTTTTAATACTATCAACTGGAATGATTGGCTCTTGTTTTTTATTTTTCTTTTTTATTAGCCAAACAACAAAATGGATCAATCAATAATTTCTCTCATTTATTTTTATTTTTTTAATAAACGGATCAAGTAAAATATAAAACAGGTAGACAATAATAATCACACGACATAAAATTTATGTGGTTCAATAATATATCTACTCTATAACTGCATTAAAAGTTTTTATTAAATTTTTTTAAGTAATGATTACAAATATAAGAAATATTATTTTTATTTATAGTGTAAAACAACTAAAATTATTATAATAATAATAAAAACAAACTTACGAAACTATACAATTGGTCCAACTTTTTATAAATATTGTTGACTCTATATAAGGTAGTAAACTATGAAACATATCTATATCATTCTTCGCAACTTAACTCTTTTATTTTACCCCATTCAATATTTTTTTTACAAATATAACCTTATTTATTGGAATGGTTTTTTATACCAATACAAAAAGAATCAATGCCAAAAGAATCATATATCAATCGGTATAACTATAGTGATGCACCGTGAAGTTGTTGAAATAATAAATTTAATATCGATTTATGTGCAAATTGATTCGGATATATTCTTAACCGTTTTTTTTTTAAAATAAAAAATAAAGTAATATTTTTTGGAGCTTGTGATGGGATGGGCTCACCATCACCAAATCGACACATCCAAATCTAGAAACAGACCGGGCCAGACCCAATCGAATCCAAAACGAAACAGTACTCATAGCTCAAGCTCAACAATCGCAGAGCAGCTGGGGAGGCTGAGCGAAAGAGGAAGAGACAGACGATTCTAGGACAAAACCTCTACACATTTGCCGTCAACCCTTCAAAAAGATTGATGGGTTTTTTATTTTGATTCATTTGAGACAGTAATACACATAAGAAGAGATAGAGAAGCAGTAAAAACATGGCCGTGAGTTCTCACTCATCTTCTGTAATCATTTTTTGATTGTTTCTTTTTCTTTTTAAATTTGATTTCTTGTATTTCGTTTTTAGTTATGCATATCATTTGGAGAATCATCGACAACGACAGTATCAGCGCACGTTTTGCTTCTTCGATTTTTTGACAAAACCATTGAGAGTTTCAAGTACAATGTTGGTAATTTATTCTTTAGCATCTTACCTTGTGAGCCCACTTCAGATCTAAATGCAAGGTAATACTGTTTTTGTTTTGTTAATTTTATTATTCAGGATTTGTTTTTATATTAATATATTTTGTAATAAAAGAAACGTTGGCAAATGTGAAGGAGGACTGGTGGGCAAGGAATGGATGCTGTTATTGGCGATGGCTTTTCGAATGATAAGCAATGCGATGGTAGAGGAGGAGACCCACTAGTTTTTAATATATTGGATTCAATGCTTAAGGGTAGTTTGGAGCGTTTGAAATCGATGAGGTCAGCTTTTGGTTTCGCTGTTGTTTTTTTCTTTTTCGATTTGGGATTATAATTTGTAGTGTAGATGTTTACTGTGTTAATTTCACTATTGTAAAAGCTTAATTTTAGGAGGGTGGTTTTGCCGTGGATTTTGTTTCGGTGGTGTGGTGTAACCCAAAATGTAAAAATCCCTGTATATGTGTTGGTATTTTTGTGAAGTGGAAAGTTTTAGTCGGATGATTCACAAATGTGGTGGATGTAATTTTTGGACTGTTTTGATAAATTTCCTTGTTTGATTTGAACTGTTTTGTTTTCATATCTGTTAATGTTGTGAACTATTCACATGGGGTGGGATTGATTGTAAAATGAGAGTATTTGATTATTTGAGCTGAATGTTTTGTTGGTGATTAGTTTATATGGGTTGCAAATGATAATAATTTAAGCATCACAGCATAGTTATTTATTTTTTTCTGTTGCGTTAATTCTTGCAGGGAGAGTATCTATTTGGTGAAGAATGGTGTTACAGGACATGTGTTGGATGTTAATTATGGAGGAACCGAAGCCATAAGGGATTTGTGTCTGGAGGGTAAGTTGGGACCAGCTTTATGGCTAAGGAGTAAAATGATTCAGAAAGGTTTTGTTCCTGATGTGCTGACACACAATTATATGGTAAATGGGCTGTGTGAAATGAGGGAGTTGGAGAAGGCAGATTGGCTTATTAGGGAGATGCAAGAAAAGGGTCCATCTCCCAATTGTGCCACATATAATGCTTTTATCAAAGGTTATTGTCTTCACAATAAAGTTGATAAAGCACTATATCTCTTTTCTTCTATGGCTAATAGTGGTATCAAACCAAATAGAGTTACTTTTAACACACTTGTGCATGCTCTTTGCAAGAGAGGCCTTGTGACTGATGCTAAGAAGCTTCTTGGAGAGATATTAGATGATGATGAAAAGGCAACATCAAACGTGATCACCTCAACTATACTTATGGATGGTTGTATCAAGAGTGGAGATATAGATCAGGCACTTGGTATCTGGGATTCATTGTTTGAAGAGAGTACCCCAGTTGATGTTATCTCATATAATGTTCTTATCCGCGGATTCTGTTTGGCTAGAGAAATGAAACTTGCATATAGCTATTCTTGTCAAATGCTTAAAAGAGGTCTACTGCCTGATGTCTTCACATATAACACTCTTGTATCTAGTCTTTGCAAGAGTGGAAAATTTGATGAGGCTTGTTACATCCATGGTGTGATGTTAAGAATGGGAGTTGCTCCAGATGGGATTTCATACAAAGCAATAATTCAGGGCCTATGTGTTTGTGGGGACGTATATAAGGCTAACGGGTATCTTAATTTTATGTTAGAGGAATCAATGATACCAGAGCCTCTTGTGTGGAACCTTATTATTGATGGTTATGGGAGACGTGGAGATCTTGGCAATGCATTTGCCATAAGAGATCACATGTTGTCTTTTGGTGTCGTACCAAATGTGTTCACTTACAATGCTTTGATTCATGCACAAGTAAAAATAGGAAACGTTTTTGATGCATATGTTCTGAAAAAGGAGATGCTTCTAAAGGGCCTTTTTCCGGATGTGGTTACATACAATCTTTTGATAGGTGCAGCTTGTAATGCGGGACACATTCGTTTTGCTCTTCAATTATATGATGAAATGCTGAGAGGCGGATATAAACCAGACATGATAACTTACACTGCACTCATAAGAGGTTACTGTATAAAGGATTATGTAAAGGAGGCTGAGGAACTTCTATTTAAGTTAAAGAATTCTGGTTTACCAATTGATCATGTTCCATTTCAAATAATAATGAAGCAGTACTGCAGAATGAAGGAGCCTGATATGGCATTTCAGCTCTATCAGAAGTGGTTGGCTGGAAACAAAGACTTTCCTATTTGAAGAGCCACAGTCATCTATGGCAGTGCAAAATTATTAGTTTGAAATGCTAGGGAGCAATTTGGCTGGCATATCATAGTCCTTGTACTTGAATTTGGGATCCAGTTTATAATGTTGGCTGTTTTCTGATTGTGGGGACCTTAAAGTCTTGCATATGATCTTTCCAGAGGTATGTGTTTTTCATAGATGCTGTTAAGTTCTACAAGAAGGTTTTCTAGGTTGTCATTGTTCTAGTTTTACCAATTCATGAAATTCCAGGAACCATTAAAGCAGTCATCTCAGGTTTCCACATGGTAAATATAATACTTTGCTATGACTTTTCCTGATAAACTTGCCTTAAAGATGATTATTTTGTAAGCCAAAGAAATGCTAAAGTATGTTAGCTGATAACTTTTGGCATGGAATATGGGCAAATTGAGCAGTCAATAGCTTGATGATTAGGTGTAACATTTGAAAAACTGAAGCTGAGGAAACACTCTTTTTTTTAGCTTTCTTTGATTGTGTTTGAATACTGCATTTTTTTTATGCTAGCTTGACTTGTCTGCTATAAGTTGCTGGTTTTGGATTTACTCAGCTTAAAATCTTCAACAGATTTTTCTCCTCTGGTTTTTGCTTTGAATGATGGTCCATTAATTCCTGTACCCAGACAGTAAATTACTCCCCTCTCTTTTTCAATTCCACTTTGCAATATGCAAATATCCTAGTCAGTGGAAAGCATGCTTGGAATGTTAATTATGCTTTCCAATTTTATCTTTTTCCAATTTCATAAATTACGCAATAGCCATTATCCTTCTGAGATACGGTTTTGCATTTCAGAAAATTGAATTGACAGGCACAAACTATATGATTTGGGCCTTAAATTCTTCTTTGCCATTCAACTTAGAGAAGGGAGACTTTGAAAATTGGTGATTTCTGATAGGATTTCGAATTAGTTTTGTGATGTTGTCTAACAAGTCATTCGCAGGTGTTTGGTGGAGTCGGAACTGAGGCCCATCTGGAACTCTAGGATCTACTGACAGTTATCAACTTGCTGTCTCAATTAGCAAGGAACTATGCTTTGACATTGCCGTTTGAGCTGGAGGTCAGCAGCATGCTTGCAAGCAGTGACAAGGATAAACGAATTATGATGGGAGCAGCTATAATTACATGCTTTTGGAAGAAATATAGCACCTTGGACAGACTACTGAGTAGACACATCTTGAACATGCTCCTCTCTTTGCAATTATGAAGATAACCTCGGTCTGAGTTTTATCTGAAGCAAGTAAGATTTAATACAAACAATTTCTGTATCTCTGCCTTTTGTAGCTTGTATTTTGATCTGGGAAGATTATTTAACACCTTACTGATTACTTTTCTCTATCTGGCATCTTACGTCGTCTTGCAGGGTCAAATGAGAGTAGATTGAAGCATCAAGGCAGGGTATATAGTGAGAATGATAAGCATCATTCCAGCAGCTCAGTTCAAGCAACAGCATCTAATCCACGACGATTATCTGCATGATATTTGCATCTTTGCGGATCCAACAAATTAGGAGAGAACTATAATGAATTGGACTATTCAGAGTTGTGGCTGTGCATTGGAGCTTTCTTTTGAAACAGACAGGGTCTTCGCATTAGGACAATGCCATGCTTATATTCCAGAGGAAGTGAGCTTTTCTTTGCTTATTTCCTACAGATTTACATGCCATGTTGATGACTGGGATGGGAAAAAGGCTGTTGCATCTTTTTGTAACCGGATATTTGTCACCTGAGTATTAACATTAAATCTCCTAATGTTGGAGGGGTGATGATACCTGGCGGCCCTTTTGCAACTGGGTATTCATTTTTCTGTAATGAAGTCACCATATTTGTGAGGACTTTTTAGTCTCCTAAGGAAGGTTCAGAGAGAATTACCAACAGATCCTCACAAATTACCAACAGATCCCACACAAGCTGCCCAAATATCTAGTTAAGGTATTCCAACTCTCCTTGTCCATTAAAGCTAAACCAAGCTTTTGGAGATGATGCAGAATGTTAATGTCCACCTACCTTTGATGCAGCACATGCCAGTGAAGGTAGGATGAAACCCCAGCTTTTTCCAGGTTTCCTCAAGGAAAAATCTTTCTATGATTCCATCCAAGCAAATGCTGTTTCTTTTTTTATGAAACTAAATTGTCATGGCCAAACCCCAGCCATTTCTTCAAAGGAAAAGTATCTGTCACTAGAATTATATATTTATATATGTCAAAGTAAATTAGCTATAAATGCATGGATGTCATTCAAAAATTTGGTTCTAACCTAAGATACAAACTCGAATCTACCATTTAATGGTAATTTGTTTGGTAGCCAGAAAAGGAAAAAAGGTTATCTGAGAGAAATGCATGACAGTTTCCTATAGGCATGCATGGCCATAAATTAATATCGAAGGACTACTAAGGTTGGTTGCCCCATAAATGAAGATCTAAAAAATCCCATTAATGCTCTTGACAGTATAGATACAACTAGAATTCATTTCAAACAAGTCAGGAAGGAGATGAATTGGCCTTAGAAGATAGCCAGCTACGAGATGATAAATAAAGAAATATTGTTATACTAGATGCTAAACCCTACTTTTCTGCTTCAGTATGGACTCGAAAACCAAAACAACAATTGGACCACAGTATATTCATAGTTGATTAGAAACGTGGTGGGCTTATCTCTAATGTAGGTAGAATAAGGAAATGCTAAGGACAGCAACCAGATCTGCTGCTGTCTGAATCGATCAAAGAGTTTTAAGTTCTTTTATTATACGATAAGAAGTTAAGAACCTATTAACTGAAGTTACTTAGAAAAACATAAGTACAAGTACAGATTTTGCAGTTCTGCTATATTTTCCTTTGAACTCAAAGGTGTGTAATTCATTAATTTGTAAATGATCTAACTTAACTTAACAGGACATGACATGTTAGACGCTAAATAGTTTCAAAATAAGGTTTTTGGTGGATAACATGGTTTAAAAATGGCTATTCATTTGGGAGCTAAAAATGGAAAGAAGAGAAATCAACTCGGCACACTGCAACCTTTGCCCTTCAAAGTAATTGCTTTTCACATGCCTAGGAATTGGTCACTTCAGTCCATCTGCCTCATAAATATCTAACCTACTAAATTAATGGAGCTCATGCCTGTGTTCCTAACATATGCAGTAGTAGGTTCAGAAGGCAGCGGTCATTGTTCAGTTCCTAAATTCTTGTAGAAGACTGGAGTTGGCAGTGGAGAAAAAGTGGCTATCCAGCTTCAGTTGCAGACATCGTAGACATAGCCATTGAAGTTGGTTGAATTTCATTTAGGTTTGCTTCTTGCTTACTCTCATCATTCTTTTGGCATTGGATTATTTGCTTAGATTGTGATAGTTACACAAACTTGATCAGGAAGAATTATGAATATTGCAGTTTTTGTGTCCCACCTGATAGAAAATATAACACAAGCAAATTATATACACATGTCTGTTTCAATTTTACATCAAATTTTTGCTAAGAATTCTTGTCACCAACAGTTGGTTATGTACTAGATAGACTCGCATGTATTTTCAAAACTGATTTCTATACGAACAAGGAAATTCTGCACTGAGATTGCCTACTTTGACTCATGGTGGCCATAGCAAGAATTGATTATTCATTCATTCTGTTATTTTGTTGTGGTTGCTAATGTTTATAAAAAGGCTTGTTATCCCCTTGTATCTTGGAACCAAGAGAGCAGATTTATATCTCTAATGGCTATCCGTCACTGCTTCGACAAAGATGTTAACCAGGTACTTCCCATTTTCTTTTCTGCATTGCAACATTTCTTGTGACAGGGAAGACTCCTTGGTCAACTGCCAAATGCATGAACAAAATACAAGAAATTCATGATACCAGTAGGATAAAGTTTCCTTCATGTTACGCATATTCTGATTGTTGATTACATCGCTCTTTTCATTCTAACATATCGACAAAATCAAATGACTTTTTCTGTGGTAGAAAGAAAAAGCCTTTTCTGTTAGGTTGTACAAGGACAGCCAAGAAATTAAATAATTTGCAGCAGAAGGCAATATTTAATTTCTTGTTAGTATTTGTGTCATCTAGGTGCTGTTTGAAGGAAATTCATGTGTGAAGAAGGTGATATTGAACAGACCACAGCAGTTAAACAGCCTCAACTATCACATGGTAACATCGATCATTCTAATTGTTTATGAAACACGTATCTGCTTTTGCCCTTTAGGAAACGTTGCAGGGAGAGACAAGTTTCTCTCAAACGTGAAAGTTAACAAAGGTGACAAAACAAAGTTGTAAATAAGTAGTGCCAAACTGGCAAAACTAGATTCAAATCCATGGTATAAAATCTTTTGATCCGGATACATCAGCTTTATCAGAAGCATCTGCAATGCTAGTTGCTTTTCTGAAGTATGTTGATTGCTTTTCAAAGCTGTCTGCAATATACATTTTTCTCTTTCCTTTCAATGTCAACTCTCTTGATCAATAAACCGCTAAAAAAAAAAAAACATGATCAATGGCTCCTTTTATTTTATTTTGTTGACAGATCTCTCAAATGATCAGGGAGTTGAAAGCATACGAGGCTGATCCTAAAGTCAAAGCTGTGATATTGAAGGTGAAAAGGATGGCTTGGGAATGTGATAGAATTTTAAACCGATGCCATACCATCTAACTCAGACATCATATTCAACATTCATGCAGGGAAATGGAAAGGCATTTTGTGCAGGTGGTGATGTTTTGGCATCATATATTTGTATGGTTGCAGGTGAAAATCTTCTTCCAAGAAAGTTTGAAGTAATAGGAAAGTGTAGGATGCCGTTAATGTTTATCTTCTTGGATGAAGCAGGGCATTGGAGTTATGGCACAAATTTTTACAAGAAACAAGTCATTTTGGACTACTTAGTTGCAACATACAGAAAGCCTGTGGTATACAAGTTATTTGGCACTATCATTATACTAAATGGCAATGCCAATAATATAATATATTTCTTCACTCTTGTCATTTTTTCATTCGATTTTAATAAGTGCAATTGGATATTTGAAGGTTGCAATTATTGATGGAATCGTGATGGGGGGTGGTGCTGGTCTATCCCTGCAGGGAACTTTCAAGATTGTCACTGAAAATACTGTATGCTTCTGCTTTACGTACTGCTTCATTTGATTCCTTTGGCAATTTAGAGAGTAGCTTTGTCTCAGTGATATTTCTGAGATAATCTGAGAGCATTGAACAAAATGTTTGATGGTCATCTCATTTGTATAGTGGATAGCTAATGGTGCTTGATTGTTACATGTCCTTGCATAGGTTTTTGCTATGCCAGAAGCAGGAATAGGACATTTTACTGATGTTGGAGCATCATATTTCCTTTCCAGGCTCCCTGGACATTTTGGTAACTAGCTATTTAATACTCTCATCTACTTTAATAATAGTTTGCTATGAGTTTCTTGCTCTCTCATATTTCCTCTGAATGTATACTTCTGAATATTTCATGAAAAATATTTTTCTGATTTTTTTCATTAGCATGCTAATTTAGTCCCAAAGATTCTTGTTCTATTCATTCTTAATTCATTTAAAATGTTATATAGGCGAATTTTTGGGACTTACTGGAGCTAAGATTAAAGGAGCAGAAATGATTGAATGTGGCCTTGCAACTCATTTTATCCTCTCAAAGGTAATGGCTTTTAGAATTGTTCTGATTTTAATTTACCATCAAAAGGTTATACAGAGAAACAACTGAAACAGGATATAATTTAGATAACTAGTTGCCTCCCCGGATCTTCAGAAATCTCTTGATCTGCACAAGAAATCTTCTCCAACATCCAGGCAATCCCCAGTCCTTATAGCCATTTCTTATTTTTGTTGTTGTTGTTGTTGTAGGACCTCCATTTGTTGGAAACTGCACTAGAAGAAATAACTTCTGATACAAAAACAATTTCTGAGGTCATCAGCAAATTTATGCACAAACCAAATGTGAAACAGCATGGTGTCTTTAGCAGGTAATGTTCAGCTTCCTCAACAATTTGTACTGCTTGTATCAATATCTACTAGTGTCTGTTAACCTGCTGAATTGGAATACTGGATAATTAAATAGATTGGAGATCATCAACAAATGTTTCTCAAGAAAAACAGTTGAAGAAATACTATCATCACTGGTAAGCATATTGCAGAAGCATCTTTTCTCTTCTAAACTCAGTGTAGAAAGCCACCATTAGGAATGCCAGCAATGTGATACTATTACTACTTGGATTCTTTAGGAGAGTGAGGCAGAAAATAGAGCAGAAAAGTGGATTGTTCAGGCAATCAAGTGGATGAAGTCAGCCTGTCCGACAAGCCTCAAAATTTCACTCAGATCGGTATGAGGGAGTTTAATAAGACATTTCTGATCTTTTAACCAATTTAATATTTGTTTCAATTACATTCAAGGAGTGCTCCATTTTTTTTCCTTTTCGTGATTAGATTAGAGAGGGCTGCACGCAAGGACTTGAGCAATGCCTCATCCGTGAATGTACTATTGTTTGCCACATTGTGAGAAGAACAGTTAGCAATGATATTTATGAGGTAATAACTGGAATGATAAGAACATAACTACAGATATGAACATAATGCAATGACTCTTAGTCTCTAATGATATGTTTTCTTGCAGGGAATAAGGGCCATGTTAGTGGACAAAGACAGAAAACCCAAGGTAATTTTCTTTTCTACTATGTTTGGTATGTTCTGTTATTTATCACATAATGTAATGTAATTTTGTTTCTTGTTTTTAACAGTGGGAGCCTGCAAAATTAGAGCTTGTGACTGATGAAATGGTGGATCGATATTTCTCCAGAGTTGATGAAGATGACTGGGAACCCCTTAAACTTCCTGCCAGATCATCCAACTTAGGTGATACTGTGAGGCCAAAACTTTGAAACTAGAAAAACCGAAGTACTATCCATTGGTTAGCTATCTACATCTGCAAGTTTGATAAATTAAGAACAGAGTCCTTGCTTAGGTTAAGACTCAGGTTCGTGCCCTAGCTTATTATTAACAATAAAACTAAAAGATTTGTGGTATTGATGAACTCAAGATTGAATTGAATGTATCTATATTATTCAATAAAATCAATATTTTCTGCAATGAAAGACAGTTTTCGATACTAGAAGAGTTACAAAAGCAGAAGAATCATTGAAACCAGAGAGAAAATAGAAAAAGAAATCTGAGAGAAGTTACACAAAATGATCCAAGACAAGTCTCTCTCTGCTCAACCCTCTACATGCACTTTGATGCTGTCTAAGAAACAATTAGATATCTACAGCCTACAGGCTGATTGTTAAGATTTCTCGTAGTGAAATTCATTCATCCCTTGAATCAGTCTCATATTAGAATTTATGTGATATCCATTTGAACCATTCTGCACACAACTATTCACTTGACTCTTGATTCTATCAGATCATCTGAGGCCAAGCAGAAGCGCGACCTGCCAATTTCAGTTACCAAAAACTCCCACAATCAACCAACAGCACAACATAAAAATATGAACGCCATGCTTATTGATAACATATACTTGATGTGTTCTAAGATCAATAGAACATTGTCAGTTGCAAGTTCATTAACATTCTCAGAGATAATGATAATAGGGATCACTTCAAAATGTTGCACTACCTGAATTGTGAATCTCTGTACATGATTTATAGGTACAACACCCGAGTTCAGATCTTCGCACTTTGATAGCGTCCAAAATAGAAACAAATAAAAATAAACAGGACTATAAAGCATTCATCACAAAATGAATAGCCAAACTCATTAGAGCTCATTTAGCATTACCAAATACTATAAAGCTCATCAAGTTGCTTCGTAGTGAAATTCATCGACTGTAGAGTATATCGAAGTTTCATCTTCTTCAAGTGATCCAATTGATTCCCTGCAGAGGCAGAAGATGATATGGATAGATTAATTAGTTCTGCAGAGGCAAAGGTGAATGCGATAAGTAGGAATGGCGCACAGATAGTTTGCTCTTGGGGTTACAAGACTCAATGCCTCTGACATGTCCAACTCATCTGGCAACATATCGTTTTTATATTAATACATTTTGTAATAAAAAGTAAACGTTGGTAAATGTGAAAAAGAAACCATATATAACGATTATGATGTAATGATTTCGAAATATTTCGTTATTGTTATTTTAGTATCCTAATAAATTATAACCAGCAATATTTCTTCGTTATTGTTATTTTAGTATTATAATAAATTGTAATCAGCAATATTTTTTCAATCGTTTGTGATTTAAATCTATAGCTATAAAGGATTTGTTTATGGAGGGTAAGTTGGGACCATCTTCATGGTTCCGGAGTAAAATTATTCATGAAGGTTTTGTTCCTGATGTGCTGACACAAAATTATACGGTATTAAACTAAATAGTTACTTTAAACGCACTTGTGCATGCTCTATGCAAGAGAGGCCTTGTGACTGATGCTAAGAAGCTTCTTGGAGAGATACTAGTCTGCTATAAGCATGTTTGAAATGTTGAGTATGGTTTCCAGTTTTATCTTTTTTACAATTCCATATATTACACAATAGCTATTATCCTTCTGAGATACAGTTTTGCCCTTCAGAAAATTGAATCAACAGGCACAAACCCTACGATTTGGGCCATGAATTCTTCTTTGCCATTCAACTTAGAGGAGGGAGACTTTAAAAATTGGTGATTTCTGATAGGATTTCGAATTAGTTTTGTGATGTTTGTCTAACAAGTCATTTGCAGGTATTTGGTGGAGTTGGAACTGAGGTCCACCAGAAACCCTAAGATCTACTGACAGCAATCAACTTGCTGTCTCAGTTAGCAAGGAACTAAGCTTTGACTTTACCATTTGAGCCAGAGATCAGTACCCTGCTTGCAAGCAGTGACAAGGATTAAAGAATGTTGTATAGTAGCAGCTATAATTACATGTTTTCTGGAAGAAATAGAGCACCATGGACAGACAACTGAGTAGACACTTCTTGAACATGCTTCCCTTTTTTTCAGTTATGAAGAGAAACTTGGTTTGAGTTTTATCTGAAGCAAGTAAGAGTTAACTGAAGTTGCTTAGAAAAACATAAGTAAAATTCATTAATTTGTAAATGATCTAACTTAACTTGACATGATAATGTTAGAAGCTAAATAGTTTCAAAATAAGGATTTTCAAGTTGGAAAGTTGAGATTGGTTGCATCCAAAAGATTCAAAAACTTGTTAAAACATCCCATGTGGTCTTCAAGCTAGACCGATTCCTTTTTTTCTTCCCAAATCTTCCCCCACCAAAACACAAATCCTAAACAAAAATCCAGGCCTAACATTCTAGGACAATTCACAGTAAAAATACAGAAGAAACAACATCGCCGTCCAATCCCATGGTTTTCCTCAACTTCCATCTCTCAGTACCTGTAGGGAGCAGGCTTGTAAGGACCCTCAATAGGCACGCTGATGTAGTCAGCCTGTTCCTTGGAGAGCTTGGTGAGCTTAGCTCCAAGCTTGCCAAGGTGAAGGGCAGCAACCTTCTCATCAAGGTGCTTGGGCAAGACATAGACCTTCTTCTCATACTTGCCAGATGCCTTCTCGTTCCACAGCTCGAGCTGAGCAATCACCTGGTTGGTGAATGAGCAGGACATCACAAAGCTGGGGTGACCAGTGGCACAACCCAAGTTCATGAGACGCCCCTCAGCCAGGACAATGATGCCTGACTTGGTATCGGGGAAGACCCACCTGTCAGTTTGGGGCTTGATGGTGATGCGCTTCACACCAGGGAAGTTCTCAAGTCCGAGCATGTCAATTTCATTATCAAAGTGACCAATGTTGCAGACAATGGCATTGTTCTTCATCTTCCTCATGTGGTCAACCATGATGATGTCCTTGTTACCGGTGGTGGTGACAAAGATATCAGCCTCAGACACAACATCTTCAAGGGTCAGGACCTGGAGACCCTCCATAAGAGCCTGAAGAGCACAAATGGGATCGATCTCAGTGACGACCACACGAGCTCCAGCTTGTTTCATGGCAGCAGCACAGCCCTTACCGACATCACCATAACCACAGACGACAGCAACCTTGCCGGCAATCATGACATCAGTTGCTCTCATCAAACCATCAGGGAGAGAGTGGCGACATCCATACAAGTTATCAAATTTGCTCTTGGTGACAGAGTCATTGACATTAATAGCAGGGAAAAGCAGAGTCCCATTAGCTTGCATCTGATACAATCTCTTAACACCAGTTGTAGTTTCTTCCGAAACACCAACCAATCTTTCCTTCATTTTGTGATACCTCTTGGGATCAGTCTTCAACCCATCTCTAATAATTGTCAAAACAATCTGAAACTCTGCATTATCAGTCGAAGCTGGATCTGGCAAAACACCAGTCTTCTCGTACACTTCCTCAGCCTTCACACCCTCGTGAATCAAGAGAGTAGCGTCGCCACCATCATCAACAATCAAATCAGGACCACCACCTGGTCCCCAGTCAAGAGCTCTCTCGGTGCACCACCAGTACTCCTGGAGGGTCTCACCTTTCCAGGCAAACACAGCAGCCGAATCACGGGCAATAGCGGCAGCGGCATGATCTTGGGTTGAGAAGATATTGCAAGAACACCAACGAACCTCTGCACCTAAGGCAGTTAAAGTTTCAATCAAAACAGCAGTTTGGATGGTCATGTGAAGAGAGCCAGTGATCCTGGCTCCCTTGAATGGCTGCGAGGGGCCGAATTCGGTACGGCAGGACATCAATCCAGGCATTTCAACTTCGGCCAGTTCGATTTCGAGACGGCCGAAGTCAGCCTGAGACATGTCCTTGACCTTGTACTCACGACCGTTTGTGGTTTTCTCGACAAGCAAAGCCATTGTAGAAGAAAGAGAAAAGATTTGTTACTTTCACTCTCTTATAAACCGAGGGAAAATAGAAGCGGCCGAGAAGAGAGTGAAGGGGAAAACGAGGGTGGAGAAGATGAAGAGCGGGTATAAATAAGTTAGAGATAAGGGACGGACGGTGAAGATTGAAAGTTTAGATAGGGTGAGCAAAAATAGGGCTTACGGGTTAGAGCGGATATCTAGACTAGGATGACGATGGAAGTGTATCGAATTAATTAATTCAATTTTCTATTCTATTCATTACCAAAAAAAAAAAAAAAACGATTCTATTTATTAAAATATCATAATATAAATTTTTATTTACTTCATACTTAACATATATTAATTTACCTGCTTAATTTAATATCCAATTAATATTCTTTAAAATTAATTTGTCAAAATATTCATTTTAATCTATATCATTTTCAAAAGAAGCTTTTTGTCTTTAAAATTTACTTTTTTTGCATTTTAGTCTTTCAAGTTTTTGATAAAAATATTATAGTTCTTGATTTTTAAATTTTATACAATTAATAATAAAAAATCAAAATATTAATAAGATAAATAGTGAGTGTTTAAATCTTTAAATCGTATTAGTGGATATGTATTTTTTTATTCTTACTCATATTAATATATATTAAACATTTGTAATGAGTATTTATTGAGCCGAATAAAATGAATATTTATTTTATATTTAATCCATTGTCATCCTACACATATCTCATATTAAAAAAATAAACAAAAGATGAGTTATATATAAGTTTAAGAAGATATCATCCATCATAAAATTTAAATTTTTTTATAAAATTTAAATTTAATTATCTAATTTTATATAGCATTTGGGCTTAAAAAGAAAAAAACCAATGGTTAAATAAAAATCTTAAAACCCAAACACATGATATACGCCAAAAGATAAACCGTAAGTGAAGGGCTACCAGTCAAAAGTCTCGAGTCTTTTGAACGAATCCATCAGTCTGCCTCATAAATATCTCACCTACCAAATTAATTGAGCTCATGCCTGTGTTCCTAACCTAAGCAGTAGTAGTTAAAAAGGCAGTGGTCATTGTCCAGTTCCTACATTCTTGAAGAAGACTGGAGTTGGCAGCGGAGAAAAGTGGCTATCCTGCTTCAGTTGCAGACATCATAGACATAGCCATTGAAGTTGGTTGAGTTTCATTTAGGTTTGCTTCTTGCTTACTCTCATCACTCTTTTGGCATTGGATTATATTTGCTTAGAATGTGATAGTTACACTGACTTGATAAGGAAGAATTATGAATATTTAGGTTTGCTTCAATTAGGTTTTTGTTTCCCACCTGGTAGAAAATATCTCCAACATAAGACAAGCTGATTATATACACACGTTTGTTTCAATTTTAAATAAAATTGTTGGTAAGAATTCTTGTCACCAAACAGTTGGTTATATACTAGATACTAGATAGAATCACATGTATTTTCAAGCAGGTTCAAAACTGATCTTTATATGAACAAGGAAATTCTGTACTGAGAATTGATCATTCGTTCATTCTGTTTTTTTTTTTTTTTTTTTTGTTGTGGTTGCTGATGTTTATAAGAAGGCTAGCAGATTTATCTCTCTTACTCTAATGGCTATGCGTCACTGCTTCGACAAAGATGTTAACCAGGTACTTCCCATTTTCTTTTCTCTATTGCAGCATTTCATGTGATAGGGAAAACTCCTTGGTCAAATGCCAAATGCATGAACATAATACAAGAAATTCAAGATACCAGTAGGATAAAATTTCCTTCTTGTAACTCTTATTCCGATTTTTCATTACATTGCTCTTTCCGTTTTAGCATATCATCAACAAAATCGAATGACTTTGTCTGTGGTAGGAAGAAGAAGCCTTTTCTGTTAGGTTGTACAAGGACAGCCAAGAAATTAAATAATTTGCAGCAGAAGCCAATATTTAATTTCTTCATAGTATTTGTATCATCTAGGTGCTGTTTGACGGAAATTCATGTGTGAAGAAGATGATATTGAACAGACCACAGCAGTTAAACAGCCTCAACTATCACATGGTAGGTTTACATCGATCGTTCTAAGTGTTTATGAATCGCATATCTACTTTTGCCATTCAGGAAACGTTATAGAGAGACACACAAGTTTCTCTCAAACATGAAAGTTAACAAAGGTGACAAAACAAAGTTGTAGAAAAGTAGTGCCAAGTTGGCAAAACAAGATTCAAATCCATGGCATAAAATCTTTCGATCTAGAGGCATCAGCTTTATCAGAAGCATCTGCAATGTTAATTTCTTTTCTGAAGTATGTTGATTGCTTTTCAAAGCTGTTTGCAATATACATTTTTCTCTGTACTTTTAATGTCAACTCTCTTGATCAATAACCTGCTACCAGAAAAAAAAAAAAAAAAGATCAATAACTCCTTTTGTTTTGTTTTGTTGACAGATCTCTCAAATGATCAAGGAGTTGAAAGCATATGAGGCTGATATCTACATCCTACAGGCTGTCTTGTTAAGATTCAAATAAAAAGGAAAAAAAGAAGCAGCAACAAATTCCCACAGGTTGCCTTATGGTAAATTCATTCACTAACGAGAAGGTTCTTATGAAAGAAACTTCTTTTTAAAAGGTTTGATCAAATATCAACTCGCAATCTTTAGCTGTACTGTATCAAATTTCTCAGTTACCCTGCCTTGAGTTTTGGATACAATTCACATTATCAGCATTTCTTCAAAATTCATCGCCCGTACCTATAGAGTATATCAAACTTCCATCTTCAGGTGATCTAATTGATTCCCTGCAGAGACAAAAGAGAATAAAGATAAAGGAATTAGTTTACTTCATGCCTGTAAGAGGGAGAGGAATGATGAGTGGGGAAGAAAGGTAGAGTACTTGATCTTTTCCGGTGGAAGTTTCAGCGGTTGGCAAAGTTCATAGGGGCATCCCCATTTCCGGTCCACTGTAATCAAGAACCAATTCTCAAAGTTCGGTAAAGATGCAACTAAAAATAAGTTCAGTTTAGCAGACATTAAAAAACAAAACCCCATGGATATTGACCCTCCGCAATCTCATGGATTGGTGGTGCAGTGGCGGTACCTTGGAATATTGACCCTCCATTGCGGATTCCAAGAAATAGATGCAGAAAAGCATGAAGCCTTCCTAAATGTAGAATCAATCACATTCTGAAATTCAGCCGGCTCAAAAGAAAAGGGAGAAGTATAAGAAAAAGGAAAAAAATTGTGCTTTTTACGCAGTTACGAGTGCCAGTGATGAGAAAACATACATGAAAAGAATACCTGATGCTGCCAATTCTTCAACTCCAAGGGATCCAAAAGCTCATAGACTTTCACACGACCAAATGAAAATGCCACGACCTGTAAACTACACACACATAATTATAAATTGAAGTTGAACAAGTAAACTAAAATTTTGGGCAGGAAATTTGATATACTAATGCCAAACATTTCCCAAATGCTATTATGGCAGACGCTAAAAACTGAGGGAAAAAAAATCCCACCCCTAACATATAAGATTTGCCCTATTTCAAAAAACACCTTCTACAAGCATAAGAAATGCAGGCTTCCTATAACGTCTACTGCTTCAATGCTATGATTATTCAGTTGCATCAATACCGTCAACAGTTTCAAGAGCTCTTGAGGAACACTCCGAATCGCACATCTAACACTTCACTTCCTTTGCTTTGAAAACTCTAACAAAGCTTCCATTGCAGAGGCTGTCCATCTACACAATGAAAAAACAAACAAAACACAAAACACTAATAAAGAACACTATCTTCACAAAACCGGAAACAATTCCAACAAATTCATCTCCAATTATAAAAAGAAAATCAATCTTAATGTGCACTAGAAAATAAAAACCCTTTATAGATGAGAAACCATAAGAACCTTTTAATACCTTCAACAATCTCCTCCCACAAGGACAAACTCCCATCTCCACAAATAAAGCCACTGCATCATCATATTCTGGTGGTACCCAAACAATTTTGACAATCCCACCTTCATGTACCTGAGCAATTATAGGAAAGAAAGAGAATGAAAATGCTACAATGAGAGAATATGGAATCAAATAATAATAATAAAAAAAATAAAGATATTGAAAGTGTACCTAATATTTCAATATACGTCAGGTGCTATTGGGATTCCAAAACCAGTTCTTGTCATAGCAGCATCACCCTATAATGCCTACAATACCATCATTGTGCCTTGTTTTTGTTATAGACAATCAAATTAAATCTTTTTTTTTTTTTTTTTGAAAAAGAAGAGATTCAAAATAACAACCAATAATCTAAATCATTCTGCAAACGCGAAAGAAACAAAACAAAAAAAAAAGGGTTTTATTTATTTCATAATAACAAGCCAATAATAATTTTGTCTTACTAAATCATCATGCCTAAAAGGACGAAAGTTACGTACGTAGGAGGCTTGCAAAGTTGCCGTGTTCCGTTGACTTGAGGTCAGGTCAATGTATGCCTTAAATCTGCCACAAGTTGACAAAGTAGAGTTCCCACGCTGGCAACTCCTTTAGCAAATGACTTATCCACTGCTCCTCAGTAGAGAATGCAATTGAACCCAAAAGCGGATGATGAAGATGATGATATAGTTTAGGTATCACTATATCTCTTCCACTTTGGCTGTCATTCTCATCCCCCTCTTCAGCGTCACCACAAGATGTTGTTCCTTGCAGCTTGTCAATGTCATGATCCCACTTCCACTCTGAGGACTCTTCAAATGAATCTAACTTCTCTGCTATCACGTGGACCCCAATTTCTTTGATTTTAATACAAAGTATGTCTTCCTCGTCCCATAATTCCAGATACAGCTCCAATTCCTCTCCACAATATTCTTCCATTGCCAACTCATCTTTTCTTACATAACTCACCCAAGAAAAAAGTCACTGCCACGTACTCCTAATGAAGCTTTAAGCAATTGAATACCGTTGCTTTTATTATTAATAAAAAGCCTACATGCGAAACGAGCAGTGACCGGAGTATCAAAGACAATCCACAAAGCCAACCCTTGGAAAAATGGAGGTAAATGAAACGATAATGAACATTCTTCTCCCCGGTAGCTCAACCAGTCTGGTATGCCTCCATTACTAAAATAAACCTCATACCCATGATCATAATAATTGTTGCTCCATGCCTATATATATATATTGATTTAAAGAAAAGTTGAAATGTTAGGCACTAATATATATATGTGTGGAAATAAAAGAAAAATGAAATTTAAGGATTGAAAAAAAATGATACAACATGAGAGTCAAAAATAAAAAAATATTAAGTTTGTATATTCATGCCTAAAAAACATAGAAAAAACCACACAAAAATTATTTAAATTGTCATCAAGTGAATCGTAATTTTATGCATATAAACGAGTAAATGTTTAGAAATTTTAAGCATATGAATTGTTCGGATTCTCATGTTATGCTACGGATCGAACTAAACATATTTATTTTAGTTTGCTAATATATACTATTTTGTCATTTAATTAAAATATATTAAATTAAAATTTAAAAGATAACATTTCATCTAATTTTATAATTTTTAATCAAAATTTTGCATATCTATATATATCTTTTGAATAAATTTTGAAGTAAAAAAAATGATTTGCTCTTATGCATTTATTCTTAAATAAAAATCCATAATAACCAAATTTTAATGTAAAATTAAAAAAAAACGTATTAATATTTTTTCATAACATTGCATCGAAGAAATAAAGCAACAATTAATATAAAAACTTATATGAAAATTAACAAATGAAATTTTTTTTTACGGATGAGAAGATTATTATTTTTTTAAATATGTACATTTAATATATATATATATTTGAATGATTAGACAGTTATTTTAAAATATTATTTTATTTAAAAAAATTAATTTTAAAATAAAAGTAAATTTAGTTATAAAATCTTAGCATTCATTTGCGGAGATTTCAATCTGTGTACGTACGTGTGTGCACGAGAGATATGGATGGATAAAAAGATATGCAGTACCTCAGCAAGTCTCCTCTTTTGCGTTTCCAATAGAAGGTGGCAGTCATCAGAGCACACGCGCAAGCCATTACGCTCAGCTTTCGTGCCCTCAACATCCATTAAATTTCGGCTTCCACTGACATCCAAAAAAGGTAATGTCTTTGACTGAGTTTGCAATCTTACCCTTTCCAATGATGAGCAACGATGTGCATACAAAAGCAATAAACTTGAGGGAATATCTGAAATTATTGAAAGATGTTCGCAATCACTGACATTCAAACCCTTGAGCTTAGAAAGTTTGCCTATTCCAGAAGGCAGATTGAAGAATCTGTTTCCTGATAGATTCAAATCTTCGAGACAGGTCAGACTTCCAAAATCAAGACAATACGTTGCACCTTCAGAAAAACCACAGTGACCGAGATTTACTTCTCTCAATAAACTCCAACCAGCCAAAGATGCTGGCACCAAAGCTTTCCAATTCCAATTTAAACCTCTTGGTGAAAGCCATGATGCAATTGGTGAAACCCAAGATGCAGGGGATTGTGAGTCCGGATTGAAACTGTGCCCATGCAATGACAACTTTATGAGATATTTGCAATGTACAATTGAAGAGATAAGTTGCTCATTTTCAATTCCATCTGCTAGCAGCTCAGTTAAGGATTCAATATCACCCATGCCGTCCGGCAACTTTTCAAGTTGAGTGCACCCAGAAATGTTCAAACTTTCAAGAGATTTTACATCACAAATCCTTTCTGGAAGAATCTTTAACCTGCAGCATCCCTCCAAATTCAATAAAACAAGCCTTTTCAAATATCCAATAGATTTTGGTACCTCAACTAAACTGGTGCAATTTTTAAGAATTAGTCTCTCCAAATTGGAGAGTCCTATGAAGTTTGGCATTCTAGCAAGGTTCTCGCAATAGCTGAGATTGAGGATTTTCAGCTTGTTAAGGATCTGTCAAAACATTAAATAAGCAAAAATACTCGTAAAAGTAAAATATAACTTGTAAAATTTATGAAATTGCATTTTACTATTTACCTTAGCCCCCTTCCATAGTTCTTTGATGCTGCTGTACTGCATATCAAGAGCAACAAGGTTGTCCAGTTCAAGATCGGATGGCAAGGATTTCAAAGGGCATCTGTGCCAACACAACCATATCAACCCTTTGGGAAGAACTTTGAAGCTTCCAATTAGATGTACACCAGTAATCTTGAGTAGTTGTAAATTTCTCATCTCTGTAAACGCTTCTGTGCTCAAAACTTCTACTTTTGAAGCCCTCGTGTCGAGTGCAAGACCTTCTATAGTTATCGTTCCCTGAAAAACAACAAAATTCAATAGAACTCTCTTATGATTGGTTGGAATTAGATCTATATAAAGACATTTCTTTAAGATCAACTAAGAGTTTGGAACAAAAAAAAAAAAATTATTGTGAATATGCATTTAGTTCTTACCATCTGCTTGATGAGTACACTCCATGCATCCTCATGATGCCAAATTCGGGTGCGTTTTCCAAGATGGTCAGGAGACATTTTACGGATAATCTCTCTTCCCATGTCTCGTAACAAATCATGCATGTTTATCTCACCGAATCTATTAATTTTTATTAAAGACCTTTCAATAAGAGTTTCCAAATCATCTTCTGGATTGAAACCACAACGCACTTCTAGTACTTTTGCTACAAATACTTTCCTGCTACCAATAAAAAAGCATGCAATATCAAGAAAGGTGTTTTGCAGTTTATCGTCATCCAGTGTGTCAAAACTTATTCTAAGCTTTGCCTGAATATCATGGTTTGGAATTTTTCTCAATTTCTCAATAACACATTTCCATCTACCTTTGTTTTTCTCAGAAAAACAAGAACCTAAGACTTCAAGAGCTAAAGGAAGTCCTCCAGAGTAATCAACAACATCATTTAAAAGCTCTGCATAATCCTCCACTAGAAGTTTATCCCTAAAAGCATGCCAACTGAAAAGCTGAAGTGACTCCTCTCGTTGCAATTGTTTGACCTCATATTTTTTATCCACTTTAAGCAGCAAACCTTCATTTCTAGTGGTAATGATTATTCTACTTCCAGGACCATACCAACTTTGCTCTCGCATCAATGCATTTAGCTGTTTCAATTGATCCACATCATCAAAAACAACCAGAACTCTTTTATGACGAAGTCTTTCTTTGATGACATTCATTCCTTTATCAACATTATTGATATTCCTAATATCTCGCTTTAAAATACTGCGAAGAAGCAGTTCTTGTAATAAAACCAGCCCATTATATTGCACTGATGTTTCTGCGACATTTGAAAGAAAACAGCTTCCTTCGAATGCACTATGAAGTTGATTGAATACAACTTTTGCTATGGTTGTCTTTCCTATTCCTGCCATCCCATGCATGCCGATCATGCGAACATCATCTGTTGGTGTACTTACAAAGTTTCTAATATCATGGACAATGGGATCAATGCCTACTAGGTGTGGAGCAACATCTAATTCAATGGGATCCAATTTATTCAACACATCTTTGATGATCTTTTGGATAAATCTTGATTCATGCCTGTTCATGAATAAAAAAGGTCGTGAACAAAATTTTTTATTGTTCAATGAATAATTCAAATCTAATGTGCAACATAAATTCACAAGGCTTTGATTGATAATAAACAACTTCATATTGATGCCTATGAGTGATTATAAAAAGAAGAAGCATACCCATCTGCCATATCATTGAGATTCCATCCAGATAGATTTCCGGCCAGCTCAAGAGCTTCTCTCCACTGCTTTTCCTTCTCTTTAAATCGTTCTTCATGTTTATCAAATGCTTTTGCAAAACTGCCTGTCTGTTTTCGAACATCTGAAGGATCAATGTCATAAAATATAGGAAGAAGAATCTGATCAGTATTCCTTTTTTTGCACTCAAGAATCTCTACAAGTTCGTTAAGACACCATCTAGAAGAGGCATAGCCTTTTGAGAAGACAACTATCGATATCTTTGATTCTTGAATTGCCTTGAGGAGATGTTTGGAGATTTCGTCTCCCCTAGGAAGTTCATTATCATCTCGAAAAGTGTAGATTCCTGCCTGGAGTAAGGCAGTATATAGATGATCTGTAAAATTCTTGCGAGTATCTTTTCCTCTAAAACTCAGAAAGACATCATAGGCTCCTTTTGGTCTAGATCGAGAAGATCCTGGCTCTGTCATAGCAGCTACAGAAATAAGGCACTACTAATTAGAAATGCAGCAATTGGATGCATGTCAAGTGATCCTTAAAGACAACACATATGAGTGTGCCGTGCAGTAATTTCACATAAACAAACGGATTGATACTTTTTGTTACTTTCACATCTATCAGTCAGCCAATGGAATTCTTCTTTTCTGACCCTCGTTCAATAGTTTCATCTAAAATACAGGGCTGTTAGTAAGTCAATGCAAGCCATTAAATTTTGACTTCAAGGACTCGAGCAGTGCAAAAACTATTGTGAGGAAGTTCATTATCTGTAAAATGTATGAATTCCTGCTTGGGCTAAGACAATATAAAGATAATCTGTAAAATTCTTCCAAGTATCTTCTTCTATTCTCAAAAGACATCATAAGCATATCCTTGTCCAGATGAAACAGAAGATGACTTGGACTCAAAGAACATGGCAGCTATAGAAAGCACCAATATTCAGGAGTGGAATATATCGTTTGCACTGTAAAGAAAGGAATCATGGCAGCTAATAAACGTGAAGAATGCTTAATTAATTTAACTTAACATGATAAAAAAAAAATTAAAAAAAAAAACATGCTTGTTAATCTTGAAACTAACTCTTTTGTTTTGTTTTTTTTTTTTTTTAAGAGTCACAGTATGCACTACATAATGTCAATGAACTTGCAAAAGATAAAAGAAAAAACACTAATTGTGATTGACAAATTTAACAATAATCTTGCACTATAAGAGATAGAAAGAACTAAAGTGAATGATTTGAGCACAAAAGCTTTGACAAGTGTTTTTTTTTTTAGTAAGAAGCAAATTTAAAAAGAGTTACCTCTATATGGTGATGTTAGAACTGTTTTCAAAGACTAACTTCTTACTGTTAATTCCAATATATATTATTGCAATGCACAGATAAACAAATCAATTTAATTTTAAACATGGAAACAACAAAATTATATGCAATCAGTAGCAACAACTGCAAACGTACCTCTATATGGTGATTATAAGCTGGTCTGACTATCGGATTGCAGCAATCGGAGAGGTTGACTAATGAGTAAAGTGAGGGGTGAAGGTTAGTAGAGCGAGTATGAAAAAAGAGAGGAACGATGTAGCACCATTAAATAGGAATCAAATACACGGCAGCTAGGCTGTTTCTAAAAAGGTCCAGCACTACTTTGGAGGGAAAATAAAAAATTAGTAAAAACGGCAGAAAGTAAAAGGCGTAAAATTAGGCGGAAAGCTGATCACGTGGATGGACGGTCCGTCGATGGCATCCGCAGCTCAGTTAAATTCATTTCAAAATCTCACAAAGATTTCATGTCTAGTTAAATATACAAAGTATTTCCTCCTTTTTCTTATAAAATAGAAAGAGGTTGCAACTTTTATTATTTTTCACAATAAAAATTCTTTTATCTTTGCTAGTGGTTTTTATCTTGTTAACTTGTATAAATATTATTTATATGTATAATACTATTCATATGTATGATAATGTTCATGTAAAAATGATAGGAGCATGAAACATTTCGTGATAATAGTAATGGCAGTATAATTTGATATTGAAAAATTCAATATTTAAAAGATTATTTAGAAGCAGCCATAACATAATGGCTGTACATTCGATAATTTTTTTCAATTAAATAAGTTTGAATTGCAATAATTCTACTATATTTAGTTATTATATAATAAAGAATGAATACTTTTATTATATAACATAAAATCCAACAAATCTTCCAAGATATATATAAAGGCTTTTTCGATGCTCGAGTTTACTTCAAATCCAATATTTTTACTAATGCGTGTGGCAAGAGCTGCCACGTGATAGTAAAAAAATACCGTATAGTACTCAACTTTGCCACATCAGCACCTTATACTCTCGGATAGTTATGGATACTTAAATAGAAAAAAAAAAGCAAAGGTTAGGCATGGAAATAGGAAAAAAAAAAAAATTAAAGATTGGACACTTAAATAGGAAAAATATCAATGGTTGGACACAAAAAATATAGTTTTCTCAAAAAATTTATTTCGAGTTTTCTTACACCAAATATCTATCATCTTCTTGTATTCGATATATCTTTTCTTCATTATAGATAGATTTCATGCATTTCTTATGGTTCTATAATCTTTGTATGTGTGTGTGTGATCCCTCAAAACTTTCTTTTTGATATGCAAAGTCATGTAATTTTAAATTTTAAAAACATTAGCAATTACATATTTTCTTTTTGTTATACTAATTGCATCAACAATTTAACAATACATTTATTTTTTAGTTTAATTCATAGTTTACTTATTACCTTTATCATTATCTTCACCACTACAAAAAATATTATATTTTAAATGCTCAAATCTAAAAGCTTAATCACTAAACATATTTATGTCTATTTTATCATCCCAACCTACTATAAGATGTTTAACAAGTTATTGGCTACAACAAGCTTATGTCATCTATGATATGTTGGTCGATCTTCTCATTTCACATAAGAACCAATTTTTATTTTTTGCAACTTTTTTCATTGACCAACCACTTGTTGCAAATGGCAACCATAATTGGATCCTATATGTTTTTTATTTTTTAAATTAAATTTTAATTGGACCTTATATATATTTGGATTAAATGACATTATTTTAAATTTGTTTAGACATGTAAAAAAAGTTTAGAATTTTTAAAAAGAAAATTTTAATTAATACAAAATATTAAAAATTGTCATTGATAAGTAAAAAAAAAAAAAAAAAATACCATGGGCATGATAAGAAAAATATTTATTAGAAATTGTTGGATTGATTTTGCAATCTCGAGGCAATAAATTTCTTAAAGAAACCGCATTTTTGGTACCCAATTTTTTTTTTTTGTTTCAATGCCTAACCTTTTATTTTTTTTTCTATTTAAGTGTCCATAGTTGTATGAGAGTATGGGATGCTAGTGTGGCGAGTTGATCGTCATATGGCAAATCTCACCGAACACGTCGGTAAAATTAGACCTTAGGTAAACTCGAAGCACCAAAACAATTAAAAAAAAAATCGAACTTGGATAGTAAATCATGAGATATCAATAGTTAAACACCAAAATAGAACCCTAAAAAAAAAAAAATCAAAAGTTGGATACCGGAAAAACCATATATATATATATATATATATATATATAAACAACATGGTTGATGTAAAGTTGTTCACATGAGTTAATAAAACCTTTACGAAACAAGAGGAAGCTGTTAAGCTTTTGGGCTCGATGTCATGAAGAAGTTGAGAATGAATTGCAAGGCTCGCTTATTTTGTATTACGGTGAACTCTTTAAATCGAATCTCGGAGATAAAGTTACATTTACGATAAAGATCCGAAAGCTATAGTTATTGTTATAGAGACTAACTCATTTGTAGAGACTAACTCTTATCCGGTTTCTAATAAGATATATACATTTAAAGCTTATCCTTATCAAAGAATACGTTTATTATACAATATTGTTTATTGAAAGGATTTTTCTTGCTTACAAGCTGGTATAAGCATAACATCAATGGTTAATTCTTAACATGTGTAAAATAGTTCAACTCCAAAAAAAAAAAAAAAAAAAGATGGGAATTGAATCCGTAATCTAGTGTGTACCAATAAACCAATTGAAAAAAAAGGTCGAAGATAATTAATTTATGAAGAGGCTAAACTAGAGACTTTTCACTGTTAGAGACTAGTATAAATTATATTCTAGGGCCTCACCTATCAACTTAAGCTTTTAGGTGAGATGGTCCTTTAATATGGTCCTTTAATATGGTATCGAGCTTGGTTGACTTTGAGGTCCCGAGTTCAAGTCTCACCATTCCCAATTTCTCAAGTATTAAGCATAAGGCAATATAGACTTGTGCAAGTTTCATGTCCCAAATGTTGGACCTTTCACTTGAGGGGTGTGTTAGAGACTAGTATAAATTATATTCTAGGACCTCACCTATCGACTTAAGCTTTTAGGTGAGATGGTCCTTTAATATTCACAACCTAAAGGGTTGCCAAATTTTTAGTTTTTGAACTTTAGAATTGGGTGGATTGAACATAAGGTTAAAAAAAAAATGTCGAAGATAAATCCCAAGGCAGAGGTAATGCTTATTTTAGGTCAGTACAGCTTTTATATATGCTATGAAAACAATAATTAAAGACTTTTTTTCATCAACACATTAATATTTGAAGACTTTTTTATTATCAAAACAATAATTAAAGACTTTTCTTTCTTGAACAGAATAATTGAAGACTTTTTCTATTATGAAAATAATAATTAAAGACTTTTGTTTCGTGAACACAATAATTGCAGACTAGCTTGTCTTTCATGAACAGAATAATTAAAGACTTGTCTTTCATTAACACAATAATTGAAGACATTTCTACTATGAAAACAATAATTAAAGACTGGTCTTTCATCAGCACAATAATTGACAATTTTAAAATGAAACCGTCAGGACGGAAATTGAAGAATACAGAATAAATTTCTGTACCAAAAAATAAAAAGGATGTCGATTTGATGTATCTGTGTCCAATGAATGAATAAACAAAGACGCTCTGCATGGCTCTTGAATATTGTCCTATATCTTTGTAGCTAGCGTGCATGGCCGATTAAATTTGGGTTTAATTGCATCAAACATATTTCTATTCTTGATATTTTTTAAATGTGATTCTTGTATTTTTTATTTATTTAATTTCTTTTTGTTCTTTTTAATTTTTCTTAATGTTACTCTTCTAACTACTTTCGATTATTATTATTTTTTATTAAATTTGACAGCTTTTATTAAAAATTCCACATGGCATGACAGGTAGACTATTTTGCCAAGTGAAAAAAAGAAAAAAAAATTAAAATTTCTGAAAATAAAAAAAAACAAAAATACCCCTCTCTTCTTCTCCTCTTTTTCTTCTCGCTTCTAAACCTATTGTTGAAAAAATGCACAAAAATGAAAATAAAGAAGACAAAGCACTAGCCTTGGATAAGCATATGTATCTCGATTAGAAAATTTTGAAATCTTTGAGTGGTCCTCTCTTTTTCGAAAGAAAATTAAAAAAGTTGGCAAGCTTTTCTTTATTATTTATTTATTTCTCTGAGAAATTTGATTTGGGATGTTGAATGGGACCTATAAAGGAAGAAGGTGCTGCCCTCAACGACTGTCCTGGTTTGAGATCGTACTACTAGGCCATTGTATGTGGCTTTTTGCTTTCTTGAATTTCATGGCTTGACGAAGGTGCTGCCAATTTCATGCTAGGATTGGATGAAGCATAGGTTAAGATGTCACCCATGCTTTCATAATATGATAAAGCAAGCTTAGGGTGTGTTTGTTTGGGCTATAGATTAGCAGATGTACTTCTTTTCAACTGTTTAGAGAGAGAGAGAGAGAGAGAGAGAGAGGTTTCAATGGACGATTTCAGTGTTGAAAATCCCAAGGAAATGCCGATTAAAAAAATATTTATCAATAAAGAAATCCATACAATCATATGATAAAGCAATCACAAGTTCCAAAGTCCATTTAGTCATTATAAATCCTTATCTGGAGAGGAGAGTTAAAAAATAATTTTGGAGGAAGGGCCGAAAATTTATCACCCGCTGATTGAACTCCTTGATTTATCTACTTTTTCAATATAATTAAATAAAGCTCCAGTCCGTTATCACCTGCTAATATATCACGACTTACTATACGAATTGTCATTTCTGAAATTCTCATGTAATTTATGGCATGACATATCCTGTGGAGGGAAGAGTGAGATATAGTAAGAAAGCTTGCCAATGACGACCCATTAGCTACTCAATGGGAAGTGGAAATACTGACATCAGGCTTGCATGGTAGTATCTGCTCCAATTGGTGTATGTCTGGCTGCTGAACTATCACAGACATGTTAATAGAATATTGAATTCATGTTTTACATGTTAATTATCTTTAGAAGCCTTAAAAAAAGAGAGAGAAAAAAAGGAATTGTAGTTTGTTTTTCAATTAGATCTTATAGTTTGAAGATTAAATTGGTGATAATAATTAAAAAAGTAGAGGGATAAAATTACTTGGAAATTTTCTGTCATTACACGCCACCATACTCTGCAACTGATTTGACTTGTTTCATCATCCACAATATTAGAATATATCCCACATTGAATAATAAATAATATATAAAATTGAAAAGGATTATCCATCATAAAGCTTAAATCTTTTGGATGGAACTCAATTTTAACTATCTAACTTTATATAGTATCAGCCTTAAAAAGGCTTAATGGCTCAGCAAAGATCATCGAAAACATTTTCTGCTTCATCAAACACCATGCGAATAAAATTAACCTCCTAAATAAGATGTCCAGAGTCCTCCCTAAGAAAATAAAAATGAACTAAATAGTTACTGTGTTTGCATCAACAGAAACAAAAAGGGAGCAATAAATTTCAGTTTAAACCAAATTTATCGATAGCAAGAATTCAAAAACAATTATATCAGTAACATCTAATTCCACACAGTCGATGACAAAGTTTGACTTTTCATCCTCCACCACATTTCCATGTCCATCATCTAAATTAACCAGAATTTCAATGGCACAGCCTCTGAATTTTGTATGGTATCAGCTTCGTAGTGAAATTCATCTCTTGCAGTATATATCAGACATTCTAATTGATTCTCTGCAAAAGATGAAAGAGAAGATAAAAGTAACCTTTCCTGAACTACAATTACCATTACTAACAGGCTCATGTTCAATGGAGTGGTTGATTCACAAGGTTATTGTTGTTATTGTATGGAAAGTGGCATTCTTAAATTTTATTAACAAAGTTCCAATCAACACTGGAATGAAACGAACAGAATACAGCTTCCATGAGATGTACCTTAGAACTGTTCAGTTTTCGTGTATCTGAGTTGAAAGCCAGAACAAAGCTTGGTTCCTGGCTTTTATTCCATTGCGGATTCCAAGAAATAGATGCAGAAAAGCATGAAGTCTTCCTAAATGTAGAAACTGAATCAATCACATTCTGAAATTCAGCCGGCTCAAAAGAAAAGGGAGGAGTATAAGAAAAAAGAAAGAAATTGTGCTTTTTACGCAGTTACGAGCGTCAGTGATGAGAAAACATATATGAAAATAATACCTGATGCTGCCAATTCTTCAACTCCAAGGGATCCAAAAGGTCATAGACTTCAAAACGACCAAATGAAAATGCCACGATCTGTAAACTACATACACATTTCCCAAATGCTATTATGGCAGAAGCTAAAAACTGAAGGGGGAAAAAAAATCCCACACCTAACATATAAGATTTGGCCTATTTCAAAAAACACCTTCTACAAGCATAAGAAATGCAGGCTTCCTATAACGTCTACTGCTTCAATGCTATGATTATTCAGTTGCATCAATACCGTCAACAGTTTCAAGAGCTCTTGAGGAACACTCCGAATCGCACATCTAACACTTCACTTCCTTTGCTTTGAAAACTCTAACAAAGCTTCCATTGCAGAGGCTGTCCATCTACACAATGAAAAAACAAACAAAACACAAAACACTAATAAAGAACACTATCTTCACAAAACCGGAAACAATTCCAACAGATTCATCTCCAATTACAAAAACAAAATCAATCTTAATGTGCACTATAAAATAAAAACCCTTTATAGATGAGAAACCATAAGAACCTTTTAATACCTTCAACAATCTCCTCCCACAAGGACAAACTCCCATCTCCACAAATAAAGCCACTGCGTCACCATATTCTGGTGGTACCCAAACAATTTTGACAATCCCACCTTCATGTACCTGAGCAATTATAGGAAAGAAAGAGAGTGAAAATGCTACAATGAGAAAACATGGAATCAAATAATAATAATAAAAAAAAATAAAGATATTGAAAGTGTACCTAATATTTCAATATATGTCAGGTGCTATTGGGATTCCAAAACCAGTTCTTGTCATAGCAGCATCACCCTAGCTATAATACCTACAATACCATCATTGTACCTTGTTTTTGTTATAGACAGTCAAATTAAATCTTTTTTTTTTTCGAAAAAGAAGAGATTCAAAATAACAATCCAATATTCTATATAAATCATTCTGCAAAACAAAAAAAAAAGGTTTTATTTTTTTCATAATAACGAGCCAATAATAATTTTTTCTTACTAAATCATCATGCCTAAAAGGACGAAAGTTACGTACGTAGGAGGCTTGCAAAGTTGCCGTGTTCCGATGACTTGAGGTCAGGTCAATGTATGCCTTAAATCTGCCACAAGTTGACAAAGTAGAGTTCCCACGCTGGCAACTCCTTTAGCAAATGACTTATCCACTGCTCCTCAGTAGAGAATGCAATTGAACCCAAAAGGGGATGATGAAGATGATGATATAGTTTAGGTATCACTATATCTCTTCCACTTTGGCTGTCATTCTCATCCCCCTCTTCAACGTCACCACAAGATGTTGTTCCTTGCAGGTTGTCAATGTCACGATCCCACTCCCACTCTGAGGACTCTTCAAATGAATCTAACTTCTCTGTTATCACGTGGACCCCAATTTCTTTGATTTTAATATAAAGTATGTCTTCCTCGTCCCATAATTCCAGATACAGCTCCAATTCCTCTCCACAATAGTCTTCCATTGCCATCTCATCTTTTCTTACATAACTCACCCAAGAAAAGAAGTCACGGCCACGTACTCCTAATGAAACTTTAAGCAATTGAATACCGTTGCTTTTATTATTAATAAAAAGCCTACATGCGAAACGAAAAGTGACCGTAGAATCAAAGACAATCCACAAAGCCAACCCTTGGAAAAATGGAGGTAAATGAAACGATAATGAACATTCTTCTCCCCGGTAGCTCAACCAGTCTGGTATGCCTCCATTACAAAAATAAACCTCATACCCATGATCATAATAATTGCTGCTCCATGCCTATATATATATATATAGAGGAAAGTTGAAATGTTAGACACTAATAATTAACATACTATATATATATATATGCATGGAAATAAAAGAAAAATGAAATTTAAGGATTGAATAATAATGATACAACATGAGGGATGAAAATAGAAAAAAGTGTTAAATTTGCACATTAATGCTCAAAAACACAGAAAAAAACCAAACACAAAAATTACTTAAATTCCTATCAAGTGCATAGTAATTTATGCGTATGAATAGTAAGTGAATATGAATTTTAAGCCTATGAACAATTTGGATTTTCGTGTTACGGTATGGATCGAACTAAATATATTTATTTCAGTTTGATAACATATACTATATTGTTGGTTAATTAAAATATATTAAATTAAATATAAAAGATAACATTTCATCTAATTTTATAATTTCTAATCGAAATTTTATATCTATATATTTTTTTTTATGTTTTGAATAAATTTTGAAGTCAAAAAAATATTATTTGCTCTTTCTTATATATTTATTCTTAAATAAAAATCCATAATAAACAAATTTTAATGTAAAATGTTTAAAAAAATCGTAATATTTTTTTTATAACATTGTATCGAAGAAATAAAGCAACAATTAATATAAAAACTTGTATGAAAATTAACAATCGAAACTTTTTATCGATAAGAAGTTTTTTTTTTTTTTTAAATATGTACATTTGATTTATATATATTTATTTACAAAATAATGAAAAATATTAATATACAAAATTGTATTTGAATTATTAGACAGTTATTCCAAAATATTATTTCAATTATTTTATTTGAAAAAATTAATTTTAAAATATTAAAAAATAATAGCAAATAGTTGGAATTGTGTGTGTATATGCATAGTTGATTTCTAATAAAATCAATTACTCTAATATTATTATTTTATATACATCATGATTGTACTCAATAGGTGAGAATATATAGCATAAATTGAAAAATATTTACTAAAAAATTAAATTGTAAAATATATATTGAAGTTAATAGAGTGCAATAAATACTATAAAATTAATTTTAATAAAATTTTACTAGATAAAGAATAAGAAAATAAAATACATATATTTTATTTTTAAAATTTGATTATAAGAATTAAACAAATAAAAACAAGTATTAAAAAACTTATTCGAATCCATATATAGAGAAAATAAATCATATTTATTAATAAATAAAATTATATAAAAATAAGAATAAAAATTAACTTGACGAGAATTTTTATAATAAATCAAAAAGATAAATTTTAAACAATAAGAGTAGTATATATTTATTCTAAAATTTAAAAACATATTGTATATATTATATAATCATCAGTTTGTATAGAAAAAAGTAACGATTGATTTTTAACATCCAATTAAATAAAAAAAATAAATTGATATAAAAAGGTAGAGGAAAAAGACCAAAGAAAAAAAAAACGGGTGTAGTGCATCGGTTAGGGGATTAACATTTTTATTTTAAAATTTTAGGAACTAAAATGAAAAAACTTAAAAATTATATATATATATATATATATAAAAGCCTATAGTAGGTGAACAATCAATTGTGAGGGGATAAATAATGATTTTCACTGTTCAAAACCCCTATATAGTTTAGTTTCTTTTAATAATACTACAAACAGATCAGGATTGATAAAATGTACTCTATATATGTTTTTAGTAGCAAAAATCTTTTCAATGTATTATTTTGTTTTCGGTTCTGATAAAAAAAAATCATGTTTTTATGTTTTTATATTTATAATATAAGTATTAATGTTGGTAGAATATAAAGATAATAGATTTGGTTAATTAAATTTAAAATATAAAAATAAATTTAGTTATAAAATCTTAGCATTAATTTACGGAAATTTCAATCTGTGTACGTACGTGTGTGCAAGTGGGATGGATGGATAAAAAGATATGTAGTACCTCAGCAAGTCTCCTCTTTTGCGTTTCCATGAAAAGTTGGCAGTTATCAGAGCACACGCGCAAGCCATTACGCTCAGCTTTCGTGCCCTCAACATCCATTAAATTTCGGCTCCCACTGACATCCAACAAAGGTAATGTCTTTGACTGAATTTGCAATCTTACCCTTTCCAATGAATAGCAACGATGTGCATACAAAAGCGATAAACTTGAGGGAAGATCTGAAATTATTGAAAGATCTTCGCAATCATTGACGGTCAAAGCCTTGAGCTTAGGAAGGTGGCCAATTCCAGAAGGCAGATTGAAGATTCTGTTTCCTGATAGATCCAGATCTTCCAGACAGGTCAGACTTCCAAAATCAAGACAATAAGTTGCACCTTCAGACAAACCACAGTGACCGAGATTTATTTCTCTCAATAAACTCCAACCAGCCAAAGAAGCTGGCAGCAAAGCTTTCCAATTTAAAACTCTTGGTGAAAGCCATGATGCAATTGGTGAAACCCAAGATGCAGGGGATGGTGAGTCCGGATAGCAATAGTACCCATGCAATGACAACTTTATGAGATATTTGCAATGTAAAATTGAAGAGAGAAGTTGCTCATTTTCAATTCCATCTGCTAGCAGCTCAGTTAAGGATTCAATATCACCCATGCGGTCCGGCAACTTTTCAAGTTGAGAGCACCCCGAAATGTTCAAACTTTCAAGAGATTTTACATCACAAATCCTTTCTGAAAGGATCTTTAGCCTACAGCATCCCTCCAAATTCAATAAAACGAGCATTTTCAAATATCCAATAGATTTTGGTACCTCAACTAAACTCGTGCAATTTTTAAGTATAAGTCTCTCCAAATTGAAGAGTCCTATGAAGTTTGGCGTTCTAGCAAGGTTCTCGCAATAGCTGAGGTTGAGGATTTTCAGCTTGTTAAGGATCTGCCAAAACATTAAATAAGCAAAAGTACTCGTAAAAGTAAAATGTAACTTGTAAAATTTATGAAACTGCATTTTACTACTTACCCTGGCCCCCTTCCATAGTTCTTTGATGTCGCTGTGCTGCATATCAAGAGCAACAAGGTTGTCAAGTTCAAGATCGGATGGCAAGGATTTCAAAGGGCATCTATGCCAACACAACCATATCAACCCTTTGGGAAGAACTTTGAAGCTTCCAATGAGATGTACACCGTTAATCTTGAGTAATTGTAAATTTTTCATCTCTGTAAACGCTTTTGTGTTCAAAACTTCTACTTTTGAAGCCCTCGTATCGAGTGCAAGACCTTCTACAGTTATCGTTCCCTAAAAGACAACAAAATTCAATAGAACTCTCTTATGATTTGTTGGAATTAGATCTATATATAAAGTGTTGAAGAAAATTGAGAGGAAAAATTATACATTCACTCTTACATAGGTTACAATGCATCGGAATATATATACAATGAGTCCTAGAGTCGAGTAGGAAACTACCTAATCTAGGGATAGAGATAAGCATAACTAGAGTCCCTCAAATTAAGGGATAACATTAACACCCCTAATATCTAGCGAGATAATAATAATAATAATAATAATAATAATAATAATCATATTTATAGCTAATATACATTTTGACACTCCCCCTCAAGTCGAGGAATAGATATCTTCCATTCCCGGCTTGGAAATATTATCATGAAAATTAGAGTCGTTCAACCCTTTGGTAAGAACATCCGCAAGTTGGTATCCTGTAGGAACATAAGATAAGCATACTAATCCCTCATTCAGCCTTTTCTTTGATAAAGTGCCTATCAATCTCAATATGCTTAGTCATATTATGAGCAATATTGATAGTAGATTTGTTATCACAATAGAGTTTCATAGGACCTTCCCACTTGATTCTCAAGTCGTCTAGGACAATCTTCAGCCACAACATCTCACACAAACCTTGAGCAATTGCTTTGAATTCGATTCAACGGATGATCTAGCCATAACATTTTGTTTTTTACTCCATGCTATAAGGTTACCTCTAAGGAACATACAATACTCGATAGTTGATCTTCTATCCATTATAGATCTTTTATAATCTGCATTAGTGTAGACTTCGAGGGCAAGATCCCTTTGTCTTTTAAACGGGATTCCTTTTCTTGGATTTCCTTTCAAATACTATAACACTCTATAAGCAACTTGTAAATGTGACTCCCTCGAATCATGCATGAACCGACCGATCACACTTACGAGTATGCTATGTCCGGTCGAGTATGTGCAAGGTAGATGAGCCTCCCTACTAGCCTATGGTACATTTTTCTATCTACTCGGAGGTTCTTCTTTGGCTTCTCCGAGTTTTTTATTAGCTTTAATGGGTGTAGATATTGGCTTACATCTAATTTTTCCTATCTCCTTTAATAAATCAACCACATATTTTTGTTGGGATATGAAAATCCCTTTGCTTGGAGTATGCCACCTCAATACCTAGGAAGTACTTCAATCTCCCAAGCTCTTTTATCTTGAATTCCTTGACCAGCTATTGTTTTAGTTCTAGTTTTTCCTTTTCATCATTTCCGAGTGACGATGATGTCATCTACATACACTGGAAGTCTTGTCACTCTCCCCGTAGATGAGTGCTTTATGAAAAGGGTATGATCACCTTGACTCTGTTGGTATCCGAAGCTTTCATAACTTTAGTAAACGTTTCAAACCATGCTCTTGGTGATTGTTTTAGTCCATAAAGGGCCTTCTTCAACTCCGCAAACTTTATTACCTATTTCTTCTTCAAATCCTAGAGGAACATCTATGTAAATTTATTCATCTAGATCTTCATGAAGAAATGCATTCT